AATTATATATGAAATAGAGCAATGATAGAGATAGTGACTAATTACAGTAAAAAATTATAGTGACTAATGAAAAGACAAATACACCATCCTCACTAAATATGTGTATTTATTAATAAAGGGTAAAAATATAATTATTTAGGGCAAGATAAAATTTTAAAGGGAAAGTGGCAAAAAACTAGGGCCAAGAATAAGCCACATCACTCACTATATTTTTTTACTATTTTTTTCACTAAATATATCATTCTTCTATGAAATAATAGATACTTAAAACTCAACTTACATAATTTTTGGTGAAAAGATGCCATGAATAGTTTAATATATATATATATATATATACATGTGTGTGTGTGTGTGTGTGTATGTATTATAATATAGGTATATACATGGAACAATTTCTATAAAAAAAAATTAAAAATGTTATGTTGTTTACTATGTCATAATATAATAAAAATTAACCCAAAACTAAAATATTTAGTTATTAATTTTTTTTGGTACAGCTATACTTTTGATTTTTTGTAAAAAAAGATACAATGTTAATTATAGATTGATTTAGTTGAAAATTATTAAAATGATATATATGACAATAATAATAATAATAATAATAATAATAATAATGAGACAAACATCCCAAAAAAAAAACAAAGAAAAGAAAGAAGCGATGAAAGCAAAAAAAGAAAAAGAAAAAATCTGAAAAACAATAAAATTAAAATAATATATATATATATATATAAGGCCAAAAGACAAAAATTGAGAGGGTGACCTATTTAGGTTATAACCCGGAAACGACCCGATTATGACCCGCATATTTTTTTTAAGTCCTTGAATTTGGATTCCAATTATTTGCTCCCACAAAAGAATTGAAAATAAGGAATTGAGCCCCATTTTGAATTATAATTCCAATTCTTGGACCTCTATTTTTACCGACCAAACACAAGAATCGGAATTAAAGAGCTCCAATTCCAATTTTTGGTCCCAATTCAATGCAAGGCTCTGTTTGGTTAGATTGAATTGTTATTGAATTGTAATTACAATACTATTAAATTGAAAATGAGATATTAAGATTGTAATTCAATCTTAATTCCTTTGTTTGGAAGATCTTAAGAATTGTTAGAATTAAGGTTCTAATATCAATTCTTGTGTTTGGATCCTTATAAATTTATAAAATCTAGAGTTAAAATTAGTTTTTTAATATCTAACTATAATTTAGTATTTTATTTCATTGAGTAAAAGAAATACTTAATTTATATATAAAAGCAATTTATTACTTACATATAGAAGATAAAAAAAATAAATAAATTTATTATGTACATTTATATTACAACTTTTGTTGTATGAGTAATATATATACATATATATATATATCAATTTTATAATTTACTATATACGTACATACTTATGGAAAAAAAAATTTTTATTATTACGTAAGAAATATTAATTTGATGATTGGAATCCTCACAAGTAACATGTAGAACATCCTTGTTCCTCTATTTTTTTATTATTTTATAAATTTTTAATCTTTAGTTTTTTTTTTTGGATTTTAGTGAAAAATTTTTATATAGTTGAAAGTAAAGACCATTCATTTATGTATAGATTAACATTAATACATGGTACTAATTAATTATTTTTATTTTTAGTATATAATTATATATGAAATAATATAAATTTTGTCTTCTTGAAAGCTTACATAATTTTTAGTGAAAAAACAATTCAAGTATAGTTCAAAAATTATTTATACATTTGATAAAAAAAAATTGTTAACCCATAATTAATACCTTTAAATTTTTTAATAAATTACGAGTATGATTATACATTTGATAGTTTTTGTCAAAAAAAAAAATACAATACTAATTTTAATGTATAAATCTCATTAATAATTATCAAACTAATGTACACTTAGTTTGCACAATGAATAAAAACAAATGTTATTTTAACAAAAAGTAAAAAAAAAAAAAGAAAGTCCAGCGCTCAAAGTCTCAAAGAAAAGGGGGAAAACGTTAAAAGAAAAAAAGAAAAAAAGAAGCAGTGCATGTGTAGCGCTGAAGGGACAAGGGGAAAAAAAACACCTACTTAAACATAAAAAGGACTCGTTTTTTTATAACCCGGAAAACGACCCGCATGTGACCCGCGTTTTTCCTAAAGTCCCTAGAGTTCGAATTACAATTATTTGCTCCCACAAAAGAATTGAAAATAAAGAATTGAGACTCATCTTGAATTATAATTCCAATTCCGGTACCTTTATTTTTGTCAGCCAAACACAAGAATTGGAATTGAAGGCCTCCAATTCCAATTCTTGGGTCCAATTCAATCCAATCAAATGGAGCCATAGTAAATTCAAGAAAACACCTTAATCTTAGATAGCAAAAAATAAAAGCGTTGCCCTTCAGCTTGTGAACCCACCATCTCTGATGCAACTGTTTGGTTTTTTAGAATGATAGTGGGGAAACTTCTGCTAAAATGGAGTTTGTGGGGTGGAACCCATCTCATCCAAAGATTTTTTGGAATGAATTTTGAATTCATTTTTTTGAAATGTGTTTACATTGCTGAAATTGGGGATGATTTGATGAATGACAGAGCTAAAACTTGGGAATTTCGTTATCTTTCTATTTATCTGAGTAATTTCTCTTCTATTTAGGATTTTTTTACTACTTGTTTTCTTGAACATCTGTACTTATTTATGATTCTGATTCAGTATAACTGCAAAATTACAGGAGAAACGTGTTTACCTCTCTGATTTTGTGGTGCAAATACGTTTTTGCCTTATTATCGTCTATTCTTCTTTATGTTTAAAAAATGAAGAGAGAAAAAGAGGAATTCACTTTTTTCCTCGGATTTGTACTGTAAAAGTTTTGGAGGGAAAATTTTCATTTTGGTGCTGACACATGCATTAAGTATTTGCTGCTTTAAATAAGTATACTATAGATATTGATTAAGGTATGTTGTGCAAGAATAAATACTTTAAAATAAAGAGAGACAATACTTCAAAATAGTTGGAATGTACACTAAGTATTATATTGGGGCATGATCTTATAAAGAAAATATACAATCCTAGTAATGTGTTCGTATATACTTTTACCTCATTCGTTGCACCAAACAAATTAAACTTACTTGTTAAGTGACAAGTCTAAGAATATCTTCTTCTTTTTTTAGTAGAATATGAGATGCGATGCTACATTTCCAAATTAAATTATTTTCTCTCCGGCCTAGAAAAATAGTATACATCAAATTTTAATGTTTGTACTGTTTTTAATATAAATTTCAAAAATTTAATAAAAACTTTTATTTTGGGTCAAAGAAAATACATTTCAGGGATAAACTACCTATATAATACCGAATTTCAAAAAAAAAAAAAACCTATATAATACATAAATGTTTGACTCAAGGTTTAAATTTTAATAACCCCTAACAGCGAAAACTCTCTTAACTATTGGTAAACAAATACTCCAAACAAATACTCTCTTAACTATTGGTAAATATCCTGTTGGAGTAATGATACTCAACTGCATGCATGCAATATGCAATATAAGAAGTTTCAACATCATGATGAGCCTCAGCAATTGGTCGTCTCTACTCTCCACTAATTAAAATTTTGAGCATACTTCATCAACATCATACTCAGTAAGGCAATTAGATAATATAAAATCCAATGGCGTTGACAATGCACATTGCCTACTTAATCTTTCTTCTGTCAATCAACCTCAATAATACGCGTACCAGTTCGCCTTTAAAGGAGAGAGAGAGAGAGAGAGAGAGAGAGAGAGAGAGAGAGAGAGAGAGAGAAGAAATCAAGTTAAGAAACCAAAGAGAAAAACCCAAAGGAATTGTTCCACCTCAAGTTGTCAGAATTTCAGTCGTGCTATTTTATTTTTTTTTTTCTTCCTTGGTTTTCTTCTCGTTCCATGTATCTAGGCTTTGTCAGCGAATTCATTGAGGTGTTTTTCGAACTTTCGATTTTATTTTTTTTCTTCTTTTTGGATACATAAAAGGGAGGCCAATTGCCTAATTAATAATAGCAATATTGTAGGAATGTGAAACCCCAATTAGGGCATGGCGTAGTCATTGGGTGACCAACGCGGAGGGATTTGTGAGTCTCCTAATGATTCTGTTTCGATACTTTGTACATGCTTTAGGTGATCACAAACTTTTATCTTCATTAACATGTGTAAATTAATCAAGCCGATTCTAAGCGAGCACCAGCTTTGTTGAGCTTGATCGGCTCATTTCATCCATTTCGATGAGCTCAAGCTCAATTTTGCTACTGATTAATTGATCTCAGCTCACAGGTTAGGTTTGACCTTAATTTGTAATGGTTTTGAGTTCAGCGTAACCAACTTGAGATTTAATCAAGTGAAATTATCCTCGAGTAGACCTAAACATATGTGTAATATATATATATATATATATATATATATATATATATATATGTGAGCCTCGACGGGATTGGACAGACTTCTGGCCAAAACTTTTTTTAAGGATGGATTAATTCTCAACAAGTTCAAACAAGATTCAATTTGAACGAACTCAAAAACAAATTTGAAGGAACTCGTCATTATTCCTACTCTACACATTGATTGTAGTGACCGATAATTCCACATCCGCCAGAAACAACCACACCCTTTACTTCGATCTCTGGTTCAAAAACTGGCACATCGATCATGTGGACTTCGATGATGTTGAAGTCACCTTCTTTTATGGTCAAAACGGTAGGAGCCTTCCCATAGGAAAGGTATACTGTCCACAAATTCCGCCTCAAGTTTGGCAAAAAGGCTAACCGGAAAGGTTTAGTGCAGATTTACCAAGGGCTAGTCCCGTGGGACTCTATGTTACCGGGTCTCTTCTATTTGGGGAGAATACCCGTGTCGTGTCCTGTCGACATGGTGTGGTATGAGTGTTCGGTATGGTATTTTAACCTAAAATGTCTAAGATTTTTAAAATATTGACGAGTCGGACACTCAGATCCCCGTACCCGATACGACACCCGTAACATAGCCGTGGGAGGCAGATTACTCGAACGGGTCAACGGTGACTTTCCGGGTTAGACTGGCCTCTTTGATGAGGTACGAATTAAATTCTGAAAGGTTGCGCTCATCCTTGTTATTCCAAGGCACATGTTCTGAACGCTAATACCGATGTGGATGGATCTGGTCAGAAAGTCAACAAGAAAGGAATTCGGTTCGTGTCCTCCTCCGCCTCACCGGAGCATTTCCGCCGCCACCATCCTCCGGTTCTCCTTGTGGGGCTTCTTCCGGTTGTGCTTTATGTTCTCTTTTTGTAATTGTAAAGTTGGATTAATTGTTGAAGTCAATTTAACATTTCCATCATATATGCATGCGCTTCTAAATTTGGATTCAGTTTTTTTTTTTGTAATAGTTTACTTCTAAACATGTAAAATGAAGTGTGTTGAATGTGAATGTAATACTCCGGCCTTCTTCCCCAAAATTATTATCCAGTTAAAATTCTCACTTTTATTTTAATTTGTACTAAAATTAAACATTTGAATTAGACATGACTTGGGGCCGGAGGGAGTATTTCGAAATGTGGATAATTTGTTTGACCTTATTCCTGAAGCAAAACTCCAAATAAAACAATTTAACAAACCTGATAACTACATTTATGTATATACTACTTTCTAAAAAAAGTAGAACCTTCAGTGATAGGCCTTTGTCAGCGGGGATGATCCGAGAAGACTAATGTATATTGTTCAGATCATCAATGTCTGCCACCTCGGTGCTACACAGGATCATTTGTTACATCCTTTTCACCGGTAAGGAGAGTTGCTACCTTGGGTTTTCACCAGGGAGTAATACTCACCGCCTCGTCCCAACGAAAGCAGGTCCACATGTGAGCCTTCTTCTACCACTTTCCCATCTTTGATCACTGCAATGGTGTCCGCTTTCTGTATTGTGGATAACCGGTGAGCCACAATAATGCATGTTCTTTTAGCCATCATTTTCTCTAATGCTTCTTGAACCAAGCTTTCCGACACGCTGTCAAGAGCACTGGTTGCTTCATCCAGCAGTAGGATTCGCGGATTCTTGAGAATTGCTCGTGCTAAAGCGATTCTCTGTTTCTGTCCTCCTGATAATTGAACCCCTCTCTCCCCACAGTAGGTTTGGTATCCATCCTGCATCCCACTGTTGAAGCAAGAAAATTTTAACTGATATGCTGTTTTGTTTTTGACAGAATCGACTTATGTGCTTTTTCTGCTTGTTTGAGCTAAGAATCAGTAGTAATTAACATACCTTATGAATTCATGTGCATTAGCTAGCCTGGCAGCTTTCATTATCTCAGATTCCGTGGCGTTGTTCTTCCCATAAGCAATGTTGTCGTAGATGGTTCCAGCAAATAAAGTTGGTTCCTGGCTCACCAATGCAATGTGTTTCCTCAAGGTTCTCAAGTTGTATTCTCTTACATCCCTGTGGTCAATGCTCACTGTTCCCTTAATCGGATCATAGAATCTCTCGATGAGTCCTATAATTGTTGATTTACCAGAGCCACTCTGCCCAACTAGTGCTACTGTGTTTCCAGCTGCAATTTTTAGGCTCAGGCCTTTCAAGACCATCAAATCAGGTCTTGATGGATAAGAAAAGTGTACATGCTTCAGCTCCACTTGACCTTTAATGCTCATTTTCGTGGCATCCTGCCCACGTGGATCTTCAGGATCGATTTCACTTTTTCTGTCTAGGATTGCTAATACAGAACTGACAGCATTGCTTCCCCTGGATATATCTTTGGTCATACTACCAGCCTCAGCAATAATGTAAGCAGTGAAGAGTAGTGCTAGGAATGATTGGAAAAGTCGTTCTGGCGCTATTTCATCTTTTGTTAAGAGCCTCCCACCATACCAAAATGCTAAAGCTGTAGATGCTGCGGCTAAAAACTGAGAGCTGAACAGGCCACATCCGGCAAAATAGGATTGTCGAATGCTCTCTTTCCGGGGTCCTTCTAGTGTCTGTTTGAAGAGGCCTACTATCTTTTTCTGAGAGGAAAAGGCTGTTATAGTTCTGTGGTTGATAACGGCTTCACTTGCTAGCTGGCTTCCTTCCCTTTGTGCAATTTGAGCTTTTGCAGACATGCTCTTCATGAGTACAGTCCTGGCATAAAAGCTTCCAATGAGTAATGGCTGAGCTGCCATCATTACCAGAGCTAACTTCCATGTCAGGTATAATCCAAGTGCATACGCGAAAGTGGCACCGAAAAATGCTTGAGCAAGCAGTGACATTCGGTCGCCAACAAGTGAGCGAACCATGCTAGCTTCAGTTGATATTCTTGCACATATTGCAGCACTTGTATTCTCATCCAGATCAAACCATCCAATCTCAAAAGTCATCAGTTTTTCAAGCAGCTTTTCCCTAACTCTTTTAGTTAACCTTTCCCCCATTACAGAGAAACTGTAATGTTGAAGGACATTGACACAAAAGTTGAACACTGCAAGTCCAAGGAAAATGAAAGAGTAGGTTCTGGCATGTGATTGGATGGAAGATTTGTCAGACCGAAAGTATATTGATATCACTGCTCCTACACAGTAGGCGTTTATCGGTTGTACAAGTCCAGATCCAATAGCCCCAATGCATCCGAGCAAGGCCTTATCCCACTCCAGTGCATTCATTTTCAGCAATCGCCATTGAGATGGTGCAGGGTAATCTTTTTGCTCAAATTCTTCATCATCTTCACTGTCATAGTCATCATACTGTACAGAGTAAGGTGTACTGGAAAAGGGTGCACTCCTGGAAAAGCCTGGACTGAGAGCATACATAGCTGGAGTAACTGGTCCACTTGATCTAACACTCATCGGACTTTGTGGGATACTCCTGATATAGGGACTTTGATTTATACTCCTATGGTAGGGGCTCTGGTTGTTACTTCTTTGGTATGGGCTTTGAGTTCCACTTTTTCTGTATGGAGTACTCCTGTCATTGTTGTAATAGTCGTAACTGATATCCGTGTCATTCTGTGTTGTTTGTTTTTGCAGCTGCACCATTTTGAAGTATTCTCCATCACTGATCTGCATAAGCTCATCATGTCTGCCTGATTCAACCACTTTCCCTGATTGAAGTACTATAATCCGATCAGCCATTCTAATCGTGGAAAGGCGATGAGCTATGACAACAGCTGTCCTTCCATGAGATGCATTATCAATGGCTTTCTGCACAATGCTTTCGGATTGTGTGTCTAATGCACTTGTAGCTTCATCTAACAGTAAGATCTTTGGATCCCTTAGCAATGCCCTTGCTATGGCTATTCTTTGCTTTTGTCCACCTGATAATTGAACTCCAAACTGTCCAACCTGGAGAAGCCAGAATTCAATATTGTCAGAGTCCTGTTCTCAATATTGCTGAAGGTAAACTAAAACAAAATCTGTAGCAAGTTATGATATCCAAATTACTTTTTGACATTACCAAAAATACAGACTCAAAAAGGCATACCATAATTTTTAAAGACATGATATGTTGCATTAGAGTTCAAATACGGAGATGACTTACTTGACTGTCATAGGCTTCAGGCAGTTTCATGATGAAGTCATGCGCATTCGCGGCCTTGGCTGCATTTTGTACATCTTCCAATGAAGCTCCTTCCTTTCCGAAAAGGATGTTTTCTTTTATGGAAGTTGCAAACAGAACTGGTTCTTGATTAACCAATCCCATTTGGGATCTTAACCATTTAAGATGCAGTTTCTTTATCTTGTAACCATCCAAAAATATGTCACCTTCAATAGGGTCATAAAATCTTTGAAGTAATGAAACAATAGTGGACTTTCCAGAACCACTGCCGCCAACAAGGCCAACTGTTTTGCCTGCTGGAAACAGAAGATCAATGCCTTGAAGGATAGGCGTATCCAGCCTTGAAGGGTAGCTAAAATAGACACCTTTAAACTCAATTTCTCCTCTAACATGTGAAAGAGCTTTCCCTTTCCTGTCTTCAGTATCGATACTCGGCTCTCGATCAATCATCTCAGTTATCCTAATTGCAGCAGCCTTTGCTTCCGTGATGGCAGTGAGATTAGGTAGAGTAGTCAAAATATTTCTGGATGATCATGTAATGAATCTTTAGCTTAAGAAATATGAAAATTACACTGAAAAGAACTACAGATACAAAATGAGAATAGTACTTACAATCCTCCCATGAGAATGTTGAATCCTGCTACAAAAACATCTCCACCCTTCTCTCCCTTTTTGCTAACAAGGAAAGATCCTAACCAAGCTTGAAAAGCCCAGCTTATATAAATACCACCCATACTTCCCAACATCAATCCTCTAGCCAAACCTTGCTTTATTCCTAGCTGCATAGTGGTTTCAAGTGCATGGCTGAACTTCTCAAGAGTTTGATTCTCTGCAACATATGAATACACAGTTCTTATAGAAGAAATTGCTTGTTCAGCAATTCCTCCAGCAACGCCATAAGACTCGATCACCTTCATCGCGACATTCATCATGCGTGTCCCAAATCCCAATCCAGGAACAATGAAGGTGAACATCAAAGGTAAACCAGCCAGTGTAACTTTCCAGGACAGCATAAATGCAAAGATGACACAGAAGAGGAAGGATGAGGTGTAAGCCAGACAATCAGGTATCTACATTCAGAACAGAAGAAATATCTCTTGATGTGATAATCAAATGATGATTATAATAACTCTTCTCAAGAATGTATGAACATTAATTAAAAGAGGGATGATAATGGAGTTTGCTTACCTTCTCTCCTATGGTGGTCTGAATTGTGTTGGAATCAGCTGAGATGGTTGAAACAACCTGAAAAGTTGTGGAAGAATCAGCCGCTTGTGTGTCAAAGAATCCAACATCTTGTCTAAGCACAGATTTCAGATATTCCAGTCTCATTCTTGAAGTCTGTCTTTCTGCAGTTCTTGCCCAGCACAATCCCTCTGCAGAGATCAATACATATTGGTTTCTTTTTTACACCCCTTATGCAAAAATGGAAACAAGTTCTCTGAAAAAGCTAGTTTTAAGGTTGATTGCAATATGCAGCATACCAACAAAAGCAGATAATCCAACTCCAATTGCAACATAAAGCAGCCTCAGTGAAAACTGCAAGAATTGAAAAAGATTACAAAGTTGCAAGAAAACTTCATTATAATATACTCTTTTAGTGCATGCTTATGATCATCTGACATGATGATTTGAATACAACAGCATATGTGACAAAAGCTTTACCTTATTAACAACATCTAAAGAGAGTGGAGTGTTGGGATTGGCATATGAGTTGATGGCATCACTAAGTACAAACATCATCAGAGGAATCTGCAATCCATCTCCCATGCTACCTAAAGTCCCTAAACTCATCAAAATCTTGTCCACCCGATCAGCATAACGAAACATCCCGTTGTTAGTTCCCATTTCGCGACGCCTAATTCGCCCTTCAAGAGGGAAGTATCGCCACTTTTTCTTCTGCTAGAGCTCCAATATATAAATATATACTTATGCAACATATATCTGATTCAGCTGGCCGTTTCAGCACTTGCATTGTTCTTTAGCATATGGGAACCAACGGCATCGCAGACGAGCCGGCTATATGTTTATCATATAAAACGTTACCCTTGTCATAGTTTGAATCAGTCATGGACAAAACCATCATTTTCTAATGTCTTATCTTTTGCTTACACAGTTATGCAATATTCCTTTTTGGAGTTCCGGCAGATGATACATTATGGTTATTGAATCTTTGTGACAAAAGTACAATAAAAATGTTACCATTTGTTGTCACAATCACAACACTATAAACACAACCTACAAAACACGATGAATACGATGTCAATTATCTTGTTTAATTATAAACTTTAAAACTTGAGAATGAAGGTCCTTTGTTTATTATTCCTCGATGGCTCGATCCGAATTCAACATATTGGTTGGAAGGAAGCTTGCTGGGGTTGATACCATACAGCAAGAGAAAAAAAAGTTCAAAATGTATCATTCCAGAAAATAATTATACAATCTCCAGCATGTCAAGTGTTATACAAGTCAAGAATAGTCCAGAAAACAGAATAGAAAGAGAGGTAGAGTATGTTTAGTTTAGTTTATTCAAACTAAGAATCATTCTTTCACGTCAGGCGCATAATATTAATTATAAATTAACTATCTGTCACTTTTATTACTCCATTTGGTAGGAATACCTGTACTTTTGCAGTTACCTTCTTATCCGCTAGTTTATGCAAATGTCTCAAATATTGCAATTACCTTATTTGTTTTAATTGTTGAAGGACACAACTCTACAAATTAAATACTCCCTCCGTCCCATAATTATTATCCAGTTTTACTAAAATGAAATATTTTATTTTTGGTCAAACTTAACTATATTTTACCTTAAACAACCGGATATACTCCTACATAAGTAATTGTTTAACTACTAAGATTTTATGGATAATGTTTTTTACTAAGGACAAATGTGTAACTTGATACATAAAAAGTCAAATTGGACAATAATTTTAGGACAAAATTTTTTGGGCAAAGTGGACAATAATTATGGGACGGAGGGAGTACAAAGGTGCTTGGCTTTAGTTTTTTTTCCTTCTATTTTTGAAATGAAACATTGGGGGCAATGCATAATGAACTAATTAACTCCGACATTAGTACTGACGACGAATGAGCCATTTTAATTACCAGAAGATAATTCGACGTGAAGTTAGCTTTTCTAAACAATACGATGGATATATACAAAATTCATATGAGGAGATTGGCCAAGCACAACTCCAACTAGTGGTAGCCAATCGCAATATCTTTTTAGTGGTTTTTTTTTTCTTTTTTTTTTTTTTTTTTTTTTTTGAAAAATGTTTCTTTTTCTGATAGCAACTTGATTACTCTTCAAGTAGCTGGTCGTCTTATCTTCCCCCCTTCCCCTCTCCCCGTTCCTACCGTATTTTAATTTAAATGGGTCTGTTCTGTTTATTGGTGGTCATCATGCATCAACCCATGATAAATTGATAATATATAGAACTACAATATTTTAGATCGCGTGTATAATAACTGATATTACATAATGATTTTTTCCCCTTTTACCCACATTTATGTATAGATTTTATCTTTTTTTTTTAACTGAAAATAAATTAATATTTCATTTACAGACATATATATACTACTATAAAAGGATAAGAAATGAAAACAATAAATAAATAAAGTAAGAGGAAATGCAAATTACAAACATACAGTATGTACATATGTGTGTTATGTATTTCTCTCATTCCATACAAAATAGTCTATTTTATCGTATTGTTTTAGTTCAAAGTAGATTATCTTTTTTGGGGTTAACCAGACCAAGTATTTATACATTTTCAGTTATTGTTACTATACTATTACCTTATGTAAATTCATACTAATTATAGAGTCATTTAACTGAAAAGTTTGTGCATGTAAATCAAAATTACTTTTTTTTTTGTAAGTGAACAAAATCTGGAAATAAATAAATGGTATTAATACCAAAAATAGGGGGTAAAAAAAATAAAATTAATACAATTTTATTTATTCATATAGTAATTTGAAATAGTGCAAAACAGTAGCTAGAAAATCCGTTACAAATACACAGGGCAAGTTTGGTTGTTAGGGATTCTAGGCTAGAAAGTAATCTGATTCTTTAATTTTAAATTCCAGTATTTATTTTGTATAGGAAGGTAATCATTCGTAATTATTAAATTCTTTTGTTTGTTTGATTTTGGGAAAAAAAATCCTAAAATCAATAAAAATAAATATAAGATTTCTAGATTATGATTCCTCACATTGGAGGTGGTAATGCGAATTTATCATTCCTATCTTTTAGGATTTTAACATTTGCTCATTTTTTTTGTTATTCATAACTTCGTTTTTTTATCATCATTTTTTCCTTATCATTTATATTTTCACTTTATCTTTAATCTAATTTATTTATATATATAGTTTTTTAAAAAATTTTACAATTTGAGTAATGATATTATTACATTATTAATGAACAAAATATTTGATTTGGACACATAAAAATTACACACTATATCAAAATGATTTTTTAAGGAACTTAGGATAACAACTTTCATTTCATTTATGCTTCAAACTTTTAGCAGCGCAAATTTTCAGTTTTCTCATGAACTTGTTTGGTATAAAATTTGATCTTGCAAGCATATGTCGGTTAATTGGAGTGGATTGAGTTTTATGAATCTATTGGTTTGATCTTAAGCATGTTCTTAATTTTGGCATTAGGATTTCGTCGGCTGTTGGCGGAGCTAACTCCAAGTTCTCAAGGTACGGAAAGAAAATATGAACTGTTCTCTGCTTGGTGATTAATATTAGTACTGGGGGTTTTGGGTGAAACGGAGATAAAGAAATCAAATATGCTCTTCCGATAAATTGATCTTCATTTTGAATATATACCATGAACATCATGCTGGTATGATAAGGTTGGCTAGCAGCTGATTTGGTTGGGTTTTGTAGTTGAATTTTTGTTGCAATGGTGGGTCTTATGATGCACAATCTTGGGAAACAAGCTCCAGTACTGCCACCAGGCTAATCTCGCGTAGGAGGAAAAATCTTATGGCCTGGTCCTGAGTTATTTAATTTCTTTTGTGATTCTTTTCTGGATAAAACTTCTCTCAATTACTATATAATTTCACCCGTTGATGGTGCTGTCGTATTTGTAATTTGCAGGTACCCATAAATCGTAAACTTGAAGGATTATTTCTTTTTCTTTTGTTACAAAATCACCCCCTTAGATTAACTAATTAAACTTTATAATATGATTTATTTTTACCTTTGAGGAACTACATTCTCATAATATCCTGATTTACATCCACGACACAACTTTCATACATAGAAAAATTGTTAAAAAGTTTACATCAAATATTTACTTTTTTTTATTTTTTATTTTGAGATACACATATCTTCATCAAATATCAATTATTATACAATTATTACTGTACAGAAAAATTTACCCCCCCCCCAAAAAAATTACTGTAGATTTTTTTTTTCAGACTTAGTTCTTTATTTAAGCAGATCGCGGGATCAATTCAGAAAACTTTTGGTCGTTTGCGTCTTAGAGTTAAGATTTAAATTCCCCGATTTATTTGCCTCTTCTCTCTTTTTGGTTTGGTTTTGGCACTTGTGCGAGTGCGTTGGATTTGGGGAAAAAACTAGGGTTACTTGTAATTGAATTTGCTGAATTTCTGTAGTAATTCAAGCTTGATTTAGGTTAGTATTATATACGGAAGATGGATGGCGATGGAGGCGACGAGATTAAGAAAACCCAAGAGGAGAGGAAGAAGATGGAGAAGGAACTGAAAGAAAAGTCAGCCGTGCCGGTGAACTCGGTCGTTTACGACACGGAATTCTACAATGCCGATCGATTCGAGGGTTACGAGACCTCGATTGAGGTGAACGAAGACCTAGATGCCGCCGCCGACAACGAGATTGCTCGTAAACTTCCTTGCTACACTGCTCCGAGAGAGTATCTTGATGATATTCCCCCGTCTGGAAAAGATGATGGAGATTTGGGGTTTAAGAAGCCTCGTAGGATTATTGATCGGGAAGATGATTATCGGCGGAGGAGGTTGAATCGTTTGATTTCTCCGGAGCGGGTTGACCCGTTTTTGGACAAGACCCCGGCGCCGGATGCCAGGACTTATGCTGACATCATGAAAGAAGAGGCTTTGAAGAAACACAAAGAGGAGCTTCTTAGAGAGATTCATCAGCAGAAGAAAGAGTCTGTTGTTAATCAGGAACCGAAAACGGCCACGGAGAAACCGAAAAAGAGGAATAGGTGGGATCAGTCACAAGATGAGGAAGAAATTGGTTCCAACAAGAAACCAAAAGGTGGAGGATCGGAATGGGACTTGCCTGATTCCTCAAGTACTCCAGGGAGATTTGAGGATTCTACACGTTCTGTGAAGAAGAAGAACCGATGGGATGAGACTCCAGCTCGTGGGGGTGCTGTTACTCCTTCTGGGATCGCTTGGGATGTCACACCTAAGCTACTGGAGACCATGGCTACTCCTACACCTCGAAAACAGAGGTCCAGGTGGGACGAGACTCCGGTGTCGATGGGAAGTGTTACTCCGATGTCTAATGCTTCCCCTGCTCCTGCTGCTGCAGTTTATAATACTCCTCGAATGGTGACCCCTTTTGGAGGAATTGAACTTGCTACACCAACCCCAAGTCAGTTTATGATGACTCCTGAACAGTTTCAGAGCCTGAGGTGGGAAAGGGATATTGATGAGAGAAATCGACCATTGACTGATGAAGATCTTGATGCTATGTTTCCTCAGGATGGTTATACGATTTTGCAACCTCCATCTTCTTATGTGCCGATTAGGACTCCTGCCAGGAAGCTGATTCGCACCCCAACCCCAATGGGGCAATCGCCGTATATTATGCCTGAAGAAAACAGAGGTCAGCCGTTTGATGAGCTCCTGGATACTCCTGATGGACGACTCCCCCCAATGAAGCGCGATGATTTACCGATTTTCAGAGACTTATTGCAGAATGTAAATGAGGATGAATTGTCTCCTGAAGAGAAGATAGATCGGAAGATTAAGACGCTTTTGTTGAACGTTAAGAATGGGACACCACCTCAGAGGAAAACAGCTTTGCGTCAAATGACTGATAAGGCCAGGGAGTTTGGCGCCGGGCCTCTGTTCAACATCATTCTTCCATTGCTTATGCAACAGACATTGGAGGACCAAGAAAGGCATCTACTGGTGAAGGTCATTGACCGTGTGCTTTACAGGTTGGAGGATCTCGTACGTCCTTTTGTGCACAAGATTCTTGTGGTGATTGAGCCCTTGCTGATTGATGAAGATTACTACGCCCGTGTTGAAGGTCGAGAGATCATCTCCAATCTCAGCAAGGCAGCTGGATTGGCATCTATGATTTCTGCAATGCGTCCTGATCTTGATAACATTGATGAGTATGTAAGGAATACCACTGCCAGAGCATTCAGTGTTGTTGCATCTGCTCTTGGGATTCCTGCTTTGTTGCCTTTCCTGAGAGCTGTTTGCCAGAGTAAGAAGTCTTGGCAGGCGCGCCACACGGGCATTAAAATCGTGCAGCAGATGGCTATTATGATAGGTTGTGCTGTTCTTCCACACTTGAAGTCGCTGGTAGAAATCATAGAGCACGGCCTGACTGATGAGAACCAGAAGGTTAGGACAATCACTGGTCTGTCTGTTGCTGCTCTTGCTGAGGCTGCTGCGCCGTATGGTATTGAAAGCTATGATTCGGTGTTGAAGCCTTTGTGGAAAGGTATTAGGGCACATCGCGGTAAGGTTTTGGCTGCATACTTGAAGGCTATAGGTTTTATCATTCCCTTGATGGCGGCAGATCATGCTAGTTATTATACCAAGGAAGTGATGCCCATTTTGATTCGTGAGTTTCAGTCACCTGACGAAGAAATGAAGAAAATTGTTCTGAAAGTTGTGAAGCAGTGTGTGAGCACCGATGGTGTGGAGCCGGACTACATCAGGAATGACATTCTTCCTGAATTCTTTCGCAACTTCTGGGTGAGAAGAATGGCTTTGGATCGCCGGAATTATCATCAACTTGTTGAGACTACAGTTGAGATAGCAAATAAAGTTGGTGTGGCTGATATAGTGGGGAGGATTGTTGAAGACCTTAAGGACGAAAGCGAGCCTTATAGAAGGATGGTCATGGAGACGATTGAGAAGGTGGTCACGAATCTGGGTGTATCGGATATCGATGCTCGTTTAGAAGAGCTGCTGATTGATGGTATTCTTTACGCCTTCCAAGAGCAAACCAGCGACGATGCCAATGTGATGCTGAATGGTTTTGGAGCGGTTGTTAACACTTTTGGGAAGAGAGCGGGGAATTATCTTCTGCAAATATCTGGTACAGTTAAATGGCGTTTGAATAATAAGAGTGCAAAGGTCAGACAGCAAGCAGCAGATCTTATATCCAGGATCGCTGTGGTGATGAAACAGTGTGGAAGAGAAGATATAATGGGCCATCTTGGTGTTGTTTTATATGAGTATTTAGGAGAAGAGTACCCTGAAGTTCTTGGTTCCATATTGGGTGCCCTGAAGGCGATAGTTAATGTTATTGGTATGACTAAGATGACTCCACCGATCAAGGATTTACTTCCTCGGTTGACTCCAATTCTGAAAAATCGTCATGAGAAAGTGCAGGAGAACTGCATTGATCTCGTGGGACGAATAGCTGATCGAGGTGCAGAGTTTGTTCCTGCCAGGGAATGGATGAGGATCTGTTTTGAGCTTCTTGAAATGCTCAAAGCCCACAAGAAAGGTATCCGCCGAGCAACAGTGAATACTTTTGGTTATATTGCAAAGGCCATTGGTCCACAGGATGTGCTTGCGACATTGCTGAATAATCTTAAAGTTCAAGAGCGCCAAAACCGGGTGTGCACCACTGTGGCTATTGCGATTGTGGCAGAAACATGTTCTCCATTCACTGTTTTGCCTGCCCTCATGAATGAATACCGTGTCCCTGAACTTAATGTTCAGAATGGTGTTTTGAAGTCGTTGTCCTTCCTGTTTGAGTACATTGGTGAAATGGGGAAGGACTATATTTATGCAGTAACACCATTGCTAGAGGATGCTCTCATGGACAGAGACTTGGTCCATCGTCAAACTGCAGCTTCGGCTGTAAAACACATGGCGCTAGGGGTTGCTGGACTTGGTTGCGAGGATGCTTTGCTTCACCTGATGAATTATGTCTGGCCTAACATCTTTGAGACATCGCCACATGTTATCAACGCCGTGATGGAAGCCATTGAAGGAATGCGGGTTGCATTAGGAGCAGCAGTGATCCTTAGTTACTGTCTCCAGGGGCTGTTTCATCCAGCCAGGAAGGTGAGGGAAGTGTACTGGAAGATCTACAACTCGTTATACATTGGCGCACAGGATGGTCTCGTGGCTTCTTACCCTATGTTGTTGGGTGATGCTAATGCGGCATACACTAGGACCGAGTTGTTCATGTTTGTTTGATTTGAGATTTTTCTTGAGCCTCAGGATTTGTTGTAGATGAATGGTGTCCTGCCCTGTACCTCATCGTCAAAAAGCTAAGGTTAAAATATTTCTGCTGTTTTTGTCCTGATTGTTGCAATTTGGAATGATATCTGCCTTCTATACTTCAAAGCTTGTTTGATACCACAAAAAAGAAAATTAATAATGAAATTCACTCGTGGACTGAGAGCGAGTTTAACTAGGGAGATTGTAGAGATAATGTGATCTTTGTTGATTACACAGTGTGCTTGAGATATGGTTTCAGTGTATCGGTTTGAGTCCCCTCTTCTGCTATGTCTTTATTACAGTATATTCAATTTTGTAACATATCATATCCATGAAATTTCTGTTGTTTTCTTCAATGCATGAGTCATAATGAGTTCTGGACTTCTGGGTTTTTCTTCTTATATCAAGAATTATTGCAGATTCCAAAAGCATTCTTTTCCATGGTCAGTCCTTTTTGGTTTAGCTAAATACTGGAAAAAGCTGTTAGTCATAGTACTACACATAACTACTCCAAGTGTCCTGAAGAAGAGGCTGCAGATCTCCATGCTAAGCAAGCTTCTTTGTTCTGCAGACATTTCCACAAGGCCTTTGCCATCAGCATTCCATCCTCCTTCAATCTGTAAGATTAGAGGGGAAAAAAAACTTGATCAAATCTTCCATTAAATGGTGACCTATTTTTATGTTTGAACACACACACACACATATATATATATATATAATATTCATCCATCAAATTTTTTTTAAAAAAGGAACCAAATACTAACATTTAATCTTAATTGGAAAATACCTGGTAAGAAGAAGTTGCTGCTCCATACACAAACCCTTTGGGAAAACTACTACGATTGAGTGCATTAATACCAAAGATAGGTGATAATGGCTGAGCACTCCTGTCAATCTTATTTAACCCAACCCTCTTGCTGTTCTTCTCTCTCTTTTTTTTTTTTTGTTTTAATTTGCGTTATATTCCTTCTGTCTCAAAAGAATGATGGTTTGGATTTTTACTTTTAGTATTTAGGTGTACTATATTTGAAAATTAAAATTGATAACTCTTAGTGCGATTTATATTATGTAAAAACAAAAATTCAAACAAAACAATAATTTCAGAAATTTAATCATAAATAATTATTTTCATTAAGAAACATGCTAGAAAAAATTCATGGCATTGTATCAATTGATCAACTGCTCTTGCCTCTTGGTATAAACATCACCCAAAACATATGTACAAGTTGAAAAGCTAGTCATATGCAAAATTTCTCTCATTCCCAAAAACTATTTGGGTCTTCTATCCAAATTGGAATATTGATTTTTGTGGAACTTCATGATTTTTGAAGGAATCTCTCAAACCAATATGACGACAGTTTTCTGTGTCTTTTCAAAGTGTTGTAGTCCACAAAATTGAACCCAAAACGAACACTGTATCCGTTCAGCCACTCAAAATTGTCAATAAGCGACCATCCGTAGAATCCTCTTACTCTGACTCCATTTCTACAATACCAGAAATAATAATCACCATAATTAAAAAAGTGATAGGAATGTATTTAATTAATTAGAAATATATTTAGAGAAATCTTGAGAGATAGAAAAGATAAATTAAAATATAAGTGAATAAGAGATTAAAAGTGACACTCTTACTTGATTGCTTTGCGGAGGAATTGAAGATGGCGATAATAATATCGGATTCTAAAGTCGTCTTGAAGGGCTTGCTCAAGTGGTAATGAGGCATCATTTATTTCATCAACACCTGAAAATGAAAATGTATGTAAAACATATTTGATTAGTTGATGTTGCACAAATTAATTTGTTAAAATTAAAAGGGCAAAATTAGAGAGGTTTACCATTTTCTGTAATGTAAATAACTGGATTATTATATTTTCGTTGTACATAGAGGAGAAGATGCCAAAGTCCTTTTGGATAGGAATGAAGCCAATTTGATCCTGCCTGCAAATTAATCAAACCATCTACTTATTCAGAATTTTCCAAACGAATTTATAGATTCAAAATGGTACAAAATAATCATAAATAATTTTACCTCTTCTCCAATAAGTACGCCTTGACGGGTTGCTGCCACATTACGAAATGTTCAGATTAAATATTTAAACAAACACATATACAATTAAAGATTTAAGCAAAATAAATTATTATTATTTAGTGACCAAGAGTTTTTTACCTATAAGATCAGCAAGATAATCAGTAATATATCTGGCGTGGGTTTTATTAGGAGGGTTACTGGAATGAGAAGCATACATGGCAGTGTAATAATTCACTCCATGAAAATCATAGGATCCCTTTAGCAACTTCGATTCTTCATGTGTAAATTTTGGAAGGCGATTGCCGACGACAGCTTTCATTGTTTTCGGATAATCACCATATACTAAAGGATTCATAAACCTACAAACATATTCAAAACATTTGCAACATTAATATCATTTTCGAGTTTTGAACAACATAACCATGATTCGAGTTTCTTAACTCAAATGGTCCAGTTCTTGATGTAACACATTAGTTATATATACATCATTAGTTAATGGATCGATAAGGATTTCAAGAAAAAAATGAGTCTATATATCTCACTAGAAAAGAAAGTGTACTTACCATCCATACATAAAATCTAGAGAACGCTTAGCTGCTCGCATATCGAGAGATGAATTAGTCATTGGCACCATCCAGTTACAAACATTTGTCATTCCAATAATACCTTTCTGCTGAGCCTATAACCATATTCAAAATCTCAAATTATTCCTTTGGAACTTTTGAAGATTTATTGACATATAAACCAATAAAGAAAAAAAGAAGAGAATTTTCAGACGAATTACTCCATCCGTGTTCTTATCTTGAGGCATTTAGATTTGCCATAAGTTTTGTTTATTGTATTTTTTCAAATGAAAATAAAACCTTAAAATTGCTTGGTAATAATTGGGAGAATAAAATAATTGTGAAAAAAATATTTTTTAGATTTTATTTTTAATTAAAAGAACACAATCAATGAAATTTAGAACAAATCAAAGTGACCTCTAATAAAGACCGAATGGGAGCAGAACATGACCTGGTATTTGGTTCTGTACAATTGAACTGCATATGCATGAGCCAAGAGTTGGTGATGAGATACAGTATAAGGCTCGGTGCCTGAATCCCCTGCCGAGCAATTGCCATTCAACCATGATGAACATCGGCCCGGAACGCTTAGCCCATTATCATAGCCAAAGTTACTATAACTATATGGTTCGTTAAATGTGATCCAGAGTTTTACTCTATCGCCAAATCTCTCAAAGCACAAATTCACAAAGTCTAGATAATCCTTTCTGTAACCATGAAAATTTTTGTGTCATCATATATCCAAAATTTTCATTCACAATCAAATAATTAACATCACTACTTAATTTTCAATGTCTGCTATTGAAATGGTTTTATAAAAAAATTACTGCTTACATAATCTTAGGACTCAAGAAACCACCATACTCATTCTCTAAAGCTTGAGGAAGCTCCCAATGGAACAATGTCACTGCTGCTGTTAGACCTGTAGATTTCAATTTTTATAACTTAGAAAACAAAATAGTAACAAATTAAGAAGAAATTAGAAAAAACCAACTAGATTGAATTGTAACATACCATTAGCAACAAGTTCGTCGATGAGATTATTATAATATTGAATTCCTCTTTCATTTATGCCTTTGTTAATCTTGCCGGCTGCAAAATGCATGGGAATATTCAACAATCATCAGGTGCTTGCTTTATTGTGATATGAAAATAATTTTGTTAAAAGGAAACTTACTAGGTATAAGTCTTGACCAAGAGATAGAGAAGCGATACGAATCCGTATTCATTTCCTTCAAAAGTTTGACATCCTCCTGCAAAATATATAATATGACAAGAAAAACAATATTCATTAATTTTTTAAAGCAAAAACTTAAAAGGAAAAAAAAATATTGTTTAGTTTCACATTGGTTAATTACCTTATACTTGTGGTAAGAGTCAGCTGCTACATCTCCATTGCTATTATTTTCAAGTTTATCTGTGATTTTGGAATGAAGATATTAAAAATTCGGAATATAGTCATCATTAATAGAAAATAAAAAATAGTCCTAATAAATAGTCCATTGGAGATTCAGTCATACGTGAGCATCGACGTTAATTATCTCATTAAAGTTAAAGTTCATAAAATCTCTTCCTTTTTTAGATTGCTTTTACCGAGATTAATTTACAGAATTTGTTAATTCAAGGATAAAAAATTAATTTAAGATTGATAAGTTAAATTAGACCTGGATATTTGTGTGAAAAATAATCCCAATTGCTGAGACCTTTACCGTCAGAATTCCATCCTCCTTCAACCTGTAAATTTATGAGAAAATAATGTTTTATAGTGAATCATTTCAAAAAAAAAAAAAGTTTTACACTTGAGAAGATTTATACTCTGAATAAACCTATTAACAGATTATTTTTCTTATTAAATATTCAAGACTAAATTGTTTTAAAAAAGAAAAGAAAAAGAAAAGAATGAAGAAAAACCTGGTACGAAGAAGTTGCAGTCCCAAAAACAAAACCTTCAGGAAAACTGGTACGATTGAGGATATTAATTCCGAAAGTAGGTGATAACCGCTGAGTATTTCGGTCAATTTTATGTGTCCGAAAGCTCTTAACATGAACTCCAGAATTACCATGTACACCATACACATATAAAACCAAGAAAACCCCTAGCAAAAAGAGACGACCACCAACAACTTCCATGGCTGAGGATTCACTATGTAATAGCTTAATTTGCCTTTTGATTATTTGATAGTTTCTTACCTTTGACATGCCATGCACATTTTGGGTTTTATAAATTGGAATAAAAGAGAGTGAATTTATCTTCAATCATCATCTTTTTCTCTTTCAATAAAATCTTATCTCTTTTTCTTGATAATATTTAGCTAAAATCTTGTGCAAACACAAACGAAAAGTGATAAATTTTGATAAAAAGAAAAAATGGATATGCACGTATTTGAGACCATGCAATGCATGCACCGTAAAAAATGGGGGTATTGCCACTTTATTACCTTGCAAAGTACCAAGTTAACATGGAAAAGTTTCGATGCAAATTATACTTTCATCGTTCTATAATTAAACTCGTATCTTTTCAAAGAAAATAATTGTTTGTTTTCTATCTTGACTCATAATATTTAATTTTTTAACCCTGAGTAATTTTTCCCCATAATATTGTTGCTTTTTTTATCCGAAGAAGTTGTCATAAGTGGTTCCACATTTGATTAATCATGGGATAGTTATGAGGTTTCATCCGTGAGTTGTCTTCTAATCTTCTTATATATAGTAGAACTTAATTATGGAACAGACATTCAATGTCTTAAAAACTGAATAATTTGGTACAAAAATTAGAATTAAATATTTATGAAGACTAATGAAGTATGATGCGTAGAAAGTATGTTGTGAGAGATAAAATAGTTGGTAACATTTTGCTGACGGTGAAAGATCCTCAAAGATTAATATTAGTGTAAACGAATTACAAAATGAAATCAATAAAGATACTGTGAATTTATAATACATCTGCTTGGTTATCATTCTCCATCTTATATTTAAGTTTTGGAGATACGGTTTCAATAATCCATACAATATTGACCTTCTTAGCACGAATTTTCGTATCTTTACAAACAAAATTTAACATTTTTGACAAAATTTCAAATTCCCAAGATGTAATTTACTTGTCTACCATTCCCTGTAATTGTTGTATGTGTATTGACGGTAACGACAAGATTAAATCAAAATTAACCGACTATGAGCGAACAAATGAAAAAATTGAGAAGAAGTCGGTGTTGCATATAAGAAAATCAATAAACAAAGTAAAATAGCCACAAAAATAGAGGGCATTAATATGTCCAAGTTTGTCCGCGCAAACTACATACAAATACGTACCTACATAATAAATTAAGCTAGTCTAACATTCCAAAAATGAGCACAAAACATATGAAAAATACAGGACAATGGGACATCCTGAGGAAGTAGTATAAGAGTCGTATATAACCCGTAATAACCATTCCCAAAGAAAAATTTAGCTACATTTGGATGTTGTGGGATCGTGTAGTTTGTTGCTTTCATGGCGCAAACTGGTCTCTCCACTGTATGACTGTATCTGCTCTTTACACCCTAACAAGCAATATTCAACGATAGACATTACGTTAGAGAAGTATAAACCTTCAATGCTGTACTTACTGACCATAAGTCTTTGACATATTCAGTGTAATTCTTGATTCATATTAGAAGGTGAAGCAAAGACAGAGGCGATCCACAACATTAGAAGTTATCACTCAGTATCGACCTCTCCGGTCCTCCACAAGTGTTCATTGTTAAGTCTCAAACAAAGAAGCATTCACAAGTAGAGACAATCATACAAGATAATTTCAGTTCCTCTCAGGATGTTCCTTCTCTCCCTCTAGTAAATTGTCATTTTTATATGTCTATTCGTGGAATGTACAATTTAGACATATAATCTCCACATGGGAGGCATCAAAAGAAAACGAAAAATAGCACCACACACTAAACAGATAATTCGTTGCAAGAAGGTACGAAAATTATGCTACCTATGAATTAGTAAAATTTAGAGAGAAAAACCGCATACTTGGAAAAATTGTGCCGAGCTTTTTCATAGCTTTTGCCCGCAACTTAAGAACATCCCTTGAAACACTAGGGTCTCTGAGCACCTGATATCCAAAAAAACTTCATATCCATTGTGAAAGAAACCGGAACTATTGTACCAAGCAGTGATCAATAGAACCAAACTTAAAGTTTCTGAGAGAAATATCCGGTTCTAGACGTATTCCGAAAGCATAGACTTCTAAAGTAAAACCGACATAACTGATTAATTAGGGCTAGTTAATCTCATTCTTGTCCATCATTAACTTGTTGCGGAGAAAAACTAAGAAGAGGAGCAAGCCCAGCCCAAGGCCCAAGTCAAGAGAATATAAAACGGAAAAAAAAAAAAGGAAAAAAAAAAGAGGGAAGTTTGGTAAAACATTCAAAACCGGCGCCGGTTCGATCAGTCAATCAAACCAGCTTCGTCCTTGTTCAGTCACACTGACTCTCCTCTCTTAGGTGCATTTTTTCAAACACTTGGCTGTCACCTCCCATGCCGCATCAATGTCCTTTAGAAGCTTCAGCAAAGTTCTCCGTTCCACCCCCAAAATTGTGAACAAGAAATCCACCCGCCCTCCTACCGCCACCGCCTCCTCCGGTTCCTCTGCGGAGGACCTTGCCTTGAAGAAGTACGTCTCCAGCATCGACACCTCCACCTCTAAATCTATCCGACAAAATTTGAGCAACTTCAAGTCACCTATATCCGATTCGCCGTCTCTGCCTTCTTCTTCTCACAAGCGTCTCGGAGATGTTTCTGGCTTTGGAAACTTGACACTCCTATCTGCAGCTGAGAACGGTACGTGGGCGACTTCTTCTTTTCTTTTCTTTTTTCCCCCGTTTCTGCTTGAATTTCGATCCGTGCACTGAGTTTTCTGAATTTCTTGTTTGGATTGATCTTTAAAATACATTGACCATGTTCTTACTTTTATTATTATGCTTTCTGCTCGTAGAGGAGGACTCGGTAAGGCTGCTTACGGAGGATATTACTTCATGTTTTGATGGTAAGGAAATAATACATTGTTCTCTGCTTTCTGATTAATTAGTGCTGTGCGCGTGGGTTAAAATATGTTCATCCCATAATTTGATCTCTTTTAAAAGATTTTGAACATATCATGGACCTTGGGATTTGTGCTTGTGTGATGATTTGGAATACATCTCGGGCCATCTGGCTATGTCCATATTATCCCAAACATTGTGGTTTTCCGTTTCAATTAGTTTCTTCAGCTTATAGGCATCCTGAAATTCGAGCATGTAATCATATTTGATCAATAAACTGCTTTAACTTTGGTCCTTATACTATCTGCATAGCTGATTTGGTTGAATTTCGTGGCTGAGCAGGTGTTATAGATGTTGATTCAAGTTATTCACCTAATTCACCTGTTGATAGTTATGGTACTGTTTCATTAACATCTTGGGAAACAAGCGCCACAACCACCAGGCTAATCTTGCGTAGGAAAGAATCAACTCGGGACCGTAAGGCAAAATATGCCTTCAGGGCTCATCAAACAAGACGATTTGACCAGCTTGTTAAGATGTGTGGGCAGAAGTTGGGACCTGATAGCACTATTGAAATTCTCACTAGATTTGGACGATCAACTGGAGTAAAGGATTGTACCTCATTATTACAAGTTTGCGTAGAAAAAGCAAGGAAAACCGATGATGAAGAAGTTTCTCTGCACCAGATATTTAAGGCCTACAAAATTCTAGAGTTTATGAAGGAAAGAGGTTACCAAATTGAGGAAAAATCTTATGGCGTGGTCCTGAGTTATTTAATTGATTTTGGCCTGGTTCAGGAGTTCCATCTCTTTAGTGACCTTATCAGAGATGCGAGTTTGGGTCCTAGCTTAGCTTACTATGAAATGCTTCTCTGGATTCGAGCTGAAGATGATGAAAAGATACAGGACCTTTGTTATAATCTAGCTTTGTATGATGGTGATGATAAGTCCTCCTTTCAGCAAAATTTTCTGCTTGCTTTTTGTGATGGTGACCGGAAAAAAGAGCTTCTGCCACTGTTAGAAACTTTTGATATTATGGAAGTTTCCTCTATGGACGACGCATCAAAGGTTTTTAAATCTCTGGGAAAGTTATCATTGGATTCTGTGGCAGAAAGATTTCTTTTGACGTTCAAGGTAAATGATATCAAAATGGACGATATTTCAAGATTTATCTTTGACTTTGTAGTTAGCAATGCAGATTTGGCTGTCGAAGATGTGATTTCTAAATTTAAAACTTTGCATGCAACATTGGAGATGGTGCCTGCATCCAAGTATTATGAGAAGTTGATTCGGTATTGCTGTGAAACATTTGAGGTACACTGGGGGCTTGATGTAGTAGACGAGATGTTCAAAGTTGGATTACTCCTGTCACTGGAGACATTTCATTATCTATATGCTGTGTGTGAGGACAAGAAGGAGTATCATTTGGTTCACCGCATTTATTCCACGATGTCATCCCATGGATTGGAACCAGATGTTGAAACTTTCAGGAGGATGATAAATCTTTGTGTGAGAATGAGAGATTTTGAAGGTGCATATGCCATGGTTGCAGATATGCAAAGATTGAATTTGGTTCCAAATGTAAGCATTTACAATGCCATCATGGCTGGATTCTTCCGGGAGAAAAACATTAAAGGTGCATTGACTGTTCTCAAACAAATGCAAGGCGCGAATGTCCAGCCAGATTCTCATACATACAGTTATCTTTTAACTAATTGCACTTGTGAGGAGGATATTCTTGTGATTCGAGGACAAATGGAGCAGTCTGATGTTACATTCACGAAGCATGTATATATGGCCATGATAAATGCGTATGCAGCATGTGGACAGTTCGAGAAGGCTAAGGAGGTGATATCGGTGCTGGTCGAAGAGAATAAACAGATTAAGCTCTTGAATTTAAATGAGATAAAAAGTGTGTTAGTTTCCGCTCTTGCTTCCAATGGACAAATGTCTGATGCTCTAGACGTGTTCACTGAAATAAAGCAAGCAGGATGTGTTTTAGAGCCAAAGGCTGCAATTTGTTTGATGGAACATTTGGATACCGAGGGAGAATTGACTAGATTGCTCGAAATTCTTGAGGAACTAAAGGAGTTATTACATTTTTGGGTTGATGGATGCATCAGGGTTATTTTGTACTGTGTTCGTCGTCATAAGCATCTAAAAACCGCTATAGATTTGCTTGAACAAGTTGTGGAAAAAGGCAAAATGGAAGCAGATGTTGGTGGGAGTGTTTTTGATAGGGTGTTTTGCGAATTCGCAGAGACTGAACCGAGGGAAATGCAGTTTGGTATGGATTTGCTTCAAGCTGTCAAGATGAAATTCAATACCCGGCTGTCTCGGAAAAGTCTCGATTTCCTCCTTTCGGCTTGCATCAGTGCCAATGATTTGAGAAGTTGTTTTCTGATTTGGAAAGAATACAAGGAAGCCGGTCTCCCCTACAACGTTCTAAGTTATGTTAGAATGTATCAGGTACTTTTGGCATTGGGAGATAACAAGTCTGCTGAAGGTATTCTGAATAAAATACCAACAGATGACTATCATGTTAACCTTGTCATCCAAGCTTCTCAAGCAAAGTATATAAAAGCTGACTCTCCAGACGAGAAGAAAAATAAGAAGAAGAAAAAGAAGAAGAAAAACAAAGTTGTAGGATAGCATTTTCCAGGGGTAAAATGGAAAGCCAGAGTACTGAATCATTTTTTGTTCATTAGCTAGCCACTGAATTTTTTGTAGTCATCGAAAGTTGAAAAGGTTAATCATATCCAATCCTCTTTCTGTCTGCATACATCATGTTCACGCTTAGTTTTTTGTTTTTTTTTTTTCCCTTTTCCCTCCCTTTCAGCTCTCTATAACCTTGCTTCTTAATCCAGGTTGTTAGAACTGATCCCTTTTTTATTAGAAGTCATAAAATCTTATTACTGCAGAGAGATTAAAGAGAAAAACAAAAGATGATATTCATTAAGGACATAGTACAGGAACACAACGAACTCACTCCTTTAGTAGTCAATACATTCTCAATACATCATCATGTTAATCATCGAAAACAGGAAAGGAAGTTCCTTTTTAGGTTTCAGTCTTGAAATTCAGACTAGAACATCAAGATTGCAGTATCTTATCCTTACCGGTTTAAGCTACTTGATTCATCTTGACTGTATATCTAACGTCAAGACCTTCTCCCTTCCAAAGTTCAGATATAACTCTTGCTGCATGTTTTCAAAAGGAATTAGCAACAAGAATGGCTTGCCTGCATCTGGCTTTAGCCTGTTCAAGTCTCTCATTCAGCGTTTCTTCTTTCACAGCAGCTCTGACCATTGACAAATCCATCTCCATTAGCTTCAAAACTCTGGACAGCTCAGTAACCATCCTCTCTTCAACTTTCCCTTCATCTCTCAACACTTCAGCTTCTTCTCTCGCTCTCTCGGAAACAATTTCCCCTGCTTTCGCCAACAGAGTCGTCGAACCGAATTCCCTCCCCATAAGTCCTTCCAACTTCTCCAAGAAATCCATAATCACATACCCAACTGGCTTTTCAGTACTAATTGGAACTGTTCTTTTCCACCCAATCTCGAAATTCGGTGGCTCTGGTTTTGCAATGCCAGTTCTGGACTGTCTTTCCCGGGTTATGTCTGATTTTCTTCTTTTTTCGATGGGGAATTTTTCTGGGCTGTTTGTAGCCAGTGAGCTGGGAGCTGGATCAGGGAAGGAGTCATCAGAAACAGAGTCAGTGGAGCATTTTACACGGAATTTTCTTGGGTGTTTGGGATGAAATGTAGCTGGAAACGACTTGTTGGATGGCTTTTGGTTTTGGGTTGGATGAGAATGAACTGAATGAAAATAATAAGCATGTCGAAGGAGCTGGATGACATTGGAAGCCATGGATATTTTTGGTGGTGAGCAAACTGTCCAGTAGAAGAGCTGGCTGGGTTAATCATTCAGGATAAGGTTTCTTCTGCATTTTGCATAGCCGAAGACATTATTAATAAATATCTCTTGTTTGAGATAAAATTGGACTGTTTTGGTAAATATATATATATATATATCAGAATTACCACTCCATTAAGAATATATCATGCTTGACATCCTTGCATTGCATCAGTTTAATTATTGGCCAACCAAAAAACAAAAAACAAATAATAATAAATAAATAAATAGAAGGGAAAAAGTTTAAAAATGATATACTATTTTTGTTTCCAATTTTTCAGATAAAAAATACAAATGGTGTATCAAAATGGGATGTTGAGAGTTGACACTGTAAATTGGGTCCAAAAATGAAACATAAAACACAACCGAAAATGAACATTTTGTACACATTTTGTTAGTATCATAACCGCGAAAGAAACAAAAGTAGACTCCTTAAAATGATTATTTCATAATAGTATACAAGAATAGCATAAAAATTAAGTACTGATATCATCATCAATTTGTTCAATTTCAAGAGCAACAGATCTACTGCATAGAGGCTCTGACGACCCTTCTGAACAAGAAGAAGAAGAAGAAGTACTACCGCCGGGTTGAACTTGAATCCTCACAGGTGAATCCAGAGGATACAATGATGGTTTAGGAGGCAATTTCAGGCTTTGGAGATCAGCTTCAAGCATTTCTATCACTTCCCTCATCGATGGCCTATCAGTTGGTGTCATCTGTATGCACCAGAAGCCAATCAAGATCAGCTTTTTAGCAATCTCTTTTTCTTCATCACTGGCATCATTTATGATCTCAATGTCCTCGTCACTTCGATCGAATTTGTCGTATACCCAGGAGGTGAAGAACATTTGACTTGATCTGTCCGCGTTTGCATCGATGTCTTTCTTCCACCTTCCAGCCATATCCATGAGTAGCATTCCGAAACTGTACACATCTGCCTTGTAAGAAACTCTTCCAACATTCTTAAAGATCAATTCAGGGGCAATGTACCCAATTGTTCCTCTTACTGCAGTCAGAGTCGCAATGTCATGATGGCCATCTAGTACTGCTGGATACAGCTTAGCAAGTCCGAAGTCTGAAACTTTCGGGGTGAAATTCTCATCGAGGAGGATGTTATGCGGTTTGATGTCGAAATGCAGGATTTGAATGTTGCAGCCTCGATGCAAGTACTCGATTCCTCGCGCAACCCCAACTACAATCTCGTATATTTTCTTCCAACTGAGTGAGTTGGCATCTGATTTATTTTCCGAGACAATGAACTTATCCAGCGAGCCATTGGGCATGAAATCGTAGACTAAAGCGTGCTTGGAGGAGGTAACGCAATATCCTACTAATCGGACCACGTTGACATGATGGATTCTTCCAATCGTCGCGACTTCATTGATGAAATCTTGGCCGTTATTGCCTTTTTGGTTGTTAAGCATCTTGACAGCGACTAAATCTCCGCTTCGCAGTTTGCCTTTGTATACGCATCCGAATCCTCCTTCACCTAATTTCTCCCTGAAATTGCTGGTGATGGACTTTATTTCCCCATAGGAATATCGAATGGGCATAAGGCCAGTGTTTGCCTTCAAGAAATCTTCAACAGAATCATACATAGACAAATGCCTCCGCTTCCACTTGTAAATGAGAAACGCCATCATAAGTAGAACACCAAAAATATTTCTAGCCGTGGTCACTAGCACTGCAAACATTTACATTTAAGCAAATGATGCTCTATATACTTATTTGATAATAACAAACTAGGAAGTTAAACGCAGCTATTCATTGAATGACAGCAAGGAAAGGAAATCCATGATTTCATCTTAAGCATAGCCTCTTACCTAAGCCAGCGAGTCCGATAGCTTCGAGACCTACAGGGGAAAAAAAAAGGGAAAAATGGTTTATTTAGTTTTCTTCTTTTCTTTGGAGATTGAAAATGATGTGGTAGTATGTGATAAGTGGGAGTTTTGGTTTACTCACGCCCAATCTTGGATGACCCCCCATGAATGTGTTTAACGATTCCCTGCAATGTATTTAGTATTGCTACAATATGGCCTACAGCGTCCAAGAGAAACAAAAAGAGAGAAAAAAAAACAAATGAAAACGAAGAAAACGTCAATGAACAAAAAAGGAAAAGAAGCAAACAAAAACGGGCGCGGCGCGCACATACACACACTTACACCGAAATGGTCTCCCCAAACTGAAATAGTTTTGAACATAAATGTCGCTACTGTTAAGCCATTGGAGGTGAAAGCCAGAAGCCAAGAGGTTGTGTATGTCTTGGAATGAAACGTTGGGGGTCCCTGATGATGTTTGGAGGGGACTATTAGACCCATCAATCTGTGCAGGAAGAGCTTTAATGATGGTGCACGAATCATCAATCTCAGCTACACTAAGGCCCCTGTGACGACCGACCACGACGTAATTATAATAACGAGAGAAATGGCGGGTAGAGGAATTATAGGCTGCGCTGACATTACAAGTCGGGGTGTCTACCAGGCGATAGTACGTGGAGTTTGAGAAATGGGGAGGCTTCACTGTCGAATTTGTACAGCTCACAAATACCAATTCATCAGTTTGAGGACCCGCGCTCCAGTCCATGTAATATCTTGAATAGGTATGAAGTGGAAGAATGGAAGTACAGTTGTTGCGGCGTGGTAACCCAGGATCTGTGACCCGAATCGCTTGATTTTCATAGTCGATGCTGTTTGGGTCTGCATAGTAGTAATAATTTTTCAGAAAAAGAGGGTCAGGATAGAGAACAGTGCGGTTATCCTGACAAGACAAAATGTAGCAGGGATAACTGCAGACACTTGGATCAGCTTCAGATCGAAGAGGGAACTTCAAAGTGATAGGGCCAGAATCCCCGCAGATGTGTTGCCTATGTGCATATGCATAAGTATTTGTTGGAGGAGGAGCAGTAACAGTATAACAACCGGTGGGGTCGTCGTACTGGAGATCAAAATAAGTCCACCAGGAAACCAAGAAGTAGACTAACAGAAAGGATGAAATTAGTACCAAAACCTGCACCGCTGGGAACATGGTCTCGATCTCAACAACTCTAAGAGTGTGTAAGGGAGGGGAACTGCAGGAACAAAAAGATACTCTTGCTTTCAAGCAGGAAGAATGTAAAATCTCAATAAAATGACACCCCAAACCCCACGTTGAAGTCTTTTTTTTTTTTTAGCGTGAATTAAACGGGTCGTTGCGTCAATGCGGGGGTGAGGGGATTGTATATCACTATCACCAATTGCCCAAAAAGTGTGGAATTGGAATCCCCCACTCTGACATGAAGGTCAGTCAACGTTCCGCCCGCATGACATCATACAAATCATTTTTCTCGTCAACAGATGCTCCAATTATTCATGGAACCAAAAAAAATTTCCCCTTCATTATTCAATTAATTCCCTTCAAATTGCAGAAATGATGATGATGATGATGATCAGAGTTACATTGATGGTGGCTTTGATTATTATTCCTTTTTTTTGTTCACTCATCTCCCCCCAACCAATCCTTGCAGGGAACCAACAACCAACTTCACACCCTGATGATGATGATGATTTGTGTGCTGCTAAACAGTGCTGGCCTGATGGGCCTGCAGTAAGATTTCCGTGGTTCCTCCAAGGGATGCAACCTGAATCCTGTGGGTTTAATTCAAGCTATAAGCTTCATTGCGACCACTTGAACCGCACTATTCTACAGCTGTCTCCCTCATCTATACAAGTTTCAGTCCGCGATATAGACTATTCCAGTCCCGAAATGTTTGTCCAGCTTCTCCAGACTTGCTTGGTGAAGCAGCTATTAGATCGTAATTTATCCACCCTCGACTTCCAGAATCGCACCCAACAAAACATCTTTGGTGAACTTAACTTCACTTTCACTCTACTCAATTGCTCAAGTCATCATTTTGGCTTGTTCCCCGTTCCTTGTCTTGGAAATGAAAGATATGGAATTTATGCAGTAGGAACAGATGAGATAATCATAGGTGACCCAGTAGGAAGAGATGATAGATTATGGGAATCCTGCACAAAGATGAACCATACCATCACCAGCTCCGTTCCACTGGATATACTTTCCGAAGGGGAAGGACACTTGTACTGGCCTACTTTTCCACCATGCGAAAGCTGTGAGGCACGAGGTGGAATCTGCAGATGGGTTAACAGAACTGCCAATCTAATCGGCTGCCGTGTACTGGAAGGAAACAGGGTCAAACGTCACTCTGGTATTGAAATACTTATTCTTTATATTAAAATGGATATACTTAATCCCATCGATCTCACATGCAAAATCAAGTTATTGATAGACAACACTTAAAAGTTATCTCCCTTGTTTGCAGAGATATTGAAGATACTACAAATTTCAGGTAACTGCTTTCCCCCTTTTGCTTTTTCATTTGATTGCTTCCAGGAGAAATCTGCAAATTTAAGTAACCTTTTGATTATTACAACAGGTACTATCATTGGATGTCTGGTTCTCATTATCCTTATTTTGGGTGCGAGTTACCTTGCTTACTCCACGGTAAAACTAGACAGGGAAAATCGGATCAGGTTAAAGAAATTCTTGGAAGACTATGTAGCCATGAAACCTACACGATACTCGTATGCTGAGATCAAGAAAATTACAAACGAATTCAAGGTTAAATTAGGTGGAGGAGGTTATGGAAATGTCTACAAAGGACAGGTCGGGAAAGATGTATTCGTTGCTGTGAAGCTCCTGCATAATTCCTCTGAAAACGGGGAGGAATTCATTAACGAGGTTGGAACAATGGGGACAATCCACCATGTGAATGTTGTTCGTTTGTTAGGCTTCTGTGCTGATGGATACAAAAGAGCTCTTGTCTACGAATTCCTACCTAATGGTTCTCTGGATAAGTTCATATTTCCAAATTGTCAACCACAACAAACACTCGGGATGCAAAGGTTGCAACACATTGCCATCGGCATCGCCCGTGGAATCGAGTACCTTCACCAAGGATGTGAGCAGAGGATCCTCCATTTCGACATCAAACCACACAACATTCTGTTAGATCATAACTACAATCCCAAGATATCCGATTTCGGGCTAGCCAAGCTGTGTGACAAAGGAAGAAGCCATGTCTCCATGACTGCAGCAAGAGGAACAATGGGGTACATCGCTCCTGAAGTATTCTCCAGGCATTTGGGCGCCAATGTATCTTACAAATCTGATATCTACAGTTTCGGGAAGCTGTTGCTTGAGATGGTGGGGCAACGAAAGAATGTCGACGCCAATGTGAAGAATCTAAGCCAAGCTAATTTTCCGGAATGGGTTTACAAACGTTTGGTCAATGGTGAAGAGTTTGGAATGATTCAAGACGTGGAAGACGGGCCGGAGATGAATCAAATCGCAAGAAAATTAGCAAAAGTAGGACTTTGGTGCATCCAGTGGAGCCCGGTTGACCGACCTTCTATATCAACTGTGCTCCAATTGCTTGAAGGAAGTGGCGAGACTTTGAGTCTTCCACCCAATCCGTTTACTACGTCTTCTTCGGGCAATGCAATAAATCCAGCTGACCCAAGTGAGCATGGAATGCCAACATTGGCAGCAATTTCGGAATTGGAATGAATATTATACGGTACTCGATGTAACAATAATCCAGTTAAGACCGCTTTCTCTGATGAATGAAGTTATGTTATGTTTGGTCCCTCGTTATAAAAATTCAAGTCTTTTCAATTTTATAATCTTAGTGGTTCTATATCTCTTTGTAACTTCCAATAGTTCCTGTCCATCTTAGTTTCAATGACCTTATATTATGTAGAAGTTTGTGTCCATCATAAGACAACAATACATGACTCAGTTTACTGATCCTACAAAACTGGATTGCTGGAAGACACAAAAATCCTTACTACCCTTGTTATCCCTAATTGGCTACTCCCATGGCACCCTCGGATGCATAATATACCCAAAAAAAAAGACCATGGTTAAAATAAAACATCATCGTTTTATCTATTTACAAACTATACTACTTGTAGAGTCAAACCAAGGTAGATTTCAATAACTGTCTAAGGTTGTGGTCATGAGTGAGAACACAATATTGTCATGAGAACCATGGACTAGTTTCCTAAACTAAACTATACATGTTATGTGAAAGTGAAATATAAAATGGGAAAGGGGCTTGTCTGTAATTATGGAAAATTACAGGGACTCGGTGTGATTTTTTCTCAAGTTTCCTTCAGTATATAAACCTTCTGGTCTTCTGGATGTCAGACTCGTCCGCACACTCAGCACTAGCAGTGGGGGGGAAAATTGACTTACAAATAAAATCAAATCAAAAAAGAGAAAGAGAGGAATTGCAGCGGGAATGGCGAAGATTGCCCTAGGTTGCGAACCAGTGGTGGGATCAATAACATCTGCGAAGAAGAAAGAGTATAGAGTCACCAATAGACTCCAGGAAGGCAAGCGCCCCTTGTACGCCGTCGCTTTCAACTTCATCGACTCCCGCTACTTCAACGTTTTCGCCACAGTCGGCGGCAATCGGGTAATTCCCCGTTTTCTCTTCCTGTTCTTTTTCCCCTTTATTCTGAGTGAGGTTTACCAAAAGAAATAAAGCATCTTTCTTTGATTTTTTTTTCCCCTTTATAACTGAATGTTACTGATGTGGGTTAGAATTTTGGACTTGGATTATAAAGGCGGTACCTTTTCCTCATATACTAGCTTGGAATTGATTTATTTGTCCTCATGAGAGAATGTTGTATCTGGATTTTTCAAATGTGAATTCAAAGTTTCTCCATTTGCTAATAAGTTGCCATTAATCATTCACCATTCTCAATGAAAAGTGTACTGGAACCAAATACACGTCTTTTCTTTACACCCTGATGCTGAACGGGGTTTTAAAGGGTTCTGTTTTTTTAACCATTAGGTTTTTAAAAAAGTTTTTGCTGTCCTTTTCTCAGGTGACTGTGTATCAATGCTTGGAAGGTGGTGTAATTGCTGTCTTGCAGTCTTACATTGATGAAGATGTAAGATCTTTCACTATCAAATTTCTGAAATTTTTGCTGTTGATGTTGCATAGTGGTGTTTGTGAATTCTTACGAGGCTTTGGTGCTTCCAAATGCTTTCTAGATCAGAAGGATGAGTCTTTCTATACTGTCTCCTGGGCTTGCAATGTTGATGGTGCCCCATTACTAGTGGCTGGAGGAAGTAATGGCATAGTACGAGTGATTGACGCTGGCAATGAAAGGATACACAAGGTAGTGTGTTGAAAATTTTTAACTCTTGTAGTAGTTCGTATTTTGGTGGTTTTGTGTTCCGGCTTGCATTGAAGAAAAATATGGAACAGGCATTAACCTTTGGCCATAATTTTCTGGCCAACTCAACTCTTTTATATGTTATTCTTAGTAATATCAATGTTGGAACATGGTGCTTTTATATATAAGATAAGATAAAAGGAGGATCCTGTTTTTCATAAAATTTTCTCCATGGTTGCAGAGTTTTATTGGCCATGGTGACTCAATCAACGAGATCAGGACTCAGGCTTTGAAGCCGTCACTTGTGATTTCTGCATCCAAAGTGAGTGAAGTGATAATTAACCGTATGTGTTTTTAAACTCCTGAAATTCATCTCATGTACTGATTGAACATCCTCGTGTGATCCCTCACTATTAGAAGTTGCTAGCTCTTTGTGAGAGAATACTCTTTTTTTGTGTGTGCATTTTTACAATGCTCTTTATTTACATCATGATTTTGACAGGACGAATCTGTGCGGTTGTGGAACGTCCAAACTGGAATATGCATTTTAATTTTTGCTGGTGCAGGGGGTCATCGGAATGAAGTCCTGAGTGTGGTATTGTCAACTTAGATACCCTCTTCTATATACAACTCTACCTGGATCCCTTTTCTATCACAACTATACCTATTTCTTGGAGTTTGGTGGGGAAAAAGCTGTCCTGAGTGTATTGACATTTTATTTGTGCTGTTATCTCAGGATTTTCATCCCTCTGACATCTATCGAATTGCAAGCTGTGGAATGGATAACACTGTTAAAATTTGGTCAATGAAAGGTAAATGAAACTTTTAGGATAGTATATTTTTGTTTTCCTTCCGTAAAAATGCTGTATATGATGAAAAAACTATGGGTCTGACAGCTTTCTCTTTCCGATAAAAGCAAGGTTATGAACTATTGCAGTTCATTCGTTTGTTGGTAGTATTGCTCGGTTGTCCATTTTGATTTACTTTTGATGGGTTCAGAACCTTAAATTTATACTCTGCTATGGTGTAGTATAATTTAGGTTTACATATACTACCTGCAGAATGAGCAAGCAGTTGCATAATACCTTAATTGTAACAAATTGAGTTATTGTCACTATGAAAAATATGAAATTGTGGTGCATTATGCTTCTTTTGTTGCAGAGTTCTGGACATATGTGGAGAAGTCATTTACTTGGACAGATCTTCCATCCAAGTTTCCGACCAAATATGTCCAGTTCCCTGTAAGTGGAGGCTGCTTTGTGGTTTGTATCCCCCCCCCCCCATGTTGTATGTTCCCTGCCGTGATTTCAGATCACGTTTTGTCCAGGTATTCATTGCGTCGGTTCACACCAACTATGTTGACTGCAACAGGTGGCTTGGCGATTTTATTCTATCCAAGGTACCCTCTACGGCTGATTCTACTAGACTGATATGCATCCTCATAACTTAGAAGGTTTCACCTTAAATAACTCATGGTGGTGAGACTAGTGTTTTGGCTCCACTTCTTGTGCTTATCAACCACCTTGTATATTCTATCTAGCTAATGTTAAAATTTAATTAATGTCAACTTGGAATCGTTCTTTCAACTTATGATCCAACATTTTGTTTGCTTTTTCCAAACTGGCTTTAGGTTGAGTGGTTTTTTTCAAGACATCAAATTAAATGTTGGAGTAGACATTTTTGTTAGCAAGATGTGACATTAGGATTGGACAGATAGGATTTTCCTTTCTCAGTATTAACTTAAGTTTCCTCTGTTTCCTCTTTCTCTCTTCTTTCTCCAGAGTGTTGATAACGAAATTGTGTTGTGGGAACCTAAAATGAAAGAACATTCTCCTGGAGAGGTGAGAAGATCTTTATTAAACATACTTTTACAATGAATGTGTTCAGTAATTTGTATGGGCCCGGAACCTTGTGATTGTTTATGAGCTGTCTGACTTTATTTCAGGGCTCAGCTGACATCCTTCAAAAGTATCCAGTACCTGAGTGTGATATTTGGTTCATCAAATTTTCCTGTGACTTCCAATACAAAGCCACAGCAATAGGTATGTGTGAATTATGAATGATATAGACTGCTAAAGTTCCAGTACCTTGGCATGTAAAGAACTTTGAATGGCTGATTTAGGTATGTGTGAATTATGAATGATATAGACTGCTAAAGTTCCAGTACCTTGGCATGTAAAGAACTTTGAATGGCTGATTTCTCAATTTATAAAATATAGCTTTGTGACGAGAATATGCCTAGAGTCTTCTCAGAAAACAGCTTCATTTTATGATGCTATATTTTAGTTTAAGGTATCGCTGATTGACTTTGAGATGACCTGGTGATATTTTGCAGGGAATCGAGAGGGAAAGATTTTCGTTTGGGATCTCCAAACCAGTCCACCTGTTCTCATTTCTAGGTTAGTTTTATATCTATGACTCTTCATACATGGGATGGAATTCTGTTTTCTGTATCTGATAATTATTTAACTTGGGGAAATTCAAATATGACTTTCAGATTGTCTCATGTTCAATCAAAATCTCCAATTAGGCAGACTGCCATGTCCGTTGATGGAAGGTATAACTCAGTTCTGTAAATCTTTGGTACAATTTGTGTGGTTGTGTCTGATTACTAAATGAATATGCCTTGATGATCCATGCAGCACAATCCTCAGTTGCTGTGAGGATGGAACAATTTGGCGCTGGGATGTTGTAGCTAGTTCGTCTTGAGGTACAGCGTGTTGCCAAACTATTGTGCAGGATATGTCCGAGTGTTTCATTAGATGGATGTTGCATGACTAGATGTGGCTGAAAATTTGTCGGTAGTCTGACTAGGTGCCTAGTGGCTCATTTGAGGAAACTTGTTCTAGATGTTGTAACATAAACATGATGTATATCTTTCATGAGACCCAATTAATTAATTCATTTTAAATTGATAATTTGATATACTTCTTCCATTCCAACGTAATTTTTTGATATATTTTTTCCGTCACAAAATAGTAGTGCATTTTGGGATGAATAGTTTTTCTCACAAACTGTTCCTCTTGTAAACATAAAATGCGAAGAAAAATCTCACCTTCGTCAACCTTCCTCACTTTTTTACAACAAATAGCTGAGTCTTGTATCTGTATGGCATCGACTCTGTCATACAACAAAATTGCCTAAATCTTATAGGTAGAGCAAAATTGCCTATACTTATATATGAAAGCTTTTATACATTTGCCAGCTCGAGCTCAAACTTAACACGTAATACTACCGTATCTAATATCTACAAAAAGAATAGCCATGAACTGGGGTTGGAATTTTGCTGTCATGGGGAGACAGCGACATTTAAATTTGAGTCCGCAACTGTATCAACAATTTCTGCATGCTTTCGAGTTTCTGACTCAATTGTTTAACATTATCAAGATTCTCAGCGGAAAATTCAGGACTGCCGATTTCTGAAGTGAGAGCAGCACACTTAGCTTGCGAATCCAAGATCATTTCCTCAAGAGAAGAAACTGTTTCCTCTAAACGCAAACTATGGACTCCTCCATTTGTTCCGGTGAATGAATTGAAACCATTGCAGCTCGGATTATCGCTTGACTTATCTGGGTTCAAAATTTTGTCAAAACCTTCAACTCCTGCAAAATTTCAAATGACAGGACTCATACTCCGGTCAGGGATTTCTTTAAAATAAAAACATAGCACCTCTGTATTAACTGATCAGGTAGGTTGCTTGAGAATAGAAGTAGACATGTAGTGTCTTTTTGGAAACTAATACAAAACGCTTACGGGTTTATCTATCAGTTGGGCTCACTTTGATTGTTCGTCTTCATTCTGTCAATCTTGTAGCAGACAGCGACCTTAACTATATGAGAGATGAATACCCTCCACTGTTAACCCCTTTCCCCAAAAGAGACAAGTTCCCTTGATCTTTCTATACTATCATTTTTATCATCTTGTGTGCATAGTCTTCAAACTTGCAGCATGCCATGTCTAAGAAAGAGTAACAGTGGCATGCCCACTACAACTAAAATGAGCCTAACCTATAAAGAGGCTCATTCTAAGTCCTCGGAAGTATTTAAGGTGAAATGGAAGGATAGATATAATTGAAAATTCAACAGTGACGACTAAAGCAGTATAATTTGATATTTACCTAAATTACTCAGTTGATTGATTGCTGCAGGGCCAATAGATCCCTCAAGTTTAAGCACCCTCAGGAGTCCAGCAGCAATTCTACCCATAGACTCAACTTCAGTCTTCAACAGACGAACAAGATAATGCAACTCGTCCTTTGTCACAACTGCCTCAATCTAGCAAGTTTCAAAACTTATGTTACATAACACGCAAATAAAAAATAAATAAATAAAACAATTGGCAATTAGATTACCATACCGGCTGTTTGACAGAGAACTTCAAATTATTTACAATCCAGTTGGCTCCCCCACCATCGACATCATCTTTAGGAGCTCCTATGTCAACTTCAGCATTTACTCCACATGTCTCAATATTTTGTTTTCTCCTTCTCTCAACTGCACCATTTTCCAGGATGCCTTCATTAACTAGAGGCTTCAAGATTTCAAAACCTTCCAGACCAACCTGCAAGCAAGTTTAGAGAATGAGTGGGCATGTAATAATCAAATTCTTCGTTCAGCAGCAATCTCAAGCACAAAAAAAAATCTCAGGCTTCCATGGTCTTAAGTTACTCACAAAGGCAGAGTACAAGGCCGTAAAACTATCTTATTAAGCAAAACTGAATACAAACAAAACGTTATCAAGTACTGTGTTGCATCATTTCGGTTTCCTCAATGGATGATGACAATAGAAATCGGTTTTGGACTTGGCTCAAGAAAAGGAACGCGAGAAAACAACAGGCATTACAAACAAGTCTGACCATCTGAAAGCTTTCATAATGAAAGAAGACATTTTTATTTCTCCATATGTAACATGTCACAAATATTACTGTCAGATACTCCTACCCAATAAATGGAAATGCCAAACCACAATTCAGACAAAGGCTGAGGTTCTCACCGTGACAAACTCAACAGGATACTTTCGAATTCCTTTAGATCTCTCGTGAGTTTTCACACTCTTTGGACTACTTTTTCCTTTGAATATCATGTTTTGGAAAGTGGTATGCCAGCACAACTTTTCTCGGTCAGTACCATTAGAATTGATCTGCCATCTTTCTGCCATCTTGTCTTCACCTTCAAGAGCAAATAACCAATCTTTCAACTCTATCACTACATCTACATCATCAGGAGTACCAAGCTGCAAGGGACTGCTATCCATTTTATCTTCAAATTTTGCATCTAGATAGATTAGAAAGTCAACCAAGAAAATGCAAATGATTAAAGAAATTGGATACTGAAGAATAAAAAAATCGGCAATTCATCAAAGAAAGAAATATAAGGCAGAAAGGGGCTTACTATTGATGCTGCCGCTGAACTCATCCACAAAAGGTGATGGTTTGAAAAGTTTAGACAGAGGCCCAGCAGCCAATTGCTCCAACCCTTTAGTAAGACCAACCCCAGGACCACCATCTGGCCCGAGAATTCCAAATCTATGAAGAAGAGATTCAGCATAGCCCATTCCTCCTCCCAGGCGAACACCGCCAACACAAGCTGACACATTTAAACTATGACATTCCACGTCCTGCACATCATATGGAATCACATGGACCACCCTTACGTTCAAAAATGGAACAGAAACTGCCTGGGAATTAGCATGACAACTCTTCCCCCTTTGCACCCAGAAGACAGCTCTCAATTGAGGGCTGCCATTTCCGGACACCATCATATTTTCATTAGATGTCAGCAACGATACATTCTCATCAGACAACATACTCGGAGTATCTGCACAATCAACCTCAACACTTTCCCATTGCACTATAGAGGAGATCATCATGGCACCACCCAAGGTCCTGTGATTGACTTTAACATATAAATCTTCACCAACAAATTGAACCAAAGGTAGTCGTCCACTGTCTGTGCAAACAGTTTCCAGAAACCTCAGCTGCAAGCTCTTCAAGGATATGCTTACAGCAGTATCACCAGGAACCTTGTCAATAAGTGCTACACCTAAGGATTCATCTCGCACTTCCAAAATTTGCTTTCTTTTCCCAACTATGCTAATCTTTTCACTAACCTGGCCAAAATATGTGTAGAGTTCCAGCACAAAGAATAGTTGTTCAACTGAAGTGTTAGACAAAAATTGGTCGCAAGCAACTCCAACTCTGACAATACCTCCTGGGGGTGGAATATGTGTTAACGGTTTTCCATCAACAGTTGCCATAGCTACTTCAAGGCAAACCTCTTTTAGTTCAACACATGTCCACAAGCCTGAAGATGCTCCAGCAGAATCGCTGCTGGTTTCCAAACATAAACTAATGAGACTAGCCCCACTTGTCCACTTTTTCTGACTAGCGTCAATAGGTTGACCTTCCCAAAGACAGAAGCATGCAGGATCTTTCTCTAGGTTTAATAACTTGAGTTTTAGTGAAGGTGAGTCAGAAAAGAACAAATTTTCAATATGAAGAGTTGCTCCAGTAAAGGATCCTTTTGAACTCGTAACAGAACTTCCAGAATCATATTTTGGAATTCCATTATCAAGAGGAACTGTAACATCTAATCCTTTGAGACTGAATAACATTGAACTAATTGAGGACTCCGATAGCACAGAACCAGGACCTGCCGTGACTCCATCAACTAAGAGGGAAGTTATTCTCAGACAGGACTCTTCTTGAAGGTAGATCTGTGAAACAATGCCAAAAGTTTCTCAAAACTAAATTATTAAGGCAAAGAAGGAATGGAGTCCTTCAAGACCAAGTATAGATACTTACCATCAGAGGCTGGCATTCAACAACCGTTTGAGATGCCAAATCTGGTGGGGCTGGAGAGGGTTGGATCTGAAGGCTGTGGAGACATATTAAAGGGACACCAACATTTAACCGCCACCGATCATCTCCCAGAGGATAAATTGGGGGGCAGAAACTCTTAGCTATGCCAAACAACGATGTGGAAAAATAAATTTAAAATGAGAGAGGTCCACAAAGATCAGCAGCTAAAGATAGAACGAGTTCAGTTGTCAAAACATACCAAAATCGGGAATATGCAAGACATCATCTGAAGAAATGTGCACGGACGGTTGCACCAGGGTACATGGAGGGCGCGAAAATGTATCTCTGCATTTAGGCATCAATTTTGATGAATATAGACAATGCAAGAATGTGAGTATAACACAAAACTAAGGAGAGAGTATTCCAAAATTTGGCAACCAGATTTAGTTTTTGCTAAGCCAGTAGTAGGAAGTTAGTTCAACCTGAAATGAATAAATATCCCCAAAGTGGATAACCATTAAACATCATATAGTGCCATTAAAGGGAGCATAAGTCAGTCATGTTTTTACATTTAACATTAATTAGAATTCCAGGAAGTTACACTTGATAACTGACCTCAAAAAAAATCCACCAACCATAACCTGAGTCAAGTTTCTACACTTTTCTCCATCAGAAATGCTAGCCTGCGAGAAGCAAGATCTAGTACTTTAGAAATCATGCATATCAATAGGGTAGGGATTAATTATAAAGCTCATAAGTAAAAAGAATAGGACAGCTACAACTTAGCCACAAATAGAGCATACCCGAGAAAAGAAAAGTGACTGCATTAACAGCTCAAGCTGGAATTCTGCAAGTCAAAGACAAACCTTATACAGGGCCACATTTAAGTCCAAAAAAAATTAAAATAATTATTAAACAGGTGCTCAACAAGCAACATAAAAATATTGCGCAATAAAGGAGGTTCATAATTGACCAAAACTAAAGGCAGGTAGGAAAAAGTAATTATGATTAAGCTTGGTCAATATCAAATAGAAGAAGCAATGGTAGATGATAAACACTAAATTCCAGAATAAAATAAACTAACCAGCATCCTTGATGCAGAGAAAAATATGATCAATGATTATAGAAACCAAAGAACGTCCTGCCGCTTCTGTAGAGCGCTGTAGAGAATGATAGCACAGTAAAAAAAACTCTTAAATTAATAACTATTCTGAGACAATTATTATTCGGATGTAATTAATGCAGAATGATTAAAAACAAAAATTCTTACCTGACCATTTGGGTTCACATCCCCCCTGTTTAAACAGCCATAAAATCCCGTGAAGAACCGGAGCAGAGCCCGTAATCCTGTATAGATTAAAAGCTATGTAACAATGCCAACAACGTTTGAAAGGGATGGCAAAGACAATTTTAAAGCACACTGAAAATGAAACCTTGCCTGGTTCACTGAAAGCAGGGCAAACAACTTCAGAAACGTGTAATTGAACCTCAAGCCCTAGAGGACTATTCAGTTCTGTCCGTTGGATTGTTATCTGAGCAAATTTATAAGAAGTCAAGGATTGGAAATGAAAATAAATATAACTAAAGAACCTATCTTCTCCAGGATGGTTCAGTATAAGGTTATCCGAAAATTAGTTGCAAGTGATGTATTACATAAGCCTCTCCTGATATTCCTTCAATAAAGCGTTCGCCACCAAAGAATGCTCGTTTTGCACCATCAGCATCTTTCCTACTAGAACCTTCCTGAGAGGATGCCATATGAGCATCCAAAAACATATCAGGATGAGGCAAGAGGTCGATAGATAGAAATTCCCATTCGAGTTTCTGCAACCAAAGGAAAATACATTGATTACTCTACTGCAGAAGTGGAAAATACTGATTTCCAACAGCAGGGGAAAAAAAGCACCAAGGTATATTTAACAAAAGGAAATGGACTTTTAAGTACTTAGGCCTGAATCGCCAATTTCTTTAGAATGATTACAAATTCAAGAACAACAATTAGTAACTTAGATGTAGGATAAGTAGTTCAGAAAACAGACTCTAACAAAGCACTATTGGAGTTACCTTGAATACATAAATCGAACCCTTGTTATTGGAAAAATCCCGTGCCTCCTTAAGATTTACCACCTGTTTCAGGATCTTACACAGATAAGAAACTCAAATTCAAGAAAGCATAAAAAATAAATAAATGATAGATCATGTAAAACCACCTGCCAGTCTTCATTTGTTGTATAGAGTAGAAGATTGCGGATGGTTATTGAGGCCATGGGCGGAGCCCTGGTCAGAAAAGAGGAAATAGAAAAGAACACTAGATGAGTAATGACACATTAAACTATTACATGCCAAGCTTTGGAAATGCCAAGTAGAGTAGAAATAAACAAGGATTCTGTAAGTGCCTTGCCCATCATCAATTCAAACATAAACAGACACTATACTGATTCATGGAGACAATGGCATGCAAATACAAAGTAAATGGCACAGCAGTGACGACTCTCCAGAACCAGAGATGAACGAAACCCGACCAATTTCATTTCAATTAAAATCAAAGTGGAAGTGAAAACAACAAGCGCGTTGCAACGAAAAACAATGCAGATGTACAAACATTTGAAGCCATTCTCCTGACAGCAAGCCAAAAAATGCATCCACTAACACACTTAAAATGAGAACTTCTTTACGCAATACCCACGCTAATTGCAAGTTTACATGAGATGATGAGAAGGCAGTCCATATTCAAAAAGAAAAACCAAGAAAATTTGTCCTTGTTAATTTCTAAAATTTAGCACAAATGAAAAAACAATGTATAATGCATGAACAAGACCCAAATTGAAGGGACCTTGAAATCTCAAGTTTATATACAGACAAGCCAAAATAACATAATGATTCCTGAAATGAAATTACACTAGACAGGTGGAAAGATTTGAATACCAAGTAGCTCCACCTTGACGTCGAGCACCCCCATGTGTTTCAACTAAAAGATTTACGGTACCAACTTCCAGTGTCATTCCATCAGCAATCTGTAAATTCAGAGCGGCAATCCGAACGATAAGGGGAAGCACATAAGTAGAAGAAAAAAATTAACTAAAATATGAAGTTAAGGTACAAATGCATCATTTGAGCCACAGTAATATGACTCTGGCCTGTTATAGTTTGTGCTTTGTGGTCATTTGATGCTTCTATTTTACGGAATATAGCCAGCCTACGATTGAGAACCTAACCAAATAAGAAATCAACATGATAAGCAAAGAGACTAACCTTGTCTGCAAATCCATAACCACTGCCCTTTGCCGAGCTGGCAGATGTTTGAGCACTACAAGCATAGACTATTATCAGTAAAGGTATCAAGACCGCAACCAATGTTTAAAGCTGATTGACCCTGACTATACCTGCTGGAGCTTGTAGATTCATCTATATTGTCATTCTCCTCCAGAACCAAATCGAGCCTATCAATTTGCACCACGATGGGTTCTACTTGTACATTACTCACAGATGGAAGCTACAAAAAATAAGTACAAACCAGGAAGGAAAAAAGAAATCATCAGGATCAGATGAGCCACTGATTTCGTATGGTCAAGCATTACATCTTAGCAAAAATACTCCTTTCAACATCACTTCCGTAAACCGCTGGGGAAACTGGAATTTTTTAACACTGGCATTGTACGAAGGCCAGCTGAAAATACTGAAGGAATTTACAAGAATGAAAAAAAGAAAAAAAAAAGTTACTTACAATAATCTCCAATTTTCCCACTTTTGCCGTAGTGACATTCAATGCCGGTGGGAATCCAACACTAGCGTGCAAAGCATCGCCATCTATGTCTACAAAAAATAAATAAATAAATAAATAATTCAATGTACTCCATAAACATCTTCAACCCGTTCCCCCAAAATCAGAGCGTACGCCAGCAAGGAAACAAAAGGCACATCTAAAAGGAGAAAACAGATACCTAAATTGGATAGTTGGACAGTTCGGCCTTGCAATTTGAACTGATCTCTCGAAAATGATTTCAGCCAATACTTCAAAGTGTACTCCAAAGCTCGCGCCAATATGGATTCCATCTTCTCGCCTCCCAAGAAAGCTTTAATCGAAGTTCTCCAGAAACTCCAAGATCCACCGCTGTCGGCAGAGATGGCGTTGGCTGAGGAGGATGGTCGGATTCTCTTACGGCAGAGGAGAAAAGGAAAGAAGAATTCAGGTGAGTTGGTTCGCACGTGCGAGCGGGGTTTATTAGCACGAAATGTCACGTGAGAGATATTTGGGGGGTGGGACCAGATGGTAAACTAGCTTTCGGCGGGAACAGATCGCTGGCCGTTAATCATAAGGAATGAATAGGAAGAAGATAAGTGATTGGGCGGTGATTCGTATGAAGGATAATGATTGGGGCAGAGAGGGCGGAGTGCGGTGGAAGGAGGCGGATGAGGAAGGCGGATTATTGGAATCTCGGGATTGTTAATGAAATAATGATGGCGGGAAGTGTGTCAGAACAGACGGGTTTGTCGGAATCTGGAAATGTAGTACTACTCAGTATTTCTTTTTCGGCATTACTTTAAGGTACGATAAAGTGAGCTCAGAGCTAAAGGTGAAAAAAGTACCGCTGTTTCCAGATCAAAGTCATTAACGGTATCCTTCATACAACTTTACCTTCCCATGAATCTAGTTGATGATTTGTTTCCTCTTTCTTATTACTCTTCGATTTCACCAAAAATATATATATATATATAAATAATAATAATAATAATAATAACAAAATAAAAAATTATCTTTTTTGGTGTTCTGTTCTTTTTTAAAATTGAGTGAGAATATTATTAAAAAATTAATTCTAATGTTAATACTACACTTAAATATCACTACTAAAAAAATATATAAACGTGAACCAATTAGGGGTTTGGGGCATAATGGGCAATCCCTTTTTCTAATACTTTCTCTGTTACAAGTTTAAAACTCAATGTGAACAAATTTTTTAGAACAAAAGTGAGTATATAATAATCACATTCGACAAAAATAAAAAGTACTCCATCTGTCTCAAATTATTGTCTAGTTTGAAATTTTACTTTTAGTACAATTTGAACTAGAAATAGAAACTTAAACTGGATAATAATTATGGGACGGAGGGAGCAAACGAAATAATGGAGTAATAGACCGTCCCTGTGAGACTATGAGTTCTTCCGGGCACAAAATCAAAATACTTGAAAAGTCATTTTTTATATCCCACAAGCTGTTCATATGTTTAGTCATTTTTATTTTGCAGAAAAATCATCCTTAAATAATCACTTGTTAGAATGTTAGTTTGAGACCCACAACGAGATTAAAAAGAAAAGGGAAAAAAATAAAATAAAGTAGTTCGTGTTCGCTCAAAACACCAAAATACAAATTTCAATACAACATAATAAAAAGAACAAAGATGAATATCATCTTCCCAATTTCTCATACTTTCTCCATTACAAATGCCGTTTTTAATTTAGAACAATATTTTGAAATGTGTTTGGTTTGAAGATAGTATCAAAAGATATTTGTTACTAATATTCACTTTATTCCCAATGAAATGATGTACTAAATTTCTTTTTGATTAGTCTTATTTATAAGTTTTATAATATATTTAATGAAATGTACAAAAGAAATTTAAATTGTTATATAATTATATTTTTACTTCATGCAAAATCTAAAATAATTTATATTTTGAAATAAATGAAATTTGAATTCGGACCGTATCACGCAAGTGGTCCCCACTATGTGGGTGACATCTTTCCCGAATTTCTTTTGTGACATCGTAACTGTTGGACAAATCTGATGGGCAAATGTCTATATAAAATTGTCTAATGACGAGGAATGGGTTCCCACCTTCCGCTCTATCCGAACAAGTACATCCCCAGTCAATTCTTTTAATGATGCCATCATGTATTCATGTTGTGCGCCTACATCGCTGAATGATTTGTGTTTTGTACGAAGACGTATGATTCTTTCATTTTTTATTTCATTTTTTGTATATTATGATGTCCACAATTACTGATAGTGACTGGTTAGTTTATCAAAATAAGACATTTTGATTTGTTCATACGTTTCACTTAGTATGTATTTTTTATTATAAAAAAATCTCAAAAATATATTTTCATATTTGTGTTTGTGTTGTTCTCTTGATTATTAAGAAATATTTTTAAAATTTTTTTTATCAATTAAAAATGCATATTAATTAAAAACTATAACAAATCAAATGTCTTTATATTAAGGATCGAAAGGAGTAAGTTACAACTGTTTCAATTTATGGAACTACTAACCAAAAAAAAAAAATACTATATTTAAATGAGCGATACATCCATTTGATTAACCAAAAAATACTATTCCCTCTGTCAAAAAAAAAATAATTCACATTGAGTTTTGAATTTTGTACTATTTTTAGTACAAATTTGTAAATTCAATGTGGACCCTTTTTTTTTTTTTTGGGACGGAGGTAGTATTCCCCCACAAAAAATCCTTCCACCCAAAAAGCACAAGTCCCCGTCCTCTTTAATTTGAAAGGCAAATTCCAAACTTTTTGTTGAAGAAAGAATTGATGATAGAATCTGGTCCTTCGAATAAATGTGCATCGTATTTCATATGGCCCAAATGAAAAATATCTAAGTGAAAGTTTGGGTTCATTTCTCTTTGGTACTGCCAGGCCTATCCTCTTTGAAGTTTGAAGTCCATAACTTGTGAGCTGGAGTCTGATGGACGAATTTGCTCAATATCGGCTGTTTGATAAGAATTAATTTTGAATCTCTAAATGGTGGAATAATACTACATAGAATTTTGAAGTCATCAAACCATTAGAGTGTAATCGTTCGCCTCCAATTTTTGTTGCCTAATAGCACTTGTAATCTAAAATTTAATTATTATAGCACCTCTTAAATGACGACTACATTAAACTTGCTATTATTACACTCACCAAAATATTACACCTTTTAAATTAAATATTTTTTTCCCAAATGCAATAAAAGATATTACTCTCTCCATGCTGCAATAAGTGTCATTAAATAATTTACACATGATTGTTATTGATATTATTTATTTTAAAGATAATTTTTAAAAATTTTAAACCAAAAGTATATCGGAATACATTTATCTTATAATTTTTTCATTTAACTAAAACAACACATAGTGGAATTTTTTTTTTTTTTTGGGTGAAACATAATGGAAGCTTTAGATCCTAACAAAATATCAATCCAAATAATTAATGACTACCGACTACCTCGCTAGCTACGTAATTGAATGATCTATAAGTGGAATTGCCATGCATCTTGTGGCTGTATTAAAGGGCTATTTTGCAATTCATTCAAATAGAAACTGCAGCTCACGTAATTTGCGTATTGGGCTTTTGTAACATGTAGAGCAAAGCACATGTGCCCAGCATTAGTTTTTCTGTGAGCACATCGTTCCTTCTCAACATGGAGGTTGGGAAGACCAGATTTGACATTTGGCGGCTGAATAATTTTTTTTTTCACCAAATTTGTAGCTGCCCAATTGGCAATAAATATCAAATCAAAATAAAAATAAGACATGCTATATTTTTTTGAAAGATAAGACATGCTATATTTAAAATGCGAATCATTTGGAATTTTATATATAGCAATAATTGGTTTCCTTTTACCAAGACCGTAAGGTGTTCAAATTATACATACTACTGGGTATTAGAATTAATCTCCATTAAACATAATAGACATTAAAGGTCAATCACGATTTTATGAGTTATATTATATATATATATATATATATATATATATATATATATGTAGAACAAGATTTTATGAGTTGAGAGTTGGCAAATTAAGGGAAAAATTATTGGGTATAGTTGTATCCTGGTTTTTAGTGCAGCAAATAGTAGCACCTTCTATATTGGTGGTATAACTCATGTAAAAATAATCTCTCTTCCCCATAATTATCACTTTACCCTTATTATTGTATCTAGCTGCAGCAAATAGTAGCACCTTCTATGTTGGTGGTATAACTCATGTAAAAATAATCTCTCTTCCCCAGAATTACCACTTTACCCTTATTATTGTATCTAGCTGCACAATTCTAGTGATACATCAGCTGCACTAAATAATTTCTCAAATTTAGGAGTGGCATGCATGGCATGGGGTATTAATTCGCGAGGGCGCTTATGGAAGTGAATTAAGCATCTTTCAATGTGGTAACATTATATATGTATGCATGATCCTTTAGGGAATGTTTATGTGATCAAAACATGAGATTGTTCATATTTTTTATTCATAAAATATGTTAATATACACGAAAGGGGGAAAAAAAGACAAAAAAAAAGAAAAAAGAGAGAGACTACAGAAAAGCATCACAAAATCCAATCGCAAAACCGAACAAGCTATCTCCCATGGAACCATATATTTAATGTGGAATTCAAAAACCAAAAGGACTTTAGCAGTTTTCGGGAAATACATAATTCCTCTCTCAAGTTGAAATAACGTAGAATAACAGTATACTGTTATCGCAAGTAACCTCAATCTGCCAAAACTCTTTAATGTTAGTGTTTCTTTAATTTCTTAACAAATTTATAAGTAAAAAAAAAAATTAATATTCGTTTAATTAAATCGTCTTGACAAAACGCAGTTCTGCTAAACTACTACTATCTTTTCATATTGGAACCAGTCTTTAATTTGTTTGCTCAGAAGAGAATGGCAAAATGATCTGGATAGTACCTAAAGCTAAGTTTGGATCGTTTTTTTTCAGTGTGTGTTTTTAAGTGTTTTTTGTATTAGGAGTGTAAAAAAATGCATTGAAAATGTAAACAGTTATGGTGGGATGGGATAGTTATTATTTAATTATTTTGAAAAAACCATCAAAAATACCTTCCAAACATAGCCTAAAGAATTTTGATATGACACAAATTAACAAGAAAATTAATAGATACTCGAATATCAACAGGAATTATATACTCCCTCCGTCCTACAAAAATAGTCAAATTTGAAAAACTAAAATCTCAAAATTAGATGACTTAATCTTGTAAATTAAAAAAATTGATATGAAAATTAAATAAAGTTTCATAACTATTTATCAATGTAGGAATAAATTTTAGATTATGCCAGTATGATAAGTCTAATTTTAAGATTTACTTTTTTAAAAATTTGACTATTTTTCTGAGATGGGGTAGTACGCCTTAATAACTATGAAAGTTTTCTTTGCGAGAAAATATTAATCAAAGTTAAATATGGCGGCCTAATATTATGAACTTTGTAGCCTTTTGAATGTTAACTCATTTGGGTGGCAAAAGATCTCCTGTATGTTAACATGGTATTCTTTTTCAATCTCATTCGATTAGGAAAACAACCATTTAATTCATGAGATTGGCATCAAATTTTTATTTATTTTTTGTTAGAAAAAAGGGAGATTGGTATCAAATTCATGGTATCATCATTAAGACACTTGACGACTTGGATGTCCAATCCGGAGGCCGGTGGCGTAAATTGTAAACACCTTTGACAGTCAAAAATACTTGGCACGCAAGAAAATTTGACAATTTAATAGATTCTTCAGGCGCACTATTTAATTCCCTAATCATTCACCTTCCAACCGTCCGATCACATCCTAACCACAAACCAACAATTTAAGCAATTGGGATCTTACTCTAAAAATGCGGTATGATATGTTATCACGAGTATTGTTTTTTTTTTTTTTTTGGATCAAAACGGTATGAATTTTTTTATAATAACAATAACATTCATACGTTGATATATGATCCATAACCACGTGATAGATTAACTATATGTTTGTTTCGTTTTTTAAGTGTATGTTTTTAGGTTTTTTTTTTGTATTAAGAATGTAAAAGGTGTATTAGAAATGTATAAAGCTATGTTAGGATGAAACAGTTATTAATATATTAATTTAAAAACTATAAAAAAAATGTAACAAACAAATATTGATTTCAAAAAACCAAATGTATTATCGATTGTTACGCATGTGTGTGGTTCGTATTGTGAACAAATTAGTACGATACTTCTTTATAAAGGAAAAATATAAACAATTTTTTTAAAAAAAATCATTTTCCTCTAATGTAGTTCTTGTTTCTTCTTGAATACTTTTATCAAAAGACGACTCTTAATATTTATTACTAGTAACACTATTATTCTAGAAGAGCAACATTGAAACCAATAAATATGCTCTACAATGGAAGATGAACATGAAATAACACTATTACCAAATCACAATCTAAATAAATGAAAATTTAAAATTAACTTGTAATTTTGTACTTCTCAGAATAGTAATTACCATTTCATTTACTATGTATTTTGTTCGGTATTATATTATTTTTAGAAAAAAGATTCTCTCTGGAATAGAGAGATAGACACAAGCGAATTCCTAAAAGTAATCTTGTGGAGAAATTAATTTTATTATGAATCTTGTTGATTAACCTAATTTAGGACATTTCCCTAATTCTTCTCATTGTTTTACCGTTTACCAAAATATTCTTTTGACCGACCCAATACAACAGTGAAAAACTATTTGACGCCGCTGTACAGAAGAGAACAGAAGTCCCGTTGATGTAGTACAGTACTTTTTTTCTTTCTATATATATTCAGCTTCCACAACACGAGCCAAAAAATAAATACAGATAAATATATTTTATCCAATAAAACATTTAATTTTAATAATTTACAGAAAGAGACGTAATGAAATAGATTTATCATTTCTTTACCCCAACTCATTATCCGATCCCTCAATCTTCCCCCCCTCCTTTTTCTTCTTCCATCAATTAATCATAATCATTTCTCTTTCCCAAAATCATTGCTCAATAACCAAACCCTAACTTTTCCAATTCCATTCATGAATTACTCCCAATTTTCTTTTATTCAATTTGTACATATTCTTTGATTTTTAGTTCCAAGTAATTCGTTCTTTAATTCTTTTTCCCCCCGGTTTCTTGAACCTTTAGGTTTTGTACAGGACCTCAAGAACAAAAAAAAATAATTTTGGTACATAAAAATAAACTAGGTGTTGATATTTTAGCTGTATATGGTAACTAGCGGATGATCATCATCTGATCATCATCACCGCTACTGAAACTACAAAAGAGTTTTTTTGAAAAAAAAAAAAAACTTGTTGTTGGGTTTTGGAAGTATTTTTAGCGTGTTATTTGTATGCGGTGTGGAAATCGTTGGGCTGGAACAGCTTTGAATGATAAAGCAGGAAAGCAAAACAAAGGAAATAAATAGAAGACGACGAGGTAAGAGGAGAATTTAAGGTTGTATTCTAGTTTGTTTGTTTTTTTTTTTTTTTTGGTTTAGGATAGCTTTAGAGATGATGGGTGATGATGGATGATATAAAGTGAAGCGGTTTTTGGGTCTTCAATCGGTTTTGCTGAGGTTTGGATGTTTTGGGTGTTGGAAGCAGATAATGAAGACACCTGTGAGCGAAGAGAGTTGAGCGTTAAAGTTCTTTTTTAAAAAAATAAAAGAAATTCTTTTTAGGGGGTGGTACTATATAAGCAAACGTCATGGGGAACTTATGATCAGAGTTTCGGAGAAAACAAACTTTTTTTTTACTAAGCAGGGCTGGTTTTTTGGTCTTCAATGGGGATGAAGAATGATGGGCAAAAACCAATGCCAGGCGGTGCTGGACGAGGTAGTGGTGGGGGTGGTGGAGGAGGAGGAGGATTCATTCCTAGTTCCTTCAAGGCTTTTTCAAGCTATTTCAGGATTGTTTCTTCCGGTGCATCTACTGTTGCTTCCACCGTCAAGTCTGCTGCATCTGCCGCTTCTGCTATTGTGGACAGAGAGTTGGAGTCTAGTCGTGATCAGGTATATGATTTTGCGAACTTGAGATGAAATGAGTTTTTTTTTTTTTTTTCTTCTCGTTGGGGCTCTTTGTCGGTTATTGGTGTTGTTTCCCTGTGTTGCTTCTCTGATATGGAAGTCTGTTTAGGAAGGAAGTATTGTATGTTCGTAGGTGGAGTTTGCTTGTGTTTGAATTGACTATACTGTTACATGATTTCAGAAAAAATTAAGTGCTGCTGCTGCTGCTGCTGCTCTTTCACGAGTTATTTGATTATACTTTTTTTATGCATCATGTGGTCAAGTGTTGGGTTTTGTCTCTTTGAAGTTTCCGTTTTTGTTCCCTAGAATGGGATGACTTGGGTTGATGGAATTTATTCAGGATTTGCATGCTTTAATACTTGGATATTACTTGGATGAATTTAGTCCTCCGAAAAAAGATTGCCATTTTTAAGCCAGTTGTGAGAAGCGGTTTCATTCAAGATATTTTTAAAAGTTGCTATTTGTTGAATGGGTAAAGAGATAATTATCAACAATAAGGTTGTCTGTAGATTTCCGTAGTTGACTACTCACAGTTTTCTTGGTCATATGCCTGGATATGTACATGAAATTTTGCTCACTGTCAACATTTTGTAAGTTTAGAAAGCAGATTTTTAATTTATGTTTTTCGGTTTTAAATTGAAATCACTCTGTAGAGGTAGTGAGGAAAGTACAGTTTTGGTTTTAAACCTTTAACTCTACTTAGATCATGGATGTCTGTTCAGCGTAATGCTCTCTGCAGTTTAATCAGTTGGGAAAATGCTTTATTTATTTGGATTGAAAATTTAGTTCGAAGTTGTTGTGCAAAAAGGAAATATTTGTCGTTTACGAGAATTTGGTGATATAGTTATTTGTCGGCTTTGTTTCCCTGCATTGACTTTGCAGAATATCTACTGAATCGCCTAGGGCATATTGCTTGAGTTCCGTGTCTTAATTGCTGATGGCGTGTCTTAGTTGTCGATGCAATCACCTTTTTTGACAATGAAAATAGGTTTTAATTTTTTGTCGGATTTGTTGCTGGCAATCTGTTTAAATTTGTCGTTTAGTTGACTTATTTTGTGTCTGGACCAGATTAACAGATTTAGCGCGTTGGATTTATGTTGCGTGTTGTCTCACGCGCTTGATGTTTTCATTTCACCGGCTTTCATGTAAACTTGCTTGGATGACTGATTGTGTTTCCCCAGAGTATCTTAATACCTTTCTCTCCTTTCTATCTAAGAAACTCACGAATTCATTGCCCTTTGGATACGTTGTTACATAATAGTTTTCTATTTCACCAAAGTGGAATCTGTCTTCTTTATGTCCTTATTTCCTGATAAGTAGCGATTCTAGGACAATGAAATTAAGTCCTCATTTCTGTAGTATCAAGCTGCTTTAACTTCAGGTGTTCGCACAGCAGGAACAACTATCATGCTTGCATCATCAATTCTTTTCTTCAACTTATCTCCATCGTGATTAATTTGTTTGATTTGGATACCTACTGCTCAAACTAGTGATCCGGCAGGGTGGATGACTTATGATTTTTGTACTTCAGGTACACTGGACTGCTTTTGACAAGCTAGAATGTGAGGGTTCTATCTCCTCCAGACAAGTTCTTCTGCTTGGATTTCGACATGGTTTTCAGGTTTGGGATGTTGAAGATGTGAGTAATGTACATAATTTGGTGACTAGGCAAGATGGTCCTGTCTCATTCATGCAGATACTGCCAAAACTGTTGGCATCTAAGCAACCGGGGGACAAGTTTGCTGATAGCCGTCCTCTGCTAATAATATGTGCTGATGGACGCTTTCCTGGAGGGAATAGTATTCAAGAAGCCGGTCCTTCCAATGCAACCACCCATCACGTACATGAGTTACCCAATGGCAGTTTTCCGCCAACGGTTGTTTGTTTCTATTCATTGAGATCTCATTCCTATGAGCATATGCTGAAGTTTAGATCAGCTGTTCATTTAGTAAGATGCAGTTCTCGAGTTATAGCTGTTTTACAAACTTCACAGGTATTTGGTATTTTCTCAAGTGGCTACCCAACCTTTCTTTTAAGTATTTCGTGTTAAACATGATTTTTCTTTTTTCCCTTCAGCTTCATTGTTTTGATGCTGCAACACTGGAAAAGGAATATAGTATTCTTACGAATCCTGTTCCTCTGGGTTGTGGATTTGGCGGTGGCTTTGGACCTCTTGCTGTGGGCCCCAGGTGGATGGCTTATAGTGGGAGTCCTGTTGATGTTTCAAACTCAGGACGTGTGAGTCCACAGGAACTTACTCCTTCTGCTAGCTTCCCAGGGCCTGCATCAAATGGGAGCCTGGTTGCTCACTATGCAAAAGAATCAAGCAAGCATCTTGCTGCCGGTATTTTGACTCTTGGAGATATGGGATACAAAAAGCTCACCAAGTATTACTCTGAAAGTAATTTGGAGTCGGGGAGTGCTTGCGTTGGCGTTCACGGAGTTGCAAATGGGCAATCGAATGATGAGGAAAATATTGGAATGGTATGTTTTGTGATTCTAAGAAGGTGGATTTACAGTTTTTATCTCGTTGAGTCCGCTTTGAAACTCATTGGACAAGTGAGTTATTGCACATGATGGATTAAACCTTCAGGTTGCTTTTCTTATTTTTGGAATGCAGACGATGTTTTTTGTCTTTCTTGCATTTGCAGCTGGTTAGAGGTAGGCGGGATAACTAGCAGCATGTCCATAATGCCACTTTTTGTGATACTGGCGTCATGCAGTTCTCGAGAAACTTAGTTTAGAAACTTGTTTTGAAGTCGGTGATATCTTACTACCTTAGTACTTTCTTTGGCAGGTGATTGTGAGGGATACTGTTGAGAAGAATGTTATAACACAATTTAGGGCACACAAAAGCCCAATCTCGTCATTGTGCTTTGATCCCAGTGGCACTCTTCTTGTGACTGCCTCAGTTCAGGGTCATAACATCAATGTTTTCCGAATAATACCATCTAGCGCTGTTTCTGGGGCCTCATATGTGCATCTCTATCGACTCCAACGTGGTTTGACTAATGCTGTGAGTGTGTGGTTCTATAGCAGTCTCATGCTAGTAATTGCTTATTTGCTAAGTTATGGACATAGTATCCACTTGTTTTCATGAATTCTTGTTCAGGTGATACAGGACATCAGTTTTAGCAGGGATAGCGAATGGATTATAATTAGTTCTTCAAGAGGCACGAGCCATCTTTTTGCAATTTCTCCATTTGGTGGATCTGTGGGGTGTCAGCCCGCTGAGCCATTTGTAAGTTCAAAAGGCAGTGGATTTGGTACTATGTCAAGAATGCCTGTTTGTCAATCACCAAATTCTGGAATGAAGGTTCTTAATCAGCAGAGTTATTTTTGTTCTGAACCTCCTATCACACTCTCGGTTGTCAGCAGAATAAAGAGTGGAAATAATGGTTGGAGGAACGCTGTGACTGGCGCTGCTGTGGCCGCAACAGGAAGGATGAATATCCCTTCTGGGGTGGTGTCAGCCATTTTCCATTACCAGAAAGGCAATGATTTGTATCCAGAAACCAGCTTTCTGAAGACGAATTGTTGCCTGCTGGTTTTCTCTTCTCCTGGCTATTTGACACAATATTCAATGCGGGTATCTTCTGGCTCAGATTCTCTGATGGCTTTACAAGGGTCAGGCATTGGCTATGATTCATCTGTTGACAGCGATTCGAAATTAGTGATCGACGCAGTGCGAAAGTGGAATGTCTGCCGGAAACATAACCGTAAGGAGCGAGAGGAGAATATTGATATATATGGTGAGAATGGATGTTCAGATAGCAATAAGGTGTTTCCTGAAGGAATGAGAAAGACGAAAGGTGTCAGCTCTGAGGTCAGGGGCACACTTATAAAAGATAAGCTGGCGTCTGAGGAGAAATATCACATGTATATATCTGAAGCAGAGCTGGAAATGCATCCTCTCCAGGTTCCACTGTGGACCAAACCAGAGGTATTACTTTTTCCCCCCCAAAAGTGAAGATTATTGTTATATGGATTTGCTTAAGTGATGGGAATTCCCTTTTTGCATGTGTTCTTGTCAGATGTATTTTCATACCATGGGAAAAGATGGCATCACTGTGAGCGATGAAGCTTTTTTAAGTGGGGAGTTTGAGATTGAAAGAATGCCTACTCGTTCCATAGAAGTGAGTTCAAAGGAGTTGGTCCCAGTGTTTGATTATCTTCAAGCCCCTAAGTTCCAGCCAGAGAGGTCGGTTGAGATGCTTTTCTAGTATTATTGAACATTTTTTAATATTTGTTGATTTTGCGGCAAATTGTTTTATTTACATCATGTGGAGAACTGTGTTGTTGGGAGGCTACCGTTTGCGGTTTTGATATTCTTTTGCTAGAGATGTGGTGGTAGAAGCTAGTAGGAGGTAGGATCCTTTTTTTATTTTAATAATTTATAGCAACATTCCGTGCCATAATGGCTGCAAAGCTTGTCATGAATTTCTTTTGTTTTCCCATCATAATGTCAAATTGTCACTATAATTTAGCTCTTTCTTGTTTTGAATTATGATGTTTTTGTATTATAGGCAAGTTAAAGATGGAAGCAATGATGGAGAACTGTTGTTTCAGAGGCCTGTAGCATCTGAAAACCAAAAGGTCAGAAGCAGCAGCAGTTCTGGTTCTTTGGACACAATGACTAGTGGTGGCATTGCAGTGAATGAACTGCATAATGCTGCTGCTGAAGAAGGAGGTTGGCATGGTCTCGATATGCCAACAGATGCCGGTGAGGGGGTTGTAAATAATGCTGGTCACTTGGAAGCAAATGGCCACCAGCTTGAAACTGTAAATAATATAGAGCAGTTTGTGACAGAGACAAAATTTGACTTTGTAAATAACAGTACATTTGGACTGGATGAGGAGAGTGAACGTGAAGGTTCGTTTGAGGAGTTTGATTAAAGGTATATAATGGGTACTTGCGGAATGGTAAACGAATCCTTCAATTTTTTAATTTGCATGTTTGAGCTGGTGGCAAAGTTGCAAATGTGATACTTTGCTCAAATTTTTGCAGGTGTGGAGATACTTTTTTTATTCTCTGGTAACTTTGATGCAGGCTGTTAAATATTGATGGGTGAAGAATGGTGGTGTAAAAGAGCAAGGCAAATGTCATTGGATGGGAAGGCAGGAATTGAAGATAGATGTAATAGCGTTATGTGTTATCTGTTTATTTTTAAAAAACAGTATGGGCTTATGATTTGTAAATAATAGCTACATCTTTGCAGACATTGAATTTTCTCATGGTTAAATCTTACCTGCTCTGTAGTTTACTCCTATTGCGTTGATGCTTCTCTACATTTTCTCGGTTTTGATGGAAACCGTAATGCTTGCATTGTAAAGGAACGGGCTTAAACCTCTGCTAAACCCGGTTGATGGAGGTTGTTCCTCATTTTTCAATGAGAATAATAACGGCCCCTTCACGAGGGTGCTGTTATGCGGAAGAATAGGTTGGGACAGTATAACTTGAAAAGGACAGGGACGGCTCGCTTTTTCTCAAAATGCATACGATCGCAAGTGCTTTGTCGCGCACAACTGTAGAGAAATGGTTAGTTTGTAATCAGGTAGCCAAGAGCAACAAAGAAAGCACTGTGTAGGTGTAGCATTCCCGCAAGTGTTCAAATCTTCTCTGGGTCCTTACAAACCCGGGCGAAAACAACCAGAATCCAGAAGTAACTTTTGGTCATTGAATCTATCTATGACTGCTGAAACCGTGCAACCTGACAAGGTTTCTAAATGTGGTTGTTTGAATGTTTGAAGAAGCAGCATCTTGGTGTGAAACTCTATTTTATTTATTTAATTATTTTCGAGGAAATCACAGAGATAAAGCAGCGTCTACCCACGCTGTATTCTTTTTTTCATTGTCGTCGAATTGAACCACCTAGAGAGAAGGTATACTTCATTTTCGGACAGCATGATTTTTTAATTTTTTTTTTTTTTCATTTTTATGTTTTCTTTTTAATGCATCTCCACTTCTGAAATTCTAGTCCCGGAGGTCCAAATGGTCCCTTACATTTAGACCTACTTGAATTTACGTCCCTAACATTAACATTTCAATATCGTAGTCCCAAATATTATGTTTTAACACTTTTTTGGTCCCATTTCACTGTTTTCGGCCGTTGACATGCCGGAATCAGGGGTATTTTTGTCTTTTAATTTAATTTAAATTTCTATTAAAATTTAAATCATTAAAAATATTTTAAAATTCAGATTTTATTATTTAATTGTTAAAATATTATTTATTAATTAAAAATATTATTATAAAATTTTAAAATTTACATTATTTTCAAAATTAATTTTTTCATTTATCATTTACGTTAGGTCAAAGTAAAAAGTAATTATGTTACACTTTTAACCTTGAGCCCACTGTAATTTAAAAAATTTACTGAGTTACAGTAAATAATTCAAAATTTAATTTCTTTAAAAAAACAAAATGCAAAACTAATTTTTTTATTCTAACCGCTACAGTAAACCCTAAATGGTAATTATGTTGCATTTTTAACCTTGGACCCACTATAACTTAAAAAATTTATTGAGTTACAGTAAATAATTCAATTTTTTTTAAAAAAAAGGAAAAAGCAAAACCAAGATTTTTCTTTTACTTTGACCGCTACAGTTGAATTTTGAATTATTTGATACTCGTCAAATTTTTTAAGTTACATTGGATCCAAGGTTAAAGTGCAACATAATGGTTTACTGTAGCGATTAATTACTTTGTTTTGCTTTTTCCTTTTTTTTTTAAAAAAAATTAAATTTTGAATTATTTACTGTAACTCGGTAAATTTCTTAAGTTATAGTGGGTCCAAGGTTAAAAAAGCAAAGTAGCGGTCAGTGTAAAAAAAAATCTTGATTTTATTTTTTTTAGAAAAAAATTGAATTTGGAATTATTTACTGTAACTCGATAAATTTTTTAAGTTACAGTGGGTCCAAGGTTAAAAGTACAACATAATTACTATTTAGGGTTTACTATAGCGGTCAAAGTAAAAAAAATATTGGTTTTGCTTTTTCTTTTTTTTTTAAAAAAAATTAAATTTTGAATTATTTACTGTAACTTGGTAAATTTTTTAAGTTACAGTAAGTCCAAGGTTAAAAGTGTATTATAATTACTATTAAAGGTTTACTATAGCGGTCAAAATAAAAAAAAATCTTGGTTTTACTTTTTCTTTTTTTGAAAAACGAATTGAATTTTGAATTATTTACTGTAACTCGGGAAAGTTTTTAAGTTGCAGTGGGCCAAAGGTTAAAAGTGTAACATAATTACCATTTAGGGTTTACTGTAGCATTCAGAGTAAAAAAAATCTTAGTTTTGCTTTTTTTTTAAAAAAAAAAAAAATTGAATTTTAAATTATTTACAGTAACTTGGTAAATCTTTTAAGTTACAGTAGGCCCAAAGTTAAAAGTGCAACATAATTACTATTTACTGTGTACTTAAAGTAAATAGTAAATAAAAAAAGTAATTTTAAAAGTACTGATAAATTTTAAAATTGTATAATAATATTTTTAATTAATAAATAATATTTTAACAATTTAATAATGAAATTTGAATTTTAAAATAATTTTAATGATTTAAATTTTAATAAAAAATTAAATTAAATTAAAAGATAAAAATACCCCTGATTCCGGCATGTCAACGGCGGGAAACAGTGAAATAGGACAAAAAAAAGTGTGAAAACATAATATTTGGGACTACGATATTGAAATGTTAATGTTAGGGACGTAAATTCAAGTAAACCTAAATGTAAGGGACCATTTGGACATTTTAGTCTTTACGGGCTGAACTGATGTCCATTGCTATCTTATGAAACATTTGATTTAGCCCTCCACAACGTACCAAATGGACAGAAGACTGAAATGTTACCAATTTTGAGAATAGGGAGCAGTGACCATTTAAATTAACGATATTCGAACTTACTGTTGTTGCTACACTCGAAGACCACCAATCCAATTTCTCCATTGCAAAAGCCAATTCACTCAGGGAAGACCAATATCGCTTCTATAACTCAGGAATTATGTTCATATTTCAAGGTAGAAATAACGGCGGCCCGATGACTGGAAGTAATTGAAAAATTTCTGGACTTCTGGTTCGGCAGTTCCTCGCCGTCGGGAGAGAGGTGGGACGGCGGGTGGATCGGAATGCAGTTTGGTAATTTTGGGGTGTTGACTATTGATTGTTGACTGTTGACTTATAAGCTCATTGTACCATTTTTTTAATTTTTTTTTTTGAAATGGCACTGTACCATTTTTATGTGTTAGTAATACAACCATCACGTGCTAGTTACATCCTAATCTCAAAGGTCAAAAGTAAAGGATTTAAAAATTGGCATAAACTGATGAATGGAACAATGAATCACATCGTCATATTTCCTTGACAGAGAATTTGCATTCTGTATTTTAATACCAGATACACTTTAACTGTTGAATCCGAGCAATTTGGGAAAGTTTGTTAATGTGGTCATCTGGTGCTTTGGAAAAGCAGAATCTACTGTGATACTACTTTCTCTAAAGGCTTTTCCTATAACTTGAATTGGTTGTAAATAATAGCTTCATCTTTGCAATATTGAATTCTCTCGTACGGGGTAAACCTTGCCTTCTCTGTAGTTTGCTCCTTTCTTGCTGACGCTTTTTTATATTTTCATGGTTTTGATGGAAATTTTATAATGCTTGCGGAGGGAAATGAGGGTCTGAAAAATCTTCTACTCCCAGCTGATGCATGCCTTGAAAGTGAATAGAAATCTCATAAAGAACAAATCGTAGGAGCTGGATGCAAGTTTATTTCCTTGATATTTTTGAATGAGAACCTATTAAGCTTAAGAATACAGTAGAACAGTTAAACATGAAAAGGACAGCGATGGCCTTTATGTATTCGCTTTTCCTCTAAATGTAAACGATCCCAAGTATTACTGATGTGAACATCCTAGGTGATCAAGCTCAAGGACAAGCCGATGTTCAAATAAGTAATCAAGTTCGAGCTCAAAGAGTGATTCAAGATCATTTAGCTAATATTGGAGATCGTATGACGAGGTTTCGAAGGAAGAAAATGAATGAGGCACTCAATAACTTGTTCAAGTATTTCCAAACTCTCAAAGTGGATTCAATTCCATAAATTTCATGTTTGTCTTGGAGTAAAATTGAAGCTTTTGGTGTACGTCGAGTTCATGGTCAAGTTAAAGAAGTCAACGGAAAAACCGACAGAAAAGCACCGAGCAGAATGTCGATCGACGAGAAGGTCCATAGCGCGCGGACAGATTTGGCCGAATTTCCTATTTCGAATAGGAAAAGGATTTTCCCGTAATTCTATGATTATGGCCGGCTCTCCAACATTCTAGAACCTACTAGAATGTTTTAAATAATTGCGTCATATGCAATTATTTATTTAATTATTATTTTAATTTATATTAGAAAAGTTAGGAAGATAAATTCGATTTGAACTTGTATTCGGATTCTTTTTGTCTAAACCAACCTATGCTTGTAAATAGGGGGCTGAACGACCAGAATTCATATGCCTTTGATGATTATTGATATTTCAATATGAGACGAGAGGAAACTCTTTTTTCTTTTTCTATTCTTTTCGAACATTAGTGAATTGCACACTTGTTTGTGCTTTGTTGACGCGTGCACGTAATTTAAGTGCTCTTCACGTGTGAAGCTTTGTTAGCTTGTTCATTGGAGCCTTTTCGCTAACCATCATATCCATAAATCGAAGGGATATGGTTGTTAGAGAGGAACCGATTGGGTTGCTAACTTTTGGTGCAAATTTTGTGGTTTTCTTCTTTTCTTCTTCTTTTTTTGTGCGATTTGGAGTCTTCTTCATCAGTGTTTCAAGTTATCAAGTCTTGAAAAATTCATAGTTTCTGGGTCAAGGTAAATCTGTCACCTTTGCCTAAAGATTCATATCAGTTACTGTACTACACACAGTTGAGAATGGTTTGTTTGTCAGGAAGGTGCCTAATCTTGTTTCCAAGGTGAACAGGAGAGCACTGTGTAGATGTAGCCATCTCCTCAAGTGTTACATCCTCTCTAATTTCTTATATACCTCATAGTGATACGTGTGAAAAAGAGGATCTTCAGGTGACATGTTGCAGGGACAAAGATTTAGTTGCTCAAGTGAGAGAATTCTCCCAATCAGGGGAAGGTTCCTGACTCCTTTTCATGCTTCGAGTATCCAGGTTGCATAAAGCATCTAGAGTGCTCGTGCTAATAATGGTTGTTGATTTTCTATTCTCCTCAGGCGAGTCAATCTTACCATCCATACTTGCAATGCTCTAAGATTAAAAGCTCAAAGTTCAACGAGTTGCCTAGAGATAGAGGCAGTGAGTTCATGTTGCAAACATTTAAATCCAACACTCTGAGAGGCACAAAAACACTTGCAGAAACACATCAGGAATATGCGCTAGCGATTCATTACCTTGTAAAAAGTATTGCACTATTGCTGATACATAAGAGGCAAGTGTTTGAAGATTCTGTTGTATAAGTGTTAACTGCATCTTTCCATACTTGCCCCCCCCCCAATTGGTGTCCCCAACAACACGTATTGCCAATGTAGTCTCTTTGTGATTTCGTTTGCAAAAGATTTGATATGTTTTGAACTCAGGGCTTCCCCTACATTTTCAGGAAATAACAACCATAGAGCATGGCTCACTTAAAGGCTCCATTCTGAGTATCCTACCTATTAGTCTTCATTGATCTACATAATTTCAAATCTTGCAGTCAACAAGACTTAGCTAACTCTAGTCTTTAGCCATCTCAGGCTGCCAAAATTGATGGGACGCTAAACATCAACAAGAATCAATAGAAATCTCTCCTTATGAAATCTTTCATGCTAGTGTCAATTCTTCATGAGTGGCAAGCACCATCTTCAACTTATCAGCAATTTGCTTCATCGGGCTTTTTAAATCTGATGTTTCTTCCAATTTATTTGATACGGTAACCTATATCGCAATGCTAAAAGGTTGTTTCAAGCTTCCAACCAAGAGGCACTCTTTAGCTTATTGTTCACATTAGTTGATAGTGATTTAGTTCCTCGCAGACCACATATCCAATCCCCTCACCTGCATTATTGCTCAACAAATACCTAACTTAAGAAATATTACTTAGCTGCTGTTGATTGATATTTCATAGATACTCCTCGGATATCCTCAGCTCTTATAGGAGCAGGCACCCTGTCTTGTACATTAACTCTTAGCAGTTGGTTCTAGTCTAGGTTCCTATGCTCTACTTCAGAATTTTTTATCAGAGTCTCCCTCCCTTTCCATCACATCATTCATTTATAGGTCAAGATCTTTACATCCTTCATCTGCAAGCAAAGTGTCTTGATCAACAAAACACTATAACTACCTTTAAAAATCAGAACCAGACACCAATGAATCTCTTTGTCTAAGGTTCTGCTCACCGTCGTTGCCCTTTTCCAATATGGATTTCAATCATAGTTTCGTTGTTTATACCATATTGATTGGCAGCTTCAATCAATATAAAAAAAGCAAACCATAAGCTTTGAAACAGAGACAAAGTTTAAGAGGATAACTGGAAGAAACTGAATTAGATCAACAAGAGTAGCCCAAAAAATAAGACAGGTCAATGGACACATTCAAAAGGAAACTAACAAGAACTCAATGATTACGAAATTGGAATGGATAGAAGTAATAGGATGAAATTCTCAATACATCTAATCCTATCATCTTCATCTTAAACATCAATTCCCATCCAAGAGTGGCTATACTATAAAGCAAGTAAAACATTTGCTTTAGGCCCTGTGCTGAGTAAGCCCCATTTATCTGATATTAATCAGAAAATTTTTATTTCCTTTTTTTTAATAAAAAGTAAAAAAAATAAGATCGACCTATATAAAATATAAAGATTTTAAATTTATGTTGATGATGTAAATTTAAAATCAATTAACATAAAATAGCTCCCTTAGTCATAAAAATTCCATTAACACGAAGATGATATGGATATTGATGCTTAATTTATTTTAGAACTGCAAAAATATTAATTGATATAATTAATTATAAAACTCGATATTTTCTATACAGCTGATTGTTCAGAAAGAAATTTGCAAATTAAACGAATTAAAATAATTTATACATTGTGACTATCTCACTAGTTGAAGAAAAAATCAAAATGAATTGATCGGTAAGGAACATTAACTAAAGCTTTTACGTCTAACAAATTTGATTAAAATGATATTAACATAAATTACAACAAATATAAATTAATTTTTTTTGTGAATTTCACATGAGTAATATTAACTTTAGATAGTGTTTAAATTCTTAAAAGAATCCAATTTTATACTCGATCATCATTTAAGGTCGAGCCGTCCTTGTCCCCATCAAAACTATCATAAGTGTGAGAATCAAATCATCCGCGAAGAAAATTACAACCGAAACTAAAAACTGAAGGTCATCTAACCAATCTGCCAGAAAGTCTAATTCCTTCAGAATGTTTCCTGAACAAAACACTATTAATAGAACCTAACCAATGTAGTATCAATAGAACTTAGTCAACGTAATTCCTCATCTTCAGGGTGGTCAGCTGCTGGCGCTACTCTTCAATTTTCTAAAATGGATCGTTCTGAGTCTGATAGTTTTTTCAGAATCGGAAGTAGTAACTTCAGTGCCGGCATCATCGAGCAAGCAAGTATCTAAGCCCGTACCGGGTGATCCTCGCAAAACTCTGTTCTTTATGCTTTTCCTTACGCCGGTGTTTTGGAGTGGGCGACGAGGGAGGGAAACTCCGCAGGACATATTTTCACTTCCAACTTCTTCTTCGCTGCTCCTCCTCCTCCTACTCACCCTTATGCCAACAATCTGAAGGATACGACCAGAGAGGCGAATCCTTGAGGACCTCGCTCCTCCACTTTCTTCTGGCCTCCGGCCCATTCCGTCGCCTTCAGTTTGGCAAGTTATGAGGCCCCTTCCACTCGTCATTCCCCTTGTACTTCCACTTCCACCATCTTCTCCTCTGTGCTGCATCAGAAACGGGTTGATATATTCTTGAAACCTCTGCCTGGGATGATGACACAGCGGAGGAACCTTTCAAGTACATTGTCATCAAAAGCTGCCCGCCAATTCACGATGGCCTATCTTGTGCTTGTTGGTCTCACGAGCAACCGTTACAATGAAGGAAAGCATTTCACTGATCATAAACTCAATGAATGCCGCCGTAGTAATAGCGACACTGCCGAAAAATGTGTCTCTAGTAATGGATTTCACCTCGGAGAGAATAATATCACCGGGAAAGCGAGGCTGAGCCATAGTTGGAAGGGCAAGAGTTAGTTGGGAGTGAATTTTAGGCACTTTCTCATGATCACGTTGAGTATGTGTAAATGTCAATCATATTATTAGAGAGGAGAGAAGGGATTCCTCCCCAAGCTAAATTAACTGAATATATAAATGTGCACAAGTCTTTCTAAAAGAAAATGTCCACAAGTCCGAATCCAGTTGCTCTTTTCTTCATCATTATTATTATTATTATTATTTATTATTATTATTATTATTAGGTGTTAGACCCGTCTGATGGACGGGAAAAATAAATAAATATAATTAATATAATATAGATCAAGCAGAATTATTTATTATTTTATGAATTTTATATGAAAAATAAAAATATTATAAATATATAATATATAATGGTTGCATTTGTACTGAAAATATCAAACACAGAAATAAAATATTCTATCATATGAATATGGTGATGATTTATTCCACATCAAGCGGAATGTTAATAAATCAAAAAATAAAATCAACTTCGAATTGAATTGAATAATCAGACGTGTTGCAATACTTTTTTGTAGACTACTCTCTCCATTTTTTTTATAAGTTACTTTGAGTTTGGAGAAAACTTTCAAATATAAGTCGTTTTGGGAATCCTAGTCAAATTTAATAACTAATTTTTTAACTATATCTTTAATAAATGATACTAATTTCTTTTTATTTAGTATTGGTTATGTTTTGAAAATAATTAATGAGGGATAAAAATAAATATTTAATACACAAATTAATTGTTGAACGATTGGTTCCTTAGTATGTGTACCACTGGTAAAATGACTTATGAAAAGAAATGGAGGAGTATATCCGTAGTCTTCGAAATGATGTTACCAGTTTATCACATATTCGGACATTTATTTTTTATGTCGAAGTAAATTTTGATAAGACAACATATAATTTGAAAATTGAACGTGGTAAAATATAATTACCAATGTGATAAGGATTGACATTAGCTTTTGTTTATTGTCATTGCAAAACAAATGGTCAGTAAAAATTATTTCTTATTTCATTTTAAAAGGATATTTAGTATGATAACGATACCTCAGACTGAAAATGTTTGAAGGTAGAGATAACGGCGGCGCAATGACGGAAAGTATTTGAAAGTTGATGCGAAACAGAAGAGAAGGTGGGGTTCTGGACTTTTGGTGCGGCAGTTGTTGGTCGCCGGCGCGCACGGGAGAGAGGAATCACGGCTGGGGGATTTCTTCGTCTTCGTTTAGAACAGGTTATATCGGTCGGAATAAAGTTTGCTAATTATTGACTGTTGACTGTTGACTGTTGACTATATATGTATTTGTGTGTTAGTAGTATATATACTCATGCTTATGATAGTAATAAGACTAGTAATAACTACATCCTTTTAAAATCTCAAAAGTAAACCCAATCAAACCTGGATCTAGAATTTGGCCTAAAACTGAAAGAAACATTTTAGATTTGCACTTTTGTCGCAAAATGTAACTTGACAGAAAACTAAAAGCAGGTAGAAATGTTTCCTGGATGACTGGATCAATGAAGCAGTGAATCAGTGTGGTTCTCCTCATATTTCCATGGGAGAATTTGCATTTTGTATTTTACCAGATACCCTTCTCAGGAGATGGCACTTCATCACTTCCAGTTTCTCCATACTTGGCCATCGAACCATACTTTCATTACAGAATCCCCGCAATTCGGGAAGGTTTGTTAACCTAGTTATCTGCAGGTTTGGAAAAGCAGCATCTACTGTGAAGATATCGCAACGAAAAAGCTCTTCCAATTCCTCGCATGAATCCACGCTGATTTCTTTCAGTTGTCCTAGTTGCCGAATTGATCCACCAACAGTGAGTACATACTTCAGTTTCGGGCATCGTGCTATCCTGATGCATCTCAGCTTCTGAAATTTCAGTCCAAGGTGTTCGGCTAATCGCGAAATGCATGTGATTCTGGAGAGATCGCGAAGGCAAAGCATCTCCAGCTTTGGTAGAAGATCAAACTTCATATCCTCAGTTGCTGTCAGCTCAAAGCTACTGTTAGAATGTACAATCTCCAGTTTGCGTAAACTGCGAAAACTACCGGCAGCGCTGCTGTGAAGGGCTATATTTTGAAACATTTTATTTAGCCCCTCACAACGAACCAACTGGAGAGACGTTGCATTGGAGATCAACCATCCAATCCACTCATCTGAAAAATGGAGGCCAGTAAGAGTCACACTTCTTTGGCTTTCATAATCGATGGGTGAAGAATGACGGTGAATCCCTCCAACATGGACTCTGAATCTCTCCAGTTTGTTCATTTGGTGGAGTAAAGGATCTTCAGGTGAAATGTTGCCTGGAATGCCCGACAGAGTAATGTCGCAATAATTTAGTCGCTCGAGTGAGAGTATTTCTCCAATCAGGGAAGGTCCCTCTGACTCATTTCCCTGGAAAAGCCATTTGTTTGTGCTCTTTCTCATGCTTAGAATCTCCAGGTTGTACAAAGCGGCTAGAGTGCCCGCCCTAATGACTGTCGTGTTGTTTATATCGGACAGGTCTAATTGCCTTAGGTTGGTCAATCTTTCCATCCCTTCCGGCAATGCTTTAAGGTTTGTGCTGCGGCAATTTAGCAGTTGGAGTTTACCAAGCTTCCTAACTGATGGTATTTCTTCTAAATACTTGCATTGAGAAATGATTAGAGCTCGAAGTTCAATGAGTTCTCCAAAAGATTGAGGCAGTGATTTAATGCTGCAGCCGCTTAAATCCAACACTTTGAGAGACAAGAATGCTTGCAGGAACTCCTCAGGGATATGCTCTAGGGATTCATTACCTTGTAAAAGTAAAGTTGATGCAGAAGAGTATGTGTTAAAAGATTCTGGCAAAATATGTATATTGTTGCACATGAAAGATAGTCTCTTGGCTTCCACTAGGATTGTTTCTCTTGTCATTCTTCTTAGTCCAAGTCCGGACTTGATGACAGATTTGCAGCCTTCATCTGAAGATGTCGCGATCCATACTGCAACATCGCGCACAATGTCATGCATCTTCACGGTTGCTTTCCTGTGGCCGCTTTCTAACAAGCAATGATCTTTAAGACATTCAATCATACTGATTCCGCGGTTTCTAACTTGCTTTAAATTCAAGTTATCATCAAGTAAGCCTTCGGCAAGCCAGTACCATATGAGTTCATCTATATCTATTAAGTAGTCCTCTGGATACAGGCAACAAAAAAGGAAACAGGATTTGATCTTTTTGTCTGGTAATGAATCATAACTCAGTTTTAGGGAACTAAAAACCTTACTTGCAATTCCTTTATTCACAGGCTCAGACATGCGTAACGTGTTTGCTGCATCTTGCCATAGCTCAACCACATACTTGCCTCTCATTGATGCCCCAACAACACATATCGCCAAAGGGAGTCCACAGCATTCTCTTGTAAGCTCTTTCGCGAGAGGTTCGATGTGTTTTGAGTTCACTACCTCCCCTGCATTTTCACAAAACAATTGCCAAGATTCCTGTTCATTCAGGAGCTCAATTTTCAGTATCCTATCAGTCATCATTGCTCTACAAACTTCAGAAAACCTAGTAGTCAACAAGATTTTGCTACCTCTAGAAATTTCAAGTCGAGGAATACCGACAGTGTCTAAATTGATTGGATGCCAGACATCATCAAGTATCAACAGAAACCTCTCCTTTTTAAGCCTTTCATGCAACTGAATTGCAGTTCTCATTACCTCTTCATGAGCCGGAAGTGTCATCTTCAACCTATCTGCAATTTGCTTCTGCACCCTTTTCAAATCTGATGTTTCTTCCAATTTATTAGATACTGTAACCCATATCACAATGCTAAAAGGTTGTTTCAACAAAGAAGCACAACCTTTGAGCTTATTGTTCACATTAGCCACTAGAGTAGTCTTTCCAGCTCCTCCCATACCCCATACTCCAATGCTTTTAGCTTCATCATTGCTCAATAACTCCAAAACTTGAGCTATATTTCTAGCTGCTGTTGATTGATATTCAATGGATGGTCCTGGAATATGCTCAGCTCTTATAGCAGCAGCCACCCCATCTGGAAAGTTGCCCGCTTCAATCAATCCTTTTGCGATCACAGTCTTTTTCATCACCAATTCTCTAAGGCTTTTCCTAAAACTTGAATTAGAGGAGCGAAAATTTACACAAGAACAAATACTGTTCTCTTTGATCCCTTCTTTTGTGGCAGTAATTTCAGCTTCAATCTTGTTGACTTCTATCAACCAATCTTGTACATGGGCTCTTGGTATTAGACCTGTTTTCTCTGCCACTTCAAGATCTTTTCTCACTGTCTCCCTCCTGGTAATCAGATCCCTTATGTGCAGGTCCAGATCATCAAAGTAGGACTGGAAATGGAGGGATCTTTGTATCTTCAAACGGACATAAGAGAAGATTTGGCGGCAGGGTTCTGCCAGCAGTGAACTGACTACAGCTGCCAATACTTCCATGGCTGGATTTGGGGAGGAAGAAAGTTTGCAGTTTTCACAGTCTTCCTTCTGTTTGTGAAGGCAAGAACAGCAGGATAGATTGGTCTATTTTTGAAAAAATCTTTTTGTTTAGTGTGTTAATTCAACTTTTCTGTTCTGCTTGGGTTTTCTTTTGTTACCATTTTTTAAAGGGAAAAACCATAGATTGGTCCCCAAAGTTTGGGGTAGTTCAGGTGAGTCACCATTAATTTTTTTTCAACAAGATTAGTCACCATAAATTCTATTTTCGTCGATTTAAGTCTTTTTGACTGATTTTGTAGGAATTTAACGGAAGTCATCCTCATTATGTTAATCATGTAATATATAATTAATTTTTCACTTGGGTGGGCTCCACCATTTTTTGATTTAGACTTAAATTGTTAAAAAAAAGATAAAAAAAGAAAAAGAATAAGACGACAAAAGCCACCCTTCCGGCTTTTCCTCTCCCTTCCCTCTTCTTCTCATCATGCCACCACCACCACGGACAACACACTACCACCACTACCACTACCGCCACACATCACACACCACCCACCACCCACCATTTGCTCAAGAACATAACAAAAAGGCAAAAGTAACTCCAATTGATTATGGATCTGTCAAGATCTTAGAAAATGACCTTTTGGGCAGCCACAAGATTGCTTCATGTAATCACCAACAAAAATAAAAATAAATTCAAGGACCTTTGGGCAGCCACAAGATTACTTCTACTTAGACCTTACTGATTTCTGTTCATCTCTAATTTTCAGCTTCTGCTCTCAAATTCCACAAAGAGTTTGAATTAATTGGACCTCCTTAATGGGATTTTCGCCGCTAAATTGACTTGAGCCAATTCGATCTCTCAGGTTTCGAACCTGTTCTAGCTCCGACGCAAGCCTTTTCTTAAGCTCCGCTAGCTAGGTTTTGGTCAAGGATGCGACATTGTACCTCGTATATCTGTCATGGTTGAATCCGGTTTTCCCAACTGCAGCCGCAAAGAATTGCTTTTTAGCAGTGCCAAAATCGCCCCAAAATTGCATTAAAATGAATTGAATTGCTCTCTTCCCCCTGGCTGGAGCTTCCCAGAGACCAAAATTGGCGTAATAACTCAAATAAAAAGACCTAAATCGACCAAACAAACTTTGGGGACCAATCATGAGGCTTTCCCTTTATTATATAGTCTTGAGCAAAAAAATTGGTGTGTCAATTATCTAAGCAAATATGTCAGAAACATTAGTTACATCAAAATGTTGCTTATGAGTTATGATCACTACTGACTTGACAAGTTTTGAACCAAATTTTCTACTACCTTCCAAAAATGCCAAAATGTCAATCATATGATAAGAACTGAAAGTAGGATTCATGGGGTCTTGCTGCCTAATAGTGGCATTGTTTTAAAAAAGGGAAAACCTCAGGATTGGTCTCCAAAGTTTGGGGGTAGTTCAGGTGAGTCACTATTAATTTTTTTCCAACAAAATTAGTTACCACAAATTTTTGTTTGGTCAATTTAAGTCTTTCTAACAGAAATATTGTGAAATTGACGGGAGAAATAAACTTTTCGTTAAAAACAAAATATTTTATTAATTTTTCAAACTGTTGGCTCCACATTCATTTGACTTAAAAAAACTCAAATTAAAAAAAATACTTTTCTTTCTTTCTTCTCTCTCACCATCCGGCCGGCACCACCACAACCACCGATCGGCACCACCACCTCTACCAATCGGAACCTCCTTCTCAGTATCTAAACACCACTTGCCTTGTATGTTTTACAGGTTTGCTCTCCCCCATCAGCAGATTCATCCTTTGCGCTTAGATTTTGGCTCGAACCCGGTTCCATTCCCCAGCTCTGTAGCATTCAAATGAAGGTTATGTGCAAGATCAACGACAACGAGGCATTGATGCAAAATGAGCTTCGGGGAGATTGTTCCACTGGGGGGTCAATGAAGCTTTTGTGGTCCGATTGATGCTGTTGAAGACTTGAAGTTGCACCGAGGAGACATTTGACTCAAGCTTCTTCTTCTTCTTCTTGCCAAATTGACTGCATTTTTTAGGATGTCAATTTGATGCTGTTGATCGCAGCTCTTTTTATTTGAGTTATTAGGCCGATTTGGGTCTCTGGGAAGCTCCAGTAAGGGGGAAGAGAGCAATTCAATTCATTTTAATGCAATTTTGGGGCGATTCTGACACTGCTAAAAAGTAATTCTTTGCGGCTCCAGTTGGGAAGACAGGATTCAACTGTGACAGATACACGAGGTACAATGTCGTATCCTTGACGAAAACCTAGCTAGCGGTACTTAGGAAAAGGCTTGCGTCGGAGCTAGAACTGGTTCGAAACCTGAGAGATCGAATTGACTCAAGTCAATTTAGCGGCGGAAATCCCATTAAGGAGCTCCAATTAATTCAAACTCTTTGTGGGATTTGAGAGCAGAAGCTGAAAATTAGAGATGAACAGAAATCAGTAAGGTCCAATTAGAAGTAATCTTGTAGCTGCCCAAATGTTCTTGAATTTATTTTTATTTTTGTTGGTGATTACATGAAGCAATCTTGTGGCTGCCCAAAAGACCATTTTCTAAGACCTTGACAGATTCATAAGCAATTGGAATTACTTTTGCCTTTTTGTTATGTTCTTGAGCAAATGGTGGGTGGTGTGTGGTGTGTGATGTGTGGCGGAAGTGGTAGTGGTGGTAGTATGTTGTGCGTGGTGGTGGCGGCGTGATGAGAAGAAGATGGAAGGGAGAGGGAAGGCCGGAAGGGTGGCTTTTGTCGTCTTCTTCTTTTTCTTTTTTTTTTTTAACAATTTAAGTCTAAATCAAAAAAACGTAGAGCCCAACCAAGTGAAAAATTAATTATATATTACATGATTAACAGAATGCGGATGACTTCCGTTAAATTCCTACAAGATCTGTCAAAAAGACTTAAATTGACGAAAATAAAATTAATGGTGACTCACTTAAACTACTCCAAACTTTGGGGACCAATCCTGGGTTTTTCCCATTAACAAATGCATCAAGTTTGAAAAGATCAAACTGGTTAAGCCCTTCAAAGTCCCACGAAATTAAGAGGCTCTAATGGCCAACATCCAGCTTACAATTAAATGATGGTATAGCCCATAAACCTAACTGTTAAAGTCCAGAGATACTTTGATTGTAAAATGAGGCCTTAATTGTACTTTTTTGGTCTCTCGATGAACCGTCCTGGTCCATCCGAGTTACAGATTGGACATGTTGGGCTATGAATCATGTTTGTGATTAGTATGTACTGTGGAATGATGATAACGGAAATGACTATTACTGTTTACTTCTATACTTCTTTCTTTTTCAGTTTTTTGATACGGAGTATTTCTTTTGGGTGTTCTTATATACAACCGTTACACTTTGAATCTAGAAATCATTCTAGGCTGTGTAATTGTTACGTCTATTTTTAGGGTGCATTTTCAGGCTATACAGTGTTTATTTGTTGTTATCATTCTAGACTGCTTTTTGTTTTATATATTTATTTTTCTTTCCTTTTATCTTTCTTTGTTTTTTTTTTTTTGAAAATTTTTCCTTTTATCTAAATCATTCAAAAGTTTCACTATAACATGACACTAATCTTATTCATGGTAATTCGAATAGATAAATATACATTTTACACTATCATTCCAAATCAACTTTCACCACCACTAGTCTATTCCTTTATAGGACATCAGGACCATTAGTCCAAATACCATAATTGGTGAGAATTTTTCGGATTTCTTTCATGTCTGATCTGAGTAATGACATGACGATTGTATTTTTTGGGGAAGAAAGGAGGGGGTTGTCAATTTCTCTGGTCAAAGTCTTTCGACCAGGATTTTCTATATAGTTTCTTTAACCCTCCTCTTATGATTATATAACTGAGATTTCTTAAGTTTGGCAAAAAATTAAAAATGCAATTTTGAAACTTAGCTTAGGAGTAGATGACTAAGTTGACAGCCTAACTTGGTGACAAGAGATAAGACAACCCAAATTATTTTAATGCTTAACACAAGTACTTAAACTGAATCAACCTAATTAGTAATTAGTAAAGAAAACAATGCACAATCTTCCTGTGATTTTCAGTCTCCAATCAGACCATTAGACCAACAACCCATCTCCCTTTAGTTCTCTAGTAGTAGTATAAAATAAGAGGAAAATGGAGAGTCATTTTCGATGTAGAAGCCCTGTTCCATTCAACACCCCCAAACTTCACATGTTTTATTCAAAAAAACACCTTACTATCCTTTGAAACTTCAGGTGGTTGCAACCTCAAGCAAAGCAAACGCAACCAACAAACAACCCAAGTACAACAAACTGCTATTTTTCATACAATTTTTACTAGCACATGTATTCTTCTCTTGTTATTTTATAACTACAAGTGCTAAATAATTCTTCTTCAAAATCAAGTCAAAAAGAAACAGAGACCAAACCTCCCGGATCTTCTCTTATCAGTCTCCAAGTCATTTTCCTTCAAACAAACCATCCTTTTTTTTCTCTGCCAGACTTTGCTGAAAAACTTCATATTTATCCCTCTTGCTAAGCAAGGTTAGGTGATTGATAACTACCCCCTTAAATAAACTCCCTTTTACACCATTTCTTCTTCATTTTGCCCACTAAAATACCCATTCCACCAAGCACACAGAGTCTTGCAGTGGTCTGCGGTATTGCTGCCTGTTTTTGCAGTTTTTTTTTTTTTCTAAAGCTGCTGCTGCTGCATTTTTTGAGTTGGGTTCATTCTCTTCTTTCTTCTGGTGTGATATAAACAGAAGTGAAAAATGCAGCTGCATATTTCTCCAAGCCTGCGGCATGTAACGGTGTTGCCGTCAAAAGGGTTGAAAGAGTTCATCAAAGTTAAAGTGGGATCGAGAAGATTCTCATACAGGATGGTGTTTTATTCACTTCTCTTCTTCACATTCCTCCTCCGTTTCATCTTCGTCCTAACCGCCGTCGATCACATTGATGGAGAAACCAAGTGTTCAACTATTGGTACGCCACTTTTGCCATCCCTTTCTCTTTTTGTTTGATCTTCCGTGACACTTTTCTGTTACACGAAGCTAATTTTATTTTCTGTTTGATTTTGCATTACTGGTAACAAGTATCAGAATAGCTGAAAAAAACCACGTGTGTGTGTGTGTGTGTGCAGCTGTCTGAAATTTTCTGTTATGCAAACATTTGAATGACCCAAAAGAAAAATGTATGTTTTATGTTAAAGGAATAACTGGCAATTAATGCAGACAAACGTTAAACTCATGATTCAAAGCAGGCCATTCATCTGGATTCTGAAACCATTATTAATATTAAAAAAGAGTCAGAATTTCAGTAATAGTTGTAATTTTGTGGGCTAAAAACAATGCACATATCACGTGGCTTATAGTTACAGCAGTAAGATTTTTTGTGAATGTTGATTTGCGGTTTCCAAATTTCTGAATAAGATAAGACTTACTTCTGCTTTCTTCTGCTGTAAAAAAAACAAGAAGGAAATAATTTAGTCAACCGACAAAGTACTTTATTTAATTTAAGTAAAAAGGGAGGAAGCATTTCAGGTAAAGTTCAAAGTAGGGAAAGACAATTATGGGGAACCCAAAAAGCTTATCTTGTATCATGGAGTTTTATGGTAAGAAAAATCCACTGATAATTTGTTGCCACTTTAGCTATCAAATGAAACTCTTTCATAAAGCCATGCATTATTATATGCCAGACTGTAACTATCAGCAGTAAAATTGGAAGTTGCACAATCATCTGGGGTTCTGAAAATTGGGTTCTTGTCAAATATACAGAGTGGCTGATGTGGTTTCTTTCTATTTGCATATGTATATATGCACATTGATTGCATTTTGCAAGAATGTCATCCAACTTCTAGTTTCAGAAAAGATGTCTTCGATTTCATCTCTTGTGTGCTAATTAGATTTTTGGTTTTCTATTTTTCAATCAAGTTAAAACAACTAAGAACTTGTATTCATCCTATGCAGGTTGCTTAGGGAAAAAGTTAGGGCCAAGAATACTAGGAAGAAGAATTGAAGCAAATGTAATTTCTTAATCCTTTCTCAAACACCTTTAAGGTAAAATGTTATGGACAGTACTTAACACCTGACATTAACTAAAACTTCATTTGTTATCTGTAAGGTCCCAGAAGTGATTTATCAAGTACTGGAGGAACCTGTAAACCCAGATGACCGACAAACAGGTGTTGAAATCCCTCAAACTCTGGAAGATTTTGTAGCAGAATTGAGAGATAGCAGGCCAGATGCCAAGGAATTTGCTCAGAAGCTTAAGGCTATGGTACGGTAATATCGCCCCGCAATTGCATCCACTGATAAGAAATTGAATTCCATTCAGCATGTCTTCATCAACTGCACAAATAACAGGAACAAAGCTTTAAGGCAATGGTACCTTATTCTGAACTAATGCTTTGTACTTCTTCAACAATTTTTCACAGGTCACTCTCCTTGAACAAAGAACAAGAAATGCCAAGGTTCAAGAATACCTCTATCGCCATGTAGCGTCAAGTAGCATTCCAAAGCAGCTGTATTGTCTTGCTCTGAGATTGGCCAATGAGCATTCAACCAATGCAGATGCTCGACTCCAGCTTCCATCAGCAGAACTTGTCCCTGCCCTGGTCGATAACTCATATTTCCATTTTGTGCTCGCCTCTGACAATGTTCTTGCGGCCTCAGTTGTGGCAGCATCACTGGTGCAAAACTCGTTGCATCCTGACAGAGTTGTCCTCCATATAATCACAGATAGAAAAACCTATTCTCCAATGCAAGCATGGTTCTCATTGCATCCTTTGGCACCAGCAATTATTGAAGTTAAAGGATTGCACCATTTTGATTGGTTGACAAAGGGCAAAGTCCCAGTGCTGGAAGCAATGGAAAAAGACCAAAAGGTGCGATCACAGTATAGGGGAGGGTCGTCAGCTATTGTGGCTAATAACACTGAGAAGCCTTATGTTATTGCTGCCAAATTGCAAGCACTCAGTCCCAAGTACAATTCACCAATGAATCACATTAGGATTCACTTGCCTGAGGTAAAAATGTTGATATCTCATCATTCAGACCTGAAGCTAACATGAATATATGGAGTGTCTCATATTTTATGCACTTAATTGCAGCTATTTCCCAGCCTCAACAAGATAGTCTTCCTTGATGATGACATAGTGATTCAAACAGATCTTTCACCTCTATGGGACATTGACATGAAAGGGAAAGTGAATGGAGCAGTAGAAACTTGCCAAGGAGACGATAAATTCGTCATGTCAAAACGATTCAAGAGCTATTTGAACTTTTCCCATCCACTGATCGCAAAAAGTTTTGATCCTAACGAATGTGCATGGGCCTATGGCATGAACATTTTTGATCTGGAAGCTTGGAGGAAGACCAACATAAGTCAGACATACCATCACTGGCTCGATGAGGTAAATTATATGACAATTACCATTGTATCTTACACAACATGATGTGTTTTGCCAAAATTTTAAGTGACTTAAAGGAACCCTCTCCAAGTAGCTGGCAGAAAGACCAAACATTTGCAAGTAAACCAAACAACTGAAAAAGGATAGACTCATTTGCATAGTCTGATATCCCTTTCTTTCCTCTGCAGAACTTGAAATCAGACTTGAGTTTGTGGCAACTAGGTACATTACCTCCAGGTCTAATAGCATTCCATGGCCATGTCCATGTTATTGATCCCTTCTGGCACATGCTAGGACTTGGTTACCAAGAAAATACAACCATTGCCACTGCTGAAAGTGCTGGTGTCATTCACTTCAATGGCAGAGCAAAGCCTTGGCTAGACATTGCATTTCCTCAACTTCGGCCACTATGGACCAAGTATGTGGACTTCTCCGATAAATTTATCAAGGTCTGCAATATCAGAGCGTCTTAGATTGCACCTGAGAGAGAGACCGCCAGTTTGTATATAAACAAACATAAAACAGGGATCCTATTCACAGAATAGAGGTGGCCATTTCTCTTTGCAAGGAGAATACAGCCCCAAGCTTCAACCTGATGACTTCCAGAAGTTTTGGTGCTCAAAGAATATAAAATATTTTGTTGATTTTTTGGGAAATATATAAAAGCAATTGAGTTCTTTCTATATTTTTATATGGCAATCTTGCCTATATATCAAAGCGAAACTCAATTTTGAAATTTGAGATCGCGTTGACAAAAGCAACAAAAGAAATGAGATTCCTTAAAGGGAGTACTATATTTAGAGAATACTTCTTAGGACAGAAGAATAACAAAGGATAGAGATCATGAAATCAGCAGTAAAACAATATGCATTTCATGAAATCAACAACAAATGCGAAAGTAGCTTCTGTTAATTAATCTATTAGTCCAATAGTTAAATGTGAACTGAGCTCTGACGTCTCACAACTCAAGAACATTGCAAAAATTTTTAGCTCACATGATTAGTCTCCATCACATGATTCAGTAAAACAAACGTTAACTAGGTTCACCAAAATAAGAAGTATGAATTCTGCAAATGCACCTATTTCTTTCCAGTTGCATTTGAGACCAAATCCTTCAGAAACTTGGCAGACTTGGTGATTGGCGAGTTGATGGCCATCAAGTTATACAAAACAGTCTCTACTTCGATGATCGAGGGGCGGGCTTTAAAACTGGAAACCGCTTTCAGTTCTCCTTCTTCCTCAACCAAAACATTCCATCTTTCTCCACTAGTAACTCCATCCTTTACACGTTTAAAGATAACACCTTTTCTCTTGCTGAAAATGCCCTTGACCTCTAACCCCATAAATGAATACAGAACTTCAAATGAGCTCAGAAAGCCGCCTAATCCATCAAAATCACTCTCCTCCTCAAAAGCCCATTTGGGGTTGAACAGCACCACTGGCTTAGGATTGAGATTCTCAGTTACAGTCTTGATAACCGCCAATTCTGAAGCCTCCGGCGCCAAAAACACGGCCACATCAGCAGAACTCAAATTTCTCTTCTCCTCACTGTCAAAAACAGATGAAAGATCGGCACTTTCAACAAGAACAGACCCGTTGTGAGACCCAAACGCTTCTGTCGCAGCTTCTTTCAGACTCTGGTTGGACCAAAAAATAAGTATATTGATTTTTGAGCCTTTCCTTTTGATGGGCATATCTCCAAACACTTCAATAGCAAGTTCAACAAGAGAAGAGGGAGAGTCATCAATGACCGGAATCTCGATCCGGAACCTGGGCTGCTTTAATTTCTTCATTTTTCCGGCGAGTTTTGGGTTGTTGAGAGGTTTCTCCAGGGCGGAGGAGAGCGAAATCTTGGCCTGAGTAATAGCCTCTTCTTTGGAAGCAGGTGGGGTAGCAGAGCTAAGGGAACAAGTTGGTGATAAGGAGGAGATTCTCCTCGATTCATGAATTTGTCTCAGGGGAAAACCGAAGAATCGATAATGTTGATGCTTGTACTGGGTGAGATTGATGATGGAGAGTGAATGAGCATTGATTAGTTTCCTGGTGAATGGATCATTTCGAGGAATTGAAGCTGTAACAGTTTGATATGCATTCGGTTTAAAGAGTTTGGAAGTCATACTTTGGAAGTGAATGCGCCAGAAATTTACTGAGAATCCGAACTACTCTGGAAACAAAGCGGAGTAAAACCTCCGAATCAGGGAAGCTGAAAATCATGGATAAGAAATGATTACATGGAACAATGCCAACCTTAGAATTTTGGTCCCCCGCAAGAACCAGAAAACACCACATCTGAAAGGTATAAAGTGTGACTTCGACGGGTTTTTTTGTCCATCCATATGTTGTAAAGGTAAAAACCATTTGAAAGCAGTGATATTTTTTTGACTGACTAGGACCTACGGCCGGACAAGTGACAGGACAAGGCAAAGAAAGGAATGGCCGCGGCGAAATGGTTTAGTCCGCGCTGCTTTTTCCCACCATCGACATGCAAAGCAGCCATTAAAAGTGTAACAACCTATCCATGTGTGCTGTATTTAAATACCAGAACAACTTATTCACATTTTACACACAATCAGTACCAAACTAGGTTCCAAAGAAGCAAGTCTTGTAACAATCCAACAATCCAGTAAACTCTGTTGTTGAGCAGTAACTATTACAGTCAAATCAATAAGGAAGAGGCTACATCAACAAGCTGCCATGCAGTTGGGAGACTTTAACTCCCTACTCAAGCAACCGGAGGACGCAATACATGATCCTGTGAGGTATCCACAGCAGCAGGGGGCATGAACTGCCACATTGCAACTCCAGGGTAGCTGATCACCGGTACCAGCTTGTTGCCAGGTGCTTGAGCCTGAGCAGCAAACGGAGCAGGTATAGCAGGTGGCGGCATGAAGCTAGGTTGGCTGTTCATAGTCTTAAGTTGTTGCTCCAGCTTATCCTTCTCAACCTTTAGCCTCTGTTTTTCATCCCGAAGCTCGTTCTTCTCAGCCTGAAAGTTACAAACAAATTAAAATGAGCATGGATTGCCAAGTATGTGGGCTGCCAGAAAGATTATTTGTCAAGAAAATCACATTTTCCCAAATAAGCAAGCTCTTTTACAAAATCCAGATCGTCAGAGAATGAAGGCATTGGCAGAAATCAAATAAATGAGACCAAAAAGAGTTATAATCAAGTCTGACCTTCAATTCTTTAATCTTCTCTTGAAGGCTGACATTCGAGTCTTTCAGCTTCTGGGATTCAGTGCGCAATTGAGTTACCATCCGAACAGCATCAACCAAAATGGCAGCCTTGTCTGTTTTCGGAGGCCTTCCAGGTTCAAGCAGAGCCCCCAGTTCCACAAACCTAAACATATCATATTCGTAAGGGACGGGCGGAAAGAAGGAAAAATAAAAGACAAATCCTATACCCGAGAGACAAAAGAGTGTTACACACTTATCATTTAGCCTATCTCTTCGTTGTTTCTCCCTGCATGCTTTTGAACTTGATGAAGCACATGACTCAGCTCTTGCCCTGCAACAAAGGTGATACTAAAATTTCAGTGGCTTGTCAATTGTGGGAGCAAAATCAACTAAAACCAGAAAAAGGTGCAATGACATCAGGCAGCAACTCCAGAACACAAAAGAAAATCTTATGTCTAGCTGCAGCACCTAATTTTCAGACAATTAAATTCAGTCTTAGTTACAATCATAAGCATGTCACTATTAACAAGATGACTCTAACAAAATTGTCATTTTCAGTATCTTGTCAGCGGCACTTCTCAATGAGTGCATTCTTTTCTCTTCGCAAATGACATTAAGAGAAATCAGCAAAGCAGGGAGCAAGGGAAAACTAACTTTCAATAAGGTTATGCTACCTTTAATCTTTTTCCATACTTTCCAGAGGGAGAAAACAATAAAGATGTAAACTGGACTTTTGACTCAGAGGTGGAGGCAGAAGCGGGCCCATCCCAATTACAAATTTCAACTCCAATTACTCCTGCTTTATGCAAATTCAGAGCAAAAAAATGCATTTACCTCTTTTTAGAGCCGGCATCCTTTTGGGCATCTGAATCCCCAAGTGAACCATCAATTACTCCACTGCAAATAGATAAACAAACACATGTCAGATGAAACAATGCAAATTCTAGAATACAATTATCTAAAATTGGGAGTTTGATCCAGCAGTGTCTATCCAGCTTTAATTGCTGAAAGAAAAAGTGCTTATGAGAGAGATGATACAAGCAAACAACAAAAACATTATGCATTTAGCAGATGGAAGTTGAGATCAAAATCAATTCTTCTGTAGCTTATATTCCCCTGATGCCTACAAAGACTTAGTAAGAAGCCGGGAGTGTAAAAACAAACAGAATGCTAGAATTATTACATTCGCTATAATTTAGTTTAATAGAAGGAAGAAAAAGAACGGAATTAACTTAATCTAACAGAATTCTCAAGACAACTTCCTTCAAAACATGCGCTTGAAATATGTAAGAGAACATCATGGCTTCATTTCTGCTGATTCCAATTCCAACATAGAAGTTCTAGCAAAACTACTTCCTGGCAACCTGACAAACTTTCTGACTGTTGCTATTGACATGTGCTAGACAAGCTGTTTCTTGACAACCTCAAAGCGCAACATAAGCTACAGATTCTCCCACCTCCAATCTATGGTCCATTAAACATCCGACTACATGAATGATAACCTGATCAACATAAAACTACAATAGGAGGCTAAATCCTATTAAGCACAGAAGCACGGTACCAAAGGAAATCCAAAAGCACGGCAATCAACGGCGAAATTTTAACGATTTACCAGAATCCAGACCATAATCAGAGAATGAAAAGATTCTCAAAAGCAAAAGCTAGTAGAGTGTAATCAAACTCTTGAAACACCAAACAATAACTAAAATCTGCCAGATACTAACAGGGAATACCGTTCAACCAAATCACACTTATTTCATCATATGTTATCAAACCCCAAACCTTACTATCAATAGATACATCACTATTACAGCGGCAAAGATATAAATCAAAAGCCATCCGGGAATTAAAAAAGTCAGTTTCAAAACCTCAAACCTAACTGAAGCTCAAAGGAATCTTCACCACAGGTTAGTGATAAAGTCAGACCAAAACGGAATAGTAGAAGAACCCTAAATTCCCAAACCCAAAAGCAGAATATCCTTTTCCAGAAAAGCTTTAAAAAAAATAAAAACTCAAATTCACATCAAGCAAATAAAAGCAAACAGAAATAGAGGTCTCATTAGTCATTACCTAACATTAGCGGAACCATTCAAAGTCTGCATGGACGACCAACTAAAGCCACCAGCAGCAGCAGGAGCGAAATTCCCATCAGCCACCGCTAAATCCTCATACCCATACTCCAAAAGCCAATCAGTGTTTTCCGGTGACACCATTTTCCGATCAATTTGCCCCAAAAAGGGCTCCTTTCAGCGAAAAAACAAAACAAAAATCAAGCTCCAATAGGGGTTTCCTGATGATAGGAATTGGGCAGTGGAAAAGATTAAAAGGGGGAAATTTTGGTGATATTAAAAAGAGGGGAAAATGGAATCTGACGACCACCGGTGAAAATCGGGGGAATTTTTTTACGTGATAGCAGACCCCCCCGGGAAAAATTCTTATAATAAACAAAATGCTGTCGTCTACCAATATTATTATTATTATTTTATTTTATTGGATGGGGGTAATAATTTAATTATTTTATTCTTATTTCATCGAATGGGCATCGCATCATGTGCGATATCCTGGATTCAACTACGCCCCGTGACGTTGCTGTCAAAGTTTTGGGCTTTGTCGACATTTAAAGTCCAAATGCGTCAACAACTGAACTCTTTGGGCCTTAGGCCCATCTATACTTTTCAATTTTACTTTTTGTTTCTGTATATTAAATATACGTATCAAAACAATTGTTGAGGTCGCGGGTTCGAACCTCGCCATAGGCATGGAGCAACCTTAAATACTTTGGCCAACTGTCTCACCCATTGAGGTGCCTACAATTAAGCGAGAGGATTAGTGGAGATTAGTTACTGTCCCACCCATCGAGGTGCTTACAATTCAGCGAGGGGAGGAGATTAGTAGAGATTAGTTACTGTCCCACTCATCGAGGTGCTTACAATTCAACGAGGAGATTAGTCACTGTTACCGACGATGGACACCTTGCAAATATAGAGAAAAAAAAAACAATTGTTGTGATAAATCCGAATTCAAGTCAAATAGGTTTTTTTTTAAAGGTAAAATACTCGTAAGCATGTTACAAAAGGTTTGATTGGTTATCTTTGCCATTGAAGGCTCTTAGCTATAATATTGAGATATTTATTTCATAGTCGTAAATTTTATGAATCGTAACAGTAATAAATTCGAACACTTAACGGGTGTGGTTAATTATCAAACCATCCAGACACTTTTACCTTAGTATTAACATTACAATCTTCACAAACTCTAGGTATATTATTGGTCCTTCTCTAGTTTACTAATGCTAATTGTTACTTATATGAGGACTGTTTGACTTTCTTGTCCTTTTCCTTTTGTCCTTCAGTCTCTGTATTTTCAGTAAACTACGTTCTTCCATAGTAAGTCATGAATTTAGACTAGCTTAATCTGCTTAGATATGATGTATATCTGAAGGGGACTTAAGTTTTGGAAAATGATATAAAAAGTTCCCTTCATATCCACATCAAACTAGCTCTCTGTGTGTAATAATAAAACGTAAAATAATAATAATAAGATCCAATTGTTCGCAAATGGCAATGAAAAATTGAAGGTCAAATAAGATAAGGATAGGTGTCTCGAGTCTTAAGATTCTTTGATGATATATTTTGGTTGCGACCTTTAGGAAGCTTTTCAATAGGATTATCCTCATTTAACATATTTTGCAGCCAATAATGACCAATATAGTGAATATACAAATAATTCCACATCTTATGTTACACTTTTACTTTCTTTTTCCTTTTTTTTATTTATTAGTTATTATTTCTTCTAAGGAACACTTTATGGTGGACATGGATAGTGAAGTCAGAAAGCAAGTTGACATGTCGATTTGGCATTCGGAAAAATGATGATGTTGATGATGTTAGTAAGTTGGAACAAGAGAAATATAAGGGGAAAAAAAAGGATTGGACATCAGTGGTGGAAATTCTTCCAATTGAGAAAAAAAGGGAAAACAAACACCCTTTTAGAGTCTCATTCCAATAAAAATATATGCTCTACGTATATAATATACTTACAATGACAACAAATCTTATTCAAAAAAAAAAAAAAACAGACAACAAATAAAGGAGAAAAAATAGACACTTTGGACGGCAGAAGTCGATTTGGACTTATAAGGCTAAACAAAATCCACAGTGAAAGATTTTGATGGCACAAATTATTGGCAAATAATAACAATCACCTAACTATACTTTGCAATGTATACATAGGAGGTATGTGTATTACAAAATTGGTAAAAGGGAGTGGAGTTGGTAGTTCATGTCACATGCGCATTAAAATCACCATATTTTATCCCTTTTTTAAACACGCATTTTAAACTTCCAGATTTTATCCTATTAGTTTTTTTTATTTATTTTATTTTATGAGAAATTTTTTTTATAACGATGAATTTTATTTTGGTAAAACTGAATATGGTTCATCATCGAGACTCATGAATCTGGAGAATCAATTGCAGCAAAAAATTTTAACTGATTAACAATGGAATCTGAAGAATTAAGAGTCAAATTTGAAAGACTTTAATGAATAATGATATTTGTTTGGATGAATAATGGTATACTTATCGATGAATAATAATAATATTGTTGATGAATAATAGTGTTTCTATAGTGATAAAGTTATGGATAAATAAATTTAAATTTTGAAATGGATAACGATATTTACAGAGATGAATAACGAAACACATTTTGATGAATAATGATCCCATCCTAGATGAATAAAAACACTATAATGAAGAATAAATATAGTTTCGTTAGATGAATAATCGTAACTTAATGAATGAATAAAATGTCGTTGGTGAATAAATAATGCGCAACAGAATGAATAACTTTGATTAAAAAAACTAACGAGAATATATGTTACAATGAACTAATGTCAGTATTTAAGCTAATAAACTTCTAATTATGCATTATACTAGACAAAAAATGAAAAAAAAATTAGTCATTGTTTTTAACATATAAGGTCTTGAATGATTCACCGATCCTCGATACTTTTATGTTGATTGTTTGATTTTAACAACTCTACCAAAATATTTGATTCGCGACTGATCGAGTTCATCTTGATGAGCATTTCAGCTGGTGATGGGATTTTTTCAGTTCCAGTGTTCTACTTATTTCAACCTCCGATTGTTTCCCTCTATCCTTACTGATGCATTATGTCAAGAAAGGACAACATTAATAAACAAATGAATAACACATTCGTATGTAATGAATAAATAAAATTCACTTGACGAATAACCATATATATGTGATGAACACCAACTGGTAAACAATAATACCAATACTAATGAACAAGCATATGAATATTCAGCCCTTACATATGCAATACTATTGCAATAACGATGAATAACAAAAGCTAAAAAATGAATAAGCACATTACAATGATGAATATATAGAATTTTTTTTTTATAAAAATCAAATTTATACTCCTAATTACACATTATAACGATGAGTAATCAAGACAACAATGATAAATAATGGACAGATAGCCTAACCATTTTAATAACAAAGAACAGTTGATGAACAGTTAGACTATAGTTGATGAACAACAACTAAAATAATGAATAACAATCATGTAACATAATTACTATGATGAATAACCCTTTAATATCAATGAATAATGGCTGGGTAAATGATGACTAATGAAACGAAGGAAAACCCTTCAAACTCAACAACTAATGGATGAACAAATCTAACAAGTTGGTACACAACCATCAATAAACGAATGCGGAACCTTAGATTTACGTATTTCAAGGATGAATATTGAATACGGACTAATGAATAACGCGCAGATCTATTAGTATCTTCCACAAACACAGCAAATACAATGAAGAAAACTTAAAAAATTGATGAACAAAGATCTATAATCGAATGCATATACCTTAGATCAATAAAACACATCCAAAAAACGCATCAATTGTTGAATAGATTAATAGTATTACTTTACTTCATATTCATTTTCCGAACTACTTCTATTTGAACCAGGATCCTCAATCGTTGTTATCTTGATTCGGTATTAAAAAAACCACTCTTATAACTGGATCCATGGAGTAAACACATAAAACTCATTCTCTCCATGAAAGATTTTGAGAATTTCAAACAAGATTCACTGGACAAAATACGAAACAGATGAATAATATCAAATCTTACCGTAATTCTCATATTCAACAGCATATATTGCAACCAAATTGATAGGATTTGATGCACAATCGGATTCCGTCTTAAAAAATATCGCCGACCAGAAGTTTTGATACCAAATCGTCGTAGAGAATATTTGGTTTTTTGGATTTTTTTTTTGAGACGTATTTGGATTACAATAGGAAGTTGGATATGATTAATGATGGCTGAAAATTAATAAGAATATTCGGAAATTAAAGATGTGAAAATCTCCCTTTTTTTCTCTCCCTTTTTGGGTGCGTGAATTTCAAACTAGGTACACCTACCTAGGAGCTCTATATTATAATTGCAAATTATTCCGTTTTGTTCTTTTTTAAATTAGTATCTTTTAAAGGATAAATAAATGTAAATGTGAATAATAACTTAAAACATCATGTGCGTAATATATCTATAAAAAAAATTTGTGAACAAGGTAGTTCAAATAGTAGACCGTCTTGTATAAATTGTATTGTGTTGTCTCAAATACTAGCTGTATAGTTACTTTAGCCTTTTTGTACATGTTTTTGCGTACAAAAAAACTGACATATATGTTTGTGAGATAATTTTTGCGTACAAAAAAATTGATAAAATGCTAGTATATAAGAAAGAGACGGCAAACTGCAAAGCAATATATGAGGTCAATTTCAGTATCTAAGTGTGAAGTGCACGCAACATATGGCAGGCAGCATTTTTAGTCAAATAGTAGTAGTTTACTGTTTAAATTCATCAGTCAGCTTAGATTAGATCACATTATTCCTCATCTGGGCTTCTTCGTATCTTTATCCGTTACTTTGATACCCCCCTAATTCTTTAATTCATCCATCAATCATCATCTTATTAAACTAATTGTTTCATTCCTTGATACTCTCAAAAAATTTCCCCCCCCCCCCCCCCCTTCATATTTTACAATCAAGTTGGCTAACACCGTTGAATAATGCAAGTAGAAAGTGTTCATCATCATCTCAGCCAATTTGCAGTTCTGAAAATTTAAGAAAAACCTGACCGTGCAAATCACTAAAATGTAGAAGTTAAAGAAACTGTTTTCTGCAATGAATCACATCCTGAATTTGGCTTTCAAATCGCAGCAAACTGCAATAGCTTTTGCATATGTATCTTGAATGAATCCAAGTTTCCCATGGCTCCAATTTCCAGATCGACCATGTTGTTAAAATGCTTGAACGGAGCCAAGTTTCAAGCCCACCTGATAAACATTGCCATGAAATGCAGTTTCTTCACTGTTATGAATTTCCTCATCCCAGATGACCAGATAACATTTTTCAGAGACCATCGCTCCGAACCTGAAGAAATATTCATCCCTCACTCTCAACACTACTTTCCTGCCGCTGGAAATGTGGTGATTCCCATGAGTTCAATAATACCTGACTAGTTTCTGAAACAGGGGACTCTGCTCATCATGATCATCGCTTAATGCGATTTAGACTACGAGGTTCTAAAAGGGAATTTCTACAGGTGATTTTCGCGCTCCATTTCGCAATTTTCCACGAATTTTACCGGCTGAAACTGATCACACAGAAGTTGGGGGAGGTTGGAATGGTATCATCATAGGATGCAGATATCATGTTCTTGGAGATGGAACTGGCATGTTGGAATTTAGGAAAATAATGGGCCTTAATAAACAAACTTGTTGATGAATGCAGAATTCGCTCAAAGTAGCAATCTACCATTTTATGGCAGATCTCTTTTTCTATTAAGCGCTTTTCTCAACCTGAATATGGTGATTTTAAGATTTGAGTTCAACAAGGTTCGAACGACGTGCATTGTCACCATGGAAGACACCAAAAACCTAAAAGTCATTCTACCTGGAAATGAAAAGGAAATGTTCTGCCATTTTTGAAAGTTCTTCAATTAAAGATGAAAGACTAGCACAGGTCTATTGGAGAAAGACACTGGATAGTAAATGGCTAAGCAGTTTTAATCATATGAACTTAAAAATTGAAAAGATTCAGACAAAGTTCCAGCCACCTTTACTAACAACCCCGGGAAGATATCAACAAAATGAAGCAGTTAATCCTTAAACAATTGCCTGAATCAGGAGTTGCTACAGGTGAAAAGGTGGACACGAATGAAACTCTCAGTATTTCTGCTTCGCAGCAGATTGCCGGGAATATTTCAATCCAACTCCGCATGATAATTACTTCTGGAATTGCTTGACCCTAGCATTAGTCCATGCCCAATTGGTCGGAGTTTCAGGATTCCTAACGCTATATCGTTAAGTTACAAAAATATGATAAGGAAATGCATGATGGAGCCTTGTCACTCATCACCAATTCCACCAACCCAGCTGGAGTTCTAGAGATTGGCTGGTCAAATTTCCCAGATGAAAGGCTTTTGCTCATTTCTTCAAGGAAGGCCTGAAACGAAGATCATCTAAACTAATTTACTAAGCCAAACAAAAAAGAAAGCATTTCGTTTCTAGCCATACTTCAATATACCAAAGATACACAGTAGTACGACGTTGTCCTAATTACTTCATAATCTTACATTAATTGGAACCGTCAAATAAAACTTTGCCTTTTCATTTTATTGATTTTTGACAGAAATTTGTTTGGCTTAGTCTACTCATTTCAGATGATTTAGTGATTAGATCTTGTCAGTAACAGGAACCCAAGTGCCAAAAGTTTAACTGCAGATAAAAAATTTTGCCCTCTACAAGTCTACATATAAGCCAAAAGTATTCTATCCAATTGAGGATATCCTTCGGGTGGTCAGAACTAACCAGCAATGGCCTAATGATATAGTCACTGAAATTAAGCCAGTTCCAGATACTATTTCTTCGTATCCATCGTCCTGAAGTAATGGCCCGGGCAGCAAATTTGAGCGGCATATTTGAAGCCTTATCAGTCATTCCCAAGCTTCAACAAGTTGAGAACATCCGAAACAGATCAACTTCTGTTAATCTCTTAAGCAAGAAGAAAGATGAAAATGAAGAAATCCCATTTCAAGCCACAAGAAGATTAGCTATGGGCCTTACTTCTCTGGCACTTTTCAGCACCGCAGTCACGGGTGTCTCCCACGCAGATGATAATGGCTATTGGCTCGATGGCCCTTTACCAGTCCCAACAGCCAAAAACAGTAAGAATTGATTTTTCAGTTTTTCACCATTTTTTCTTCAAGTTCTTTGGTTTTTTTGATTCAGCATGGGAATGGTTGGCTTATGATTTGCAGAGATTACTAATGAAGAAACAGGGACTCGATCGTTTCTCAAGACAGGACTGTATGTTGCTAACATTGGTGGACCTAAAAACAGAATGCATAGGCTTAGAAGATATGCTTTTGATCTTCTGGCAATGGCGGATTTAATTGGACCTGATACTTTGACTTACGTGAGGAGATATCTCAAGTACAAGTCCACAATCATGTACTTCGATTTCGACGAATTAATCTCTGCAGTTCCTGTTAGTGATAAGCAACCACTCACTGATCTTGCTAATCGGCTTTTCGACAACTTTGAAGTGGTAAACTTTCAGTTCCTAACCTCCTTTAAATCCCACAACTTTCTTAAAATTCAGATGATTGGATCAGTGTTCTGATTTTGGCAGCTTTTGGACGCTGTGAAAAGCAATAATCTTCCTCAGACTCAGACGGTTTATAAAGATACTGAAGTCATTCTTAACGAAGTCATGGCTCGAATGGCCTAAATGTGGGAGGAGTGTTTGTATTCTCAGCCCTTATTTTGTAAAACCATCGACGAGTAATAGACTGAAAGAAAAGGAAATGAATACTACCATGTTTCAATTAATCAATAGATCTTTCAGATGATATTGCCGATTTGCAACTTGGGTTCAATAATATGCAGAATTAAATAAAATGTTGTTCAGAAAACTATCGATGAGGTATTGAGGTACAAACCTATGACTTAAAAGGTAAAGCCATTTCCTCTCACTAGTAATACAAAGAGAGTATTCTCCACTATACAAAATACAAGGTACTGTAAATGCTTGTTAGACGTGCTTTCTTAATCATATGTTAAACCCACAAAATCAAACATCACACTAACAGAGTATCACACAAATTTCCTAAAAAAAAACAAAACTACAATGATTTTCCTCTCAAAATCAGCCAATACTCAACCGAGAATCTACACTTCGCATGCTGGTTTGTCGCCGAGGGATGCCAATCTCGCAGGCATTTACCCTAGCTGCGAATCTTAGGGAACAAAGTGATTCCCCTGTTGATGTATGATCTGGCGAAAGGTTGACAAACATCAAAGTCTTTGAATCCCCACCTAAACATGGCTGATTACATCAACAAAGAGTAGATCAGAAAATCTTATAATGTAATATTCTCAGAGTTCCAGCGGTCAAAAGTAAAGCACAACAGATAAAAGAGTCAAACTTCAACAGCATCTCTGCTCTAATTATAACTATTGATCAACCACAGAAGAACTCATCTACATTCTACAACTGAAACAGTTACCTGAAGCAAGTATGTAAGTTTCGAGTTCCTGAATGGTACATGCTCCTCTTTCTTCGCCAAGGCAAATATAACATCACTTAAAGATGACAAACTTTTGTTGATGGCCTAAAATAACAAGGCATTTGTCAGAAAAGTCTATTCAGGGATAAATCCATGAAAAAGCAGCATAGACCAATTGACGATACCTGAGTTTCTCTTAATCGATCCCCTGTGGATCCACTTTTCGAGAGACGCTCACTGCCAGCAAGATCAATCAGGTTCAGGACCCCCTGTACTTGCTGTTCCGTGCTCTAAAATATCAAACAACAGAAACACCCATCACTTAGAATATCTATAACATCATGAGTGGGAAAAGAACCAAAATGATCAACAAGGACAAGCCATACCTCATTAACACCAAGTATTCTAAGAGTAAAGACGAAATGGCTTCTGGAAGATTGCTCATTCATTTGAGTCTTCCCAACAGACCTAAGATCAACAAGAAAAAAACTTAAAACACTACATAGCCAAACTAGAACAAAATATACGGACATAAGAGAGTGCATTCACTTGTCTAGCACCCACTCCTATCAAATATACTGAGAATGCACAAAAGATTCCAACAGTTTACAACAATTCATCAGTAGTAAAATAATATAATCACTTGTCTTCCTGATTACCTGCTTTGAGCTGCACGCTCCAAAAGATAAGAAACCTCTCTACTACTGCAAACATCTACGATGGTCAGGTCAGAGACATGAGTATTTCCATTAGCATCATGCTTGATTGCATACTGCTTTCCTCCATTATCTGCTTTTGATGCATCAAAACCAGGCCGATTTGGTAATAACAAATCACGAATTGTTTCGTTATATATCTCTAACATGGATACCTGATAGATGAATGAAGCAAAAAATGGCTCAGAAACAGAACCCAAGCACAGCTGTCCTGATTACTATGTAAAAGAGCAACTAGAGGCTACCTGCATTTCATATTTCCACCCCTGAGATTGAAGAGCTTGCCTTGTCTCAAACACTTGCTCTAACGTCCGTGGGATCAAACCTTTCTCATGTGGATTACCAGGTTTACCCATCATTGTGAATGTTTTACCTGAGCCAGTTTGCCCATATGCGAAGATACAGACCTGAAGTAGCAGAACATCAATATCTTAGAGAGCATTTGTGAAGTAGATCAACAAGCCACATGTCACATGTCAAGAGGTGATTTTACCTTGTAACCGTCCAAAGCACTCTGGACCAATTGTGATATTTCCACAAAAACATCTTCTTGTGATGCATCAGGCATAAACACCTTGTCAAATGTAAAAGAGTGCTTCTGCCCTGAAATGAGTTTAGCAACCATGTAAGAGGCATAAAAAATGTGATAGAATGTAAATGACAAGCAAGTGACTGAAGACGTCCAGATCCAGAATAGATCTCACCATTCTGAGTCAAGTCAATGCCTCGGCCAAGCAATTCCATTGTTGTGGGGAAAGAGATAACTTTCATGTCGGGAGCACCAACATCGTCAGACAATAAAGGACGCACTCGGCAGAACACCCGAATGTTCCCTTTCAATTCCTAATACAGGAAAACAATAATCAGCACCAACAAAATGAAACAGTAATTCAGTTAAAACCGCAGCAAGGTCTATGAATATTACCAGTATGGTATTATGCAGCTTTTTACGTAGTTTTTCTCCTTCAACAACTTTCATCTCAGCATCAGCAAGGCGACTTTGTAACTCCAAGATAAACTTCTTTTGCTGTTCAAATTCTGTCCTTGTTTCCATAGCTGACATGTCAGACATCTGTCAGAAAGAATGATGATTTTCAGGCATTGAATTAACACCACAGTTTAATTGAAAATGATAACCTTTTTAAACCCTAGCTGAAGCTTGCAAATCTTACCTCGGATTTCTTCTCTGCAATAGCTAGTTGTTGCCTAAGTTTTCTTATCTCATCAGCTTGAGACAAATATTTCCCCTTGTGGAGGCAAAAAACAAAGAGTAAAATTCAGCCTCTGATGACCTCATAAAGGATGGCATGATTAATTGATTATAGAGAGACTGTTCAGACTGACCTCAAGCTCATTTGACTTCACAATCATGGTATCCAAATCAGCTGAGGATTGGCCAAAACGATCCTGCCATTTTGCTAATTCTGAATTCAGGGCCTCAACCTGTGCAGCTTTGCGGTCACGATCTTCTCTTAGTTGTTGCATATCAGTCCTAAGAGTTCCAGCTTCATTTGCCAAAACATCTTTCTGTCGCACAGCATCCTCTTGGGAAGCCTACAGACAAATCAGATGAAAATGAATGACGGGACACAAAATCTCAATCCAACTAAATTCCTCCGGTTCATACTACATAATGGTATGCTTTTTTTTTGTTCAATTTTACAGTGCATAGAGAATATTCTTGTATTGAACAAGTCCAAATTAATGCAAGCACTTTAGTGGTTGGCACAATCACAACAGTGATAATGAAAAGCTAAAAAAGCAAAAGTTAGCCGAATATACCCTAGAAGAAGAGAGCTGCTCCTGCAATGAGGTATAGTGGCCCCTCAAAGTACTGAGATTTTCTACCACGGCAGCTTTTTCTTTTTCCACACGCTTTAATCCATCATTGGTTGTAGCAAGCTCTGATTGAAGCTTACTGTTGTACTGCTGCAAACTGGTATTGTATTCTTGCAATCGCTTGTACATGTCATTCAGTGATTGTATCTGAGCAAACGAGTGTGGCATTTTAAACATTAGTAACTAGTTCCATTACACATGAACAAATTAGATAGGTGACAGTTCAGAAACTGGTTGCTGTACCTTTTGATTAGCTCCTGCAATATCCTGCTGAGCTCTCTTCAGGTCTTCGGCAAGGGTAGCAAGTTGCCTCTCTCCAGAAACTCTAGCCTCTTTCTCTTTAGCAAGAAGATCCATTGTTTCCTAATGATTCATTGATGAGATAACAAAATGTCATAGTTAGTAAACAGCTTGCAGACATCGCAACTCTAAAATTGAACAAATTCTTCTTCTGCCACACTTACTAGTTTATCAGATTGCTCCTTTAAAAGCTTTTCCTGGGATGCCTCGAAATTTCTTCTCAATTCCATAATTATTGAGTTCAACTCTTCTTCCTTGGCCTTCATCAGCATCTCTAATAAGATAAGAAATTATGCTCAGAATAGACACAATACAAACATCTAAATCACCAACAAGATGACCAAAAACCAAGCATACCAATTTCATTGTACTTTTTCTCTTTGGCTTCCAAACATTCCTTAAGGCTCTCAATCTCAGAAGCGCAGTTTTTTTCTAGCTGTTGGAACCACCTGAGACACTCCTTTAGCCTTTTAATGTAATCCCCCATTTGGTCACATTTTTCCTATAAAGTTGCAGAAATCAAACAAAATAAATCAACTTGGAGAGCTCTGATTACAAATCAAGTCCCAATCCCTAAATCTAACACATATTCTTTATACATAAATCACCAAAAACTAGCGTGTTTTCACGACGGATAACATTAAAAGCACTAACCTTATAGTTGAATTTATTCTTGACTTTCAATCTCTCACTGAGCAATGCGTCAATACTCTCTTTCGTAAACTCAGTTACACCACACTCTGAGCCGGTGGTGCTGGGGGGATCACTGGAAGGCGGCAGATCTCCGCCACCATTCCGCTCCGTCAGCGCCTGCCGGTTGGTCCTGGTACTTAAATTCGCCGGAGGCATCTTAACGTTCCCGATCTTTCTCCTCTTCTCTACGGAAACATCCACAACGTACTTGCTCTGAAAATTTTAGTATCCCGGCAGGAAAAAACATGAAAAAAGAAGTCAGCAAATAATTAAATACTTCACAACAAAATTCAAAGTAAAAGAAATACCATCAGAAGAGGAGGGCTTTTTCAACTTTTTTCCCAACCAAAAAAGTAGCACAATGCTCCTTCCAGATTAATTAATTCAGTTATTCACAACAAAAAATTAATCAAATATCAGCAGCAAACTCCACAAATGAACCCAGAAAACAAAAGAACCCGATTCATTTCACTTTAAGAACCGAGGAACCCGTCAAAAAAATTTCCCCCAAAAACAGCGAAATAACCACTCACCGAATCAAATCTAAAAAACAACTAAAAAGAAATGTAAACTCCAAAAAAATCCCCAAAGCGCAGAAGAAGAAAAAATGAGAAGAATAAACCGTTTGAAAAATGGGACAAAAATTTGAATTTAAAAAAAGGGGAAAAAAGAATTAAGAAAAAATTAAGAGGCTTACGTTAGGAGAGCTTGGAGTTGAAGACGAAGAGAGAGAGGACAGTGGGGGCTTGTTCTGATTGATGCTCTTGTTTGGTGCCATTTTGAAACAGAGAAGTAATTGTAAAATGTGAATGTGTTGGAGAGAGAGAGAGAGAGAGAGAGAGAAAAAACGATGGAGAGAGAGAGAGAAACTGTGTTGTCTACTGTGTGACTGTGTGTTGGTGAGTAAAAAATCAAATCAAAAGAGAAAGATGAGGGAAGAAGGGTTTCTGTGAGTTTTTCTTTTAATTCTTTTTTCTTTTTTCTGGAGGAAAAATATTGTGTCTGTGGGTGGGGCCAGGATTGTAATTGAAGCATCCTAGCCGTTGCTTTGAAATGCAGTAAACCAAAATAGACAGATCAAGGACAACGGAGGGCTCGGACTGACAATGATTTTTTATCTTTTTTTGAGTTTTTACCTCGGAAAAAGTTGGAATTAAATAATCCGAACCAAAAAGGGTAACCTATTTTATTCATGCGTTCACGTTCGTTCCGTCTTGGAGCTGGATGGCAATTTGGTCAAATCACGTGTTTAACTGTGGGAGCGTTTGTGGGGAATGCTGGGTAATTTTTTGAATTTTTTTGAAATTGAGTGTGGCGGTCTACTGGGAGATGTTCGTTGAAATTCGTCCTGACCATTTTGTCCTCGCTGGTTCATTGAATTTCCTAATTGGATTGTTTTGATTCCCTATCATTTTTCCATCTTCACAGTTTCTCCATGCTTAACAACATTTGAGTTAATTAGCAAAATTAAAACCCATAAATTAACATAACTATTCGTTGTCCCTGTAAACAATTTTTTTTGCCCTTACTATGAAAAAAAAGCACGTATTTGTCAACTGAATGGTGAAAATTCACAAATTTGGCATAAATTAATGCTCCCTCTATCCCAAAATTATTGCCCAGTTTGAGATATCACTTTTAGTACAATTTGAACTATAAATAAAAAACTCAAACAAGACAATAATTATGAGACAGGGGGAGTAATTCATTTGATTTATCTGGTTAAAACCTTGGTAGAGAAATAGAGATCCAATCAATGACCAAAAACAAATTTTCAATATTTGACAAAGCTTTTAGAATATTCATTATCGTTATTCCCTTTGTCTCGAAATTATTGTCTTGTTTGAGATTTCACTTTTAGTACAATTTGAACTAGAAATGAAAATCCAAACTGGACGATAATTATGGGACGGAAAGAGTACAATTTACACCATGATTATTAATGAAGGCATGATACATAATCTTTTTTTTATATATAAGAAACAATCATTAAATATTCATATTTTTAATATTACCGCTATTGTTAAATAATAATGTAGACAACAACACACCTGAATGGTAAAAACGAATTCTCCAACCATGTAAATAAGATATACTAGTATTATTTTAAAATAAAATCTAATAGAATTATTAATTGCCGAACTTAACTAAGTCTGACTCAATGAAATATTGAAATGTGACCAAGTAAACTCTCTATTTTTCAATATAATGTAAAACATTGAAAAACTGATTTGAAATTTTGGACCGGAATTTACCAACTACCTCCAGCAGTATGAACCAATCTAATCAAAGCGCAGATTATGAAAAAGTGAACATAACATTTTTCTCTACGAAAATAATAACAGGAAAAAAAAAAAAGAAGTTAGGGTTACAATTTTTATTTTATTTTTACAGCTATTGCTTCCCCCTACGATCTCAGAATCCACATAGTAACTGGTAGGGAGGCATAGTTCACATGCAGGCGGCCAATAGACCAGTGATCTCTGCCAACATTTCCATACTTTTTTCACTCAATTGCATACAAATACAAATACAAACACACAAATCTATAAACAATTCCTCTGGTTTTGCTTCCACACGGCGCCAAGAATTTTCCCTCTTTTATAATCTACTTTTTGCCACGATTCACCTGCAAAGGGCCAAAAAAAAAAAAAAACCGAAATCATTTCTTTCATTACATCTTAACAATTAACTTTATTAATTTATTTAAAATAATATATCAAAGTGAATTATTAGATAAAATATAAAAGAACTATTTTATCAATTTCATAATAATTATCTATTTTAAATTTCATTTTTTTATATAATTTATATTAAAAATTAAAATACAAAATGAATAGTCATTTTAGGATAGATATATAATAATAAACAGTACAAATTAACAATAGCAGTCATGGGATCGCATGACCTTGGTGATCTGATAAATACATGAATTCATAAAAATTGATGTGAGGGGTCCTTTCGTTTGTGTGCATTTGCATTACACCTTTTTCAAAGAGGCTTCTCAATTAGGCTTGTTTTCTTAATTGATTCTCAACTATCCAACTTTCTGATTTTGTGCTAAACGTGTGGAAGTAGCATCCATTGAAATTTCTAGTATGAACACACATAACTTTCCAATTGCTGAAATAGTGTTTTAAGCATTGACACGCCCATGGTAGTCAGTTTGTAACTTAAATTGTGTTAAAAATTCGTCGGAAATTAAAAAGGCATTATCGACAAAAAAAGAAATTACTCTCTCTGTCTCATAATTATTGTTCAGTTTGGATTTTCACTTTTAGTACAATTTGAACTAAAAATAAAAACTTAAACAGGACAATAATTATGGGATGGAGGGAGTATTTCACGGATCGATTAAAAATAGAAATGATATACAAGCTAGCTCAAGTTTTCTTGGTGAACATGGGTTACAAAAATACTACAATATTCCACCAAATCAGAACATTATTAATAGATGTGAGTGAGAGTGTTAATCATCATAAAAGTATAGTGATATTAACGTGTGAAATGCAGTTGCCGAATTGACAAGCAAAATCAAAATATTCGCGATTCAGCTTTGCACCAAACGCAAAGCTAATTAGCATCATCATCAACAAAATAAAATGCATTATTTCCCGTGGCTTTAGTTTTTAAGAACTCACCGGCCAGTAGTTATAGCTAGGCTAGGCTTATTAGTTGAATTGTTCTTAACGACTTAATCCTGATACTGGTTTTAAAATTGAAACACATTAATCCGATATAATTGTTAATTGTTTATCTGTTTGAAGTTATCGAACCAGTTTAATTAATAATGTATTCTCTATAATACTAAAAATTATAAACCCTCCAGTTGTCTTCTTTTTCATTATAAAATGTGCATATCCACTTTGTACCAAATAGCAAGAAACGGAATTTGATTAGTCACAACAATTTTTTACAGGACAACTGACATTCGATCATGTTAATGCTGACCAAATTAAAGCTTCGTGTTCAAGACAAATGGCAACCTTCTACTGCAGTTTATATTAAAGCCGGACGCTGCAATACTACAAACTGATACTCACTCCGTCCCATAATTATTGTCCAGTTTAAGTTTTCATTTCTAATTCAAATTATACTAAAAGTGAAATTTCAAACTGAACAATAATTTTGGGACAGAGGGAGTATTATTGATATTTTTTCCGTCTTAAAATTAGAATTATGTTTGTTAAATTTTGAGTACACCATATTTGGTTTTTTTTTTTCTTACACAGGACAGAGTATGTGTGAGAAACAGAAGAACAAAAGATACTGAAAAATATATGCTATGAGAAGAAAAGCAACAAATGGAGGAATGCAGTCTCAAGCATTGATTTTTGTTTGGAGATATTATTTGGGACTAATCAAGTCAATAATTAAACATGCTGCATTTCGGTTTGGACTTTGGAAGGCTGAAAACATGATATCCCAAATTCGAGTCTAGTGCTCTTGGACGCGAAGGCCCATCTTAGAATAAACGGACTTCAGTCTTTGAAGGCCCATCTCAATTAGCAACTTTGTATTGGTCCTAGAATAAACGGACTTCAGTCTGCTGGCTTTTATCTCAGTCCAATACTTCTCAGTTCTCAGCAGCCAGCCAAGAAAAACTCCATACACAAAAACTTCAGAATAGTTCAGATTAGTTATAGAACATTGAGAAAAAAAATCTTTGATGATTTTCATTACCCCTTTCCTTCTGGTGTACTGATTATATTTTGTGTAAAAATTCTTTGTATCCATAAGAAGATGTTTAGCTTGTTATCTATGGAAGAAATACAGTAAGTCATACTAATATCTTATTCACAACTAGTTACGAATTTTCAAGTTAGATTCGTATCGTGTCACAAATTGTCACTCTCAATTCTAAACCGATTCGAAAAATTAAAACTTTATACAATCATCAACAAAACTAAAAACGTATTAAGAGGCTCGTAAGTATAAAGGTAGGCAATTCACGGTATAGTTGACAAAATTTGATGGAATCATAAAACTTTTTGTTTCAAGAATTCTTAGGGATGCTTATCTCTAAGAGCTTATCACTAATCACGCTTGCTTCCACATTCCTCCAGTCGGCATTTTCAGGCAATTCAATCCGGCGAACAAATCCATATTCCCACCAATTGCTTCCTCTCCAATCCTTTACCCTGGAATCTTTAACCTGTAGCATCCGCTGCCCACAAATCTCCACAATCTTACCTCCTTCAACACACACTTGAATGCTATTTTTACCCACTTCTGAAACAAAACAACCGAATTATAATTTACCAGCTTCCAAAACATGGTTAAAAAAACCAACGAAAAAAAACTAAACAACTTTTGTTAGAATGCTAACCTGGTAAATCGGCTGTTAAAACATAGTGCGAATCCGTTTGTTTCCAATCGACTGATCTTTTATCACCGGAGTCGGAAGCAGAAGTGGAACTGGACAAGAGAACATCTGCATCGAATTCCCAGATCGGAAAAGCATCAGAAGGATCAAAGAATTTCCCAAACAACAATGGATTAAACAGTGAACCTTGCCCGAAGACTTGTTGAGCAGCTACTACATGATTTCCCTTCTCCGTGAATGCTATAAAAACATCCTCTTTCAATGGAACACACCATTTCTTGGGGTTATGATCTTCAAACAATACTTCAATCTTTCTGGAACTGGTCATCTCTGTGTGTGCTACTGATCAGCAAGTTCCCAAAGGCCAAAATGAGCCTAACAGGCGAATATATTGCCAAACAGGCGAATTTGATATATGATGAAGAAAACTACTAGTGATTTAGAGAACAAATTCGTTTGGAATATATGAATCTGTAAAGATTGAAAGGAATATTTCTCAATTCTCATATCCATTGGTCACACGATATAGTATTACAGTCACGAAAAAAGAGGGGGAAATCTTTGAATCGTGGCAAGAATTAACGGATTCAAAATGGGAAATAAAGTTGAGAAAATTCCTTCTCCAATTCACGGGGAAATTTATGGTTCTCAGTTTTTTGTCCAAAAAAAAATGTTAGCAATTATAGCCCAACCGAAAAAAATAAAATAAAAACATGTAGTAACATTGCCGTACAGCATATTCAAGCAATTCCCCACTTCCCAGCAATAAACCAAAAGGACACCCTAATAATACGTGTAACAAATTATATATTCCGTGTGAAAAGAACATTAAAAAGCTAGAGTTGTTGCTTGATTCATTTAAACAGGGATAGAAAGGGGTTCCGTTTCAATCAATTGAGTGTAAATGATCTTGTCATGAAGCACCAACTAAAAGACTCATATATTTTATTATAAGAAAATTATTGAACCCTTTATATCATTTATATATTTTCTCCTGTGGACTTTCATCTCATCGCAAGATTCCAAATTATGTTTCTGGAGATATGCCATCAGCCAACTAAATGTACTAATCTAGTAGCAACTACATCTACGAATTTTGGAAGATAAAAGGCCTTGTTTGGCGAACATTTATTTTAATTTTTTGTCCCATTTTACCTTTTAAACACAAAACCTAATACACTATCCAAACAACATTTTAACTAACCTTTTAAAAAATATTCCAAAAATCATTTTTACACAATTTGCATCCACCACCACCACCGGACCACCTCCGCCACCGCCGGACCGCCTCTTTTTGTTGCCGGACCGCCGTCGGCCGGCGACCGACCGGCCGAATTCGGCCAAATTCCGGCGAACTCTCCGGCCGGCGGCGGTTCGGTGGTGGAAGTAGCCGGTGGTGATAAAAAAATATTATTCTTCTCCGTCCCACAAAAATAGTCTAGTTTAATAAAAAAGTTTGTTCTAAAAAAATAGTCCAGTTTCATAAAAATCAAAATTAATTAAATTGAAATGACTTAAATATTCAAAAGATTATTGGTAAAGAAAACAAGGTCCACTTCCTTTGATTTTATTTTGTTTTTAGTTTTTTCCTATTTTTTCAAATGATTATATCTTTTAATACATGAATAATTAAAAAATATGTTATATATCAAATTAATCTACGTAACGAGATCTTTCCATCAAGATTCATTGTCAATATTTTTTGAGATAAAAATTTTGATCAAATTTAAGTTGTAAAATAAATGTATATATAGTTACTCCCTCTATTCCAAAATTATTGTCCAATTTGATATCTCACTTTTAGTACAATTTGAACTATAAATAAAAACTCAAACAGGATAATAATTATGGGACGGATGGAGTAAATTTTATAGAAATAACTAAAAGGGACATTAGTGGAAGTTAGGGGCATAAAATGAGTTGTACATTTGGTGTAATGACCAAATTTAAAAAGTTGTACATTTTCAAACTGGATTATCTTTTTGGGACGGAGAGAGTATTATTATAATTAAAAATATATTCAAACAATTTTTTAAAACTCTCAAAACACATTTTAAATTATATCTCAAATTCAAACCAAAAACTAAATCAAAACGCAAAATAAGATGTTGGCCATATTATTATTATTCTGTTTGACCAACAAAGTATAACTACGTACCCACTTAATTATTGATTTACTGTGGATTCGGGAAGCAGATAGTTGGTCAATCTAACATTAAAATTTCCTTATAAGCGTGGTGGGTTCGACAGGGTTGATATGGATTTTGATTATGCATTTTGAAAAGTTTTTAATAACATCAGTAGAGACAGTAGTTACAACTCTCATCAAGTACATCTAATAAAATACGTACAATTGTGATATGTTCAGTGCAGATTACATTAATTAATAATCAGGAATGTATTAGATTTTTCTTAATCGGACCTTTCACTTTATATGGCCATGACTCCACCCATAATACACAAAGGTACAATAAGTCCAAACTCCCAATATGACACGTGCTACTCCACTCTCCCTTCAAATGGACTAAAAGCTGGTTCCTTTACTTTACGGCCCTTACGCGGATTTGGTCTATTTTATTCTAATTGCTTGTGTTTTAAGATCATGTCCATTATGAAAAAAACCATTCAAATGTATATTGTTCCCTACCTACTAAAATAAACCGGCGCTTGCCGCGTATATATGTTTAATTAACGAGACGAGACCTTCATTTTAGAAGCGAAGAAAAGCAGAATGCGTTGTTGCTTTTACTTTTATTTTTTAGAAATAAAATTATTGATTTACTAGAATCCGTCCAGCAGCGATTGATAAGAAAAGATACAGCCAGAAAAATACAACTTACAATTGACCATAATCATAGTACCTTTGTTGTGTTTCATATAAATAAACCTATATAGATCTACCATATCAAGTAGTGGTTGTGTCATAGTGCCTTTGTTGTGTTTCATATAAATAAACCTATATAGATCTACCCTATCAAGCAGTGGTTGTATCATGTGTCAAAACAAAGATACAACACTAAAAATCAGTTGAAACCCCCAAATCATAGATCTAACAACTAAATCTATATGACTAAATCTTTTAAAACCATACGAGCGAACTCCAACGAACCTGCCGCCGTACCTGCAAACATCACCGACAAAAATGTCACCACACCAACGAACATCACCAGGGAAGTCGCCGCTATACTAGCGAACATTCATAAGGAAGTCGTCGCCATACCTAACTAGTAGAGAAGATTATAATCTCACTTATTGAAAATAAATTAAATAATAATAAAAAGTGTAAGGATTATGACAGAATTATCTCTCCATGAAAGATGGGGAAAATATAGAATTTTTTTTTTTTGTTCTAGGGTTTTAGAGTTGGAGAGGGAGAGAGGGGCGGCCGAGAGAGTTTTAGGGGTTATTTAATGTTGTTGCTTTTACTTGATTTGAAACTAAGCATCAGCGTTTTTGTTCAAGTGGAAAATATAAAAAAATAATGATAGGACATTGACCGTATATAGTAAAATAGGATTAGGGTCGTGAAAAATGAAACAGTGATTTGTGAAAAAATAAAAATATCATTTACTAAATTCATTACTACCAAAATAACAAGGAATTACAGACAATTAAATAAATTCGTTACGGCTCATTACATCCGTCATTATCTCATTTCAATTCATTTTCATGTATCATTTTTTATTTTACAATTCATTTTCATATGTCATTTTTCATAAAGTTCTACGGCCCAAGGAGGAGGTTCTTTTTTTGCCCCGATGATATGGATAGAGTTATACCTCAACCTGATAAAGATCCCATGATACCTAAGAGAAATTCCAAATTTTTAATTTTATGATTTAACTGTTTTCATTCAAGATTAATTTGATCCTTTATTTACGGTTATAGAGTAATCTTTATCATTAATTTGCTCTTTCTTGTTCAAAAGTTATAACCATATTTGTTAGATCAGAACAATTTTATAAATAAAAACTTGTTGTTAGACGGAGCGAATATAATTTTTAAACTAGTAATTTGGATTGTAACTATAAAGTAGCATTGCCCAAATGCCCAAACGAGTAAATTTTCAAGGTCGATATGAAGAAAGAGAATGTAATTGACTAATTAGGATTTTAGGACGCATAACGTAATCAAGTAAATCACAAATTACATTACATCCGTTAAGACTTAACGAGGAGTAAAAACAAACAAACTACTAGTCCCGTCCCGAACGGTATCTTTGACGGGAAAAAAGAATTTTTTACTTTTCCTAGGGGAAATTTCCCAGGTCAACTCACGCGCTCTCTCTGCCACCGCCATCCCATTTTTGCGTTTGTCGAGCTTGATAATCATTCAATTAAAACCCCAGCAACCCAAATCGGCCCTCTTTTAGATTAGATTTCATATCTTCGACAACAGCTAGGATTCCCTGAATAGAAAAAGACACCGCTCTTGAAGACATTATTGTCTAATTTTTGGGTCCTTTTCTATTTAATTGCCTATTCAATTCCAAAATCTGTCATTTCTTTGAAGAAAAAAGGGTCGTTTTTTCCATTAAATTTCGGTCATTAGTTGGGGGTTGATGCCAAAATTCGAGCTTTTGTTTGATATCTAGAAGTGGGTCATTGAGATTCAGGGTCAAAATCTGTGATTTGGAGGTTTTCTATTGCGGAAAGTTGAATTGGATTGTTGGCAGTAAATGCTGTAGGACTTGACCTTTAATACGTTTCTTGTCAAGTGGCGAATGGTTCACCCAGCTAACTAGCGGAGAGAGAATGTGGCAAGGATGAACAGATGTTTTGATTTTAATTGGGGGTTACTGTTCTTGATGATGTGAAATTCAGTTTTATACAATTGGAGCTCTGATTCAAGAAGAAAAAATGGGTGTCAAAGTGGTGCTTTGTGTGATTGCTTCTTTTCTTCTGGTCTGCGCTTTGATTGCAGCAGGTCTTGGGAGCAAGAAAGATGCACAACAATCATCACTTACGAACCTGATCGACTTAATGGAGCGTCATCCGGAGATGGTAATGGACTCTATTTCTTTTCTCTTTTCTTGGCTTCTTCACTCCTGGATTTATTGTTATACACTTGTGCTATTAGGGATTAATGCTGAGTAGTTTCAGATTTAGCTATTACAGAATTGGAACATTTAGGTGACTAATCTCTTGTCTGAAGGTTTTCACCCATAGCTGTAGCCAGATGTTATAGACTTACACTCGTTGTTTGTCATTTCTTTGGATTTTTATATTACGTTTAAAAAGTGAATGGTTTGTTCGGATTGGATATGGAGTGGCATAGCTCGTGAAGTGGCATCTTCTATATGCTGCATTCTTAAGAGAAGTAAGAAATTGTCCGTCTTAGTCAAAAGGTAGGAGAAAGGAAGTGCTGATACTGGAGTTAGAGGCTTTTCTTGACTGTTCTCTTCTTTTCCCTGATTGGCACGTCTTCTATGATCTTTTCTTTCATCATGTTCTTTGTCTAGTTGAAGGGCTGATGTTTGTGTATTCAAATCTTTGTAGTTGCCATACATATCTTATAAAATCTCTCCCTTCTTTTGGAGGTTTGTTCGTTGTCTGAAGAATGTGTTTTATCGACACTTGCTGTCAATTTTGTTTTCTAAACATGCACGTTTTGCTGTGTATAGTGGGACCATATTCGAAATTCGTATTACAAGATCCGTGTGGGGTAAAATGTGACATTTTGAATCTGCCTAATACCATTCTTATTCTTTTCTCAATCTTATTGCTCTGTGTTGTTGTAGGCTGAGGTGATACTTGCACACTGTGGAAGGGAGTTGTTACAAACCAATGAAGCTGTTGAGGAACTAGAGTTCCACATCCCTATAGAAAAGTCCGGCATTAGAAGTGATTATTTTTTGAATAGTAGATCGTTAATCAGATTAGACATGCACAAAGTTGTACAAAGATTGGATTCCAAGGCTGAGAGAACTATTTTGGGTTGTTTGAGGAAGAAAGATCTTTTGTTCCTTATATCTGGAGATGAGAAAGATTCAAATAGCTGGTATATTAGACACCTGAAATTAATTTACACCTTGGCTGATGCTTCCAGTCGACGGATTTTGGCTCAGAGCACTGGACAAGCACCTGCCCCATCTCCCATTGGAGAAGCACCTGCTCCGTCACACACAGTGTCATCTCCATCTCCGGCTCCTTCAATTCCTGTTGTTCCTGAACCAAAGCCTGATCTTAGTCCTCCTGCACCTTCTTTCTTCCAAGATCTGAATAAGTCATCCTTACTTCCTGCTCCCAGCGCAGAAGCTGCTTCCCCTCCAAGTTCTTCTTCTGATATCCAGGCAAATAAGCAAAAGACCAGTCGTAGAACAGTTGTCATTGCTGTTGCTGTGACTGCAGCATCAACATTTGTTGTTTCAGCTCTTCTATTTTTCTGCTGTCGTAGGTTTTGTGGGGCTGGTGCTGGACGAAGAAAAAATGACGAAAGGCCTCTTCTCAGTTTAAGCTTGAATGACTATTCAATAGGTATATGAAAAAAATATCTTCACTTAATACCTCCATTTTGTTTGCATTTTCCTGTTCTAACATTATTAAATATTATGTTGCAGCTTCTCCACACAAATCATTCACTCTAAGCCCTTCAATAGAGAAACATTCTAATCAATCAACTGCAGCGACAGCAACAGCAACTAAGCCCTTATCCCATTTTATGGGATCAGATTACTTTCAGGAGGCTGATTCTCAAAATGACTCAAAAATTGAGATATCAACTGGAACCGTTGCTGGAGTTGGAAACACATCAGTGGAGAATGCTACTTTGCAGATACCTGGCAAAACTGGATTACCTCCACTGAAGCCTCCCCCTGGAAGGGGCAATTCATTTGAACCACGTGTAGGTCCAGAGAATGCAGCACCTCCACCTCCACAGCCTCCACAACCTCCTCGCCCTCCCTCTGCTCCATCACCTCCTCCACCACCTCCAATGCTAAAACCTTCTGGTGGTCCACGCCCTCCAGTACCTGGTGCACCTCCTCCCCCGCCTATCAAGAATGGCCCTCGTCCGCCACCTCCTCCCGGTGGTGGTGCTGCACCCCCTCGTCCACCCCCAGTAGGTTTTAAGCCGCCTCGCCCTTCTTCTCATGGCACCAACCAATCGAGCTCCAGTAATGCTGATGATGACGCAGATGCTCCCAAAACAAAGCTGAAGCCTTTCTTTTGGGACAAAGTTCTTGCCAACCCTGATCAATCAATGGTTTGGCATCAAATTAAGTCTGGATCATTCCAGTAAGTCATTGGTTTTCCTATGGTCTTCTGTTTGGTGCTTTTGCTGAGTGGGTTGATAATAGAATACTGCTTTGGACAGGTTTAATGAAGAGATGATTGAGTCTTTATTTGGATACACTCCTACTGACAAAAACTTCAAGTCCAAGGAATCCACATCCCAAGATCCTGCAAATCAATATATACAACTTATTGATCCCAAAAAGGCACAGAATCTTGCTATTCTTCTTAAAGCATTAAATGTGACAACAGAAGAAGTTTGTGACGCACTTCAAGAAGGTGATCTGTTGTTCTCTTTCGACTGTTACTACTGCGTCAAATAGAGTTTGCTTGTGTTGTATGATGCGCAAACCTAAACAAGCATTAGTCCATTAGTGTGGAGAAATGGTCAATAAATGATTGTCTTCGTTGTGCGCATGTGTGTTATACATCTACAAAAGAGCATGAGAGTTATTTCCATCTAAAAAAGGTTGAAGTTCCTATTCTACTCCATTGGAGTGTCTAAAGTTTCTGGCCAGCGTAATAATGGCAATTGATAGGAACAGGAATTAGAATTGTGGTTTCCAACTTTGGGTTGCTTGTGTGTTATTTAGGTGACACTGAAACTTCTAGATCCTTTTTTTCTATGTTCTTGCAGTATATGCTAATATTCTGTAATTTACCTCAGGAAATGAGCTTCCTTCTGAACTTATTCAAACACTCTTGAAGATGGCTCCGACAAGTGATGAAGAACTGAAATTGAGGGTTTATAGTGGTGACCTTTCTCGTCTTGGGCCCGCTGAGCGCTTCCTGAAAGTTTTGGTAGATATCCCATTTGCCTTTAAGAGGTTAGAGTTATTACTATTTATGTGTACACTTCAGGAGGAGGTATCAATGGTGACTGAGTCCTTCAAAACATTGGAGGTAAGATTTTTCTATTAATCGGCATTATTTATTGTTTCATTCTGCTTTTGTCTGCTCTCACATTTTAAAGCATATACCTGTGTAACTGATTCTTTTAGAAAAAAAAAAAAAGAAGAAAGAAATAATTGACTTTTGTCTATCAAACACTTATCAAGATGCTTTTGAACAAGTATTCACTTTTCCAGCTTGTGTAAACATTGCATCAAGCAGACTATGAAGAGTTAAAATATCTACTCCCTATGTTCCAAAATTATTGTCCAGTTTGAGATTTCACTTTTAGTACAATTTGAACTAGAAATAAAAATTCAAACTGGACAATAATTATGGGACGGAGGGAGTACATTTTAAAACGTGTTAATTACTATTTAGATTCTGTGTGTATGTCTCCAGTCTTTGTAGCCCTTTATTCAACTGAATACTCATTGTCATGAGTAATTGATCGAATCTTTTCCTACTGCAGGCTGCTTGTACTGAACTCCGCAAAAGCAGACTGTTTCTCAAGCTCCTGGAAGCAGTTCTTAAGACTGGTAATCGCATGAACGATGGCACATTTCGTGGGGGTGCACAGGCTTTTAAACTTGACACGCTATTAAAGTTATCTGATGTAAAAGGATTAGATGGGAAAACTACACTCCTGCACTTTGTTGTTCAGGAAATAATTCGATCTGAAGGCATAAGAGCTGCACGTGCAGCAAAAGAGATGCGGAGCATGTCCAGTATCAAGTCTGATGATCTAATCGAGGATGTATCCAATGATACTGAAGAAACTTATAGAAATATGGGTTTGCAGATGGTCGCAGGTTTAGGGAATGAACTTGAAAATGTGAAAAGGGCTGCAATATTGGATGCAGATAGCTTGACTGGAACTGTGGCTAAACTTGGTCATGCTCTCATCAAAGCCCGAGATTTCTTAAATGGAGAAATGAAGAATGTGGATGAAGATAATGGGTTTCACCAAACACTTAAAAGTTTTGTGCAGAATGCTGAGGTTGACATCATGTCTTTGCTTGAAGAAGAGAAGAGGATAATGGCCCTTGTTAAGAACACGGGAGATTACTTCCATGGAAATGCTGCCAAGGATGAGGGTTTGAGACTATTTGTTATTGTGAGAGATTTCTTGGTAATCTTGGACAAGGTATGCACAGACGTGAAAAATGCGCCAAAAAATCTGAACAGACCACGTAGAAAAGAGGATACCACAGTTGCACCTTCAGAGCCACGGCAGAATCCCACTCCCGATCCTCGCCAACGGCTTTTTCCAGCAATCAAAGATAGACGGGCGGATAGTTCAAGTTCAGACGATGATGACCAATAGTGATTTTGGTAAGATTAAAACTTGTTCATTGTGTATATATATTTCGAAGTTTTAACTTATGGAAACAATTTTTTCCGTTTCGGATTAGTGTATCACTGTTAATGAAATCTTTTCCCTTCATACAGTTGGCAACATCTAACATAAACTTTTCTCTCTTCTGTTAAACATCTAGTTAATGCAGGATATAAGAGGCGGTAGAATGCTGATTCTTGTTTTAAGTTTTGCCGTCTGTAATGGATGAATGCCTGAGGGTAGTTTGACGAAGGGGTTTGAGAAACTGATTGCGGCATGTCTTGATGAAACCCAGCTGTTTGCAGCATCCATGCTTTGTAGAGAGATCTGAAGCTGACCATTAAAATATATTCTTGACATTTGTTGTTGCCTGGAAGGTCAAACTGATGTACATTGTCTATAGTGAATCAGTAGTTAGAGAGAACTTCATTTGGTTTAGCTCTGTAATGGTTCTGCCAATTTTGACCATTTGACACCAGATTGAGCAAGTAGCTGGTGAAAGGCAAATTATTTCCGGATTTAATATTCTTCAGTTTTAGCAGAAATTTATTAGTATCTCAGGTCAAAAATTCCTCCTGTACATTGAAAATATCTGGTGAGAAACACAAGAGTAACCCCTCAATTCATGACTAGTTTTCCAATAAGAAAAAATCTCCATGAAATTGTTATATTTTCAGTTCAGTTTGTATTTTTTCAGATCTTATTTACTCTCTCTGTCTCAAAAGTATTTCCCAAACTTTGAACTAGACATGAAAATTTAAACTAGACAATAATTATGGGACGGGGTGAATACATTCTTCCGTCCTATTTAACAGTCGTGTAAATCAAGTGAACAACGTTTAAAATGGGACGGAGGAACTAAGGGAGAAAATAGTAATTAGAGGTAACAGTGACAGTTAAGGGATCCAACTCGGTTCGTGGGCCCAAGAATCTTTTTTAATTCAGATCCATCAGTCTTCTTCTTCCCGAAAAGGCCGAAACGTATATTAAGTCCCGGAATTCTTGTTCTCTTCCGCCCTACCACCGTACCGTACGCCGCAACCCTGGACTCCTCCGCCCTGAGTAACGGAAGTAAGCATTCACAAAGCTTTCTTCTTTTTGATTTTCCAAGTCCTTTTCGTGTTGGGATTCTGAGAAGTGTATGTTTTCGATACTGTTGGCTAATTTTTTTATATGATTATTTTGCTAATTTCGGAAGGGCAATGTTTTGATGTTTAGTTTAGGAGGTCCAATTGATGGAAGATGGGAAAGAAGAGGAAAGTTGATTCTGATTCTCCAAAGACGAAGGTGAGATAATTTTTATAGTTTTTAGTTTAGTTATGAATTCAATCACATTGTTGCATACAATTTAGTGAACTCCAGGCAGATTGATATGTGTTCTAATTGGTCAATATTGTGTATTGTTTGTTTTCCCTTAACCTGAATAGGCTTCCAAATGTGGAGAGAATGTGAAGGATGGGATTAGTCGGCTCCCTGATGAAATTCTGGTGAATATCCTTGGGTTTCTGAGCCTCAAAGAAGCTGGAAGAACAAGTCTGTTGTCCAAACGTTGGAGAAATATTTGCAAGCAAATTGTGCGACTTGATTTCGATGCTTCAAAGATTTTGGACAGAATGGCAGCAACAAGTAATTATGTGAGGGGTAAAATCTTTCGTAAGAAGGTAAGTAACATATATGCTAAATAGGTGACCGATGTCCTGACTGTAAACGATGCCAAAGTTTTGGACATGATCAGAATATGCTTTGATTTGGATAGTAAGAAATTCCAAGCCAAAATTGATGAATGGCTACAGAGTGCGTTCGCGAGGAGAGTGGAGAGGCTGGAATTGAATTTGCTCAAAGCTGGTGGGAGTGGTCGTCGTGAAGCTTCCAATACTTATGCTTTTCCTAATGAACTTCTCGGCCTGATTAGTGGGAATCCTTCAGAACCGTCTGGTTGTTGCAGCGCTGATGTTCGCTCCCGTGGACTATTTGAATTTAAGTACCTCAGGGCTTTGACTTTGAGATGTGTAAATGTGTCGAAAGAAGTTCTAGGTTTTTTCTTACGGAGTTGCCCTTTTCTTGAACATCTGGTAGTGGATGGCTCGCATGACTTAAAGGATAACTTTGAAATTTCTGGTCCATCTCTTGCTCTTAAGTACCTGGAGATATGGGACTGTGTGAATTTAAGTTCTATTACTGTGAGTGAGGTGAATATTGTCTCCGTCAAGGTTAGTGATGCACAAAAGCTGGTCCTTAAGAATGTACCTATGCTAGTTAATATGTGGGTCTCTGCATGGTCCACGGATCGCACTTCACTGTTAGGCAGATTAGTTAATGGTTCGTGGCTTTCCCCTTGCATTTTACAACTGGAGGTTCTGACCTTACACGCGACACATTTGGATGTTAAACAGGTAAGTATCATCTAATTTGTTGGAAGTATGTAATGTAATTCTTGCGAAATCAACTACAACTGATCCTTCTTGTTGTAAGCCTCGTGATTTATTCATGGCAGGAAAAAGCAAATAATGTTGTCCTTCCTGAGCTATTCAAATTGAAGCAATTAACATTGGTTACTGAAGTAGTCAAAGACCATAGCCTGATTCCTTTTACTTCGTTGATAAGGGCATCACCCAATTTAGAGAAGTTTGCACTGAAGGTATTGTAGGGTTTCTTTTATGTGTTTGCTTCTAACCTCCTGCGATGTTTTATGTGATTTTTGTCCAATGAATTTCTTATAAACATAGTCACAGAGTAAGATAAGCATTCTTGTGTGGTTAATATTTCTTGTTCCTCCATAGAAATCTCCAAATATGTGCATTTGGTGCGTCCTAAATACATTCTACCTTTGGAAAGAATATAGTTGTTTTTTCCACATCATGCACATTTTGAAAAGATGGTCGTCTTTTCACATCATGTTTCGTAGCTACTGTTAACATCTGATCATTTGTCAGTTGGGATGGAAAGCAAGCAGAACTAACAAAGGGACGAAAACTAGAAGAGGAAGAGGATTTAACGAAGGGGCAACAAGCAGGGGATCTAAAAAAGGGACAATGTCTCCACTCAAACATCTTAAAGTGGTTGAGTTGTTAGGATACTATGGCCGTACAACTGAGGTTGAACTTGTACAATACTTCTTAGACAATGCCATTGCCCTGAAGAGTATCATAATTGACCCTCGTGAATACCGGATATCAGGTCGTGGAGAGCACAATGAGGAAGAAAAATTTGCTAGGGAGCATGCTGAGAATCAGCTCAAGGCATTAATTCCTTCAAACATAGAATTCGTGGTCCTTTAGTCGACAAGTTGTGTGTGTACTGTGCAGTACAAATCGTGGTTCTTTAGTCAAGAAGAAGTCTCTGTTGTACAAAGGCCTTTGTGCCTTTTTTTTTTATTTTTTTCTGTTGCGGAATGCAGACACCATGTTGTTCCTCTTTTCAATCAATTGTTTTTAGGGCAAACAGTATTTCAAGATAACAGTAATAATTATTGATTTAATTTATAAAGACTCACAATTTTAGTTGTCTTTCAAAGCCGCTACCAATTGGCAGAAGGTTGCTACCAGTAGCTAAAATTGGGATTCAAATAGAATTGAGTTTTTAGAGTTTGCCTTTTGGGCAGCAGCAACAAACTTTCAAAGCAGAAGGTTACGTTTAGGAGTCAGAAAAGTAGTATACAATGGGAAGTCTTGATAGTAAAAAAATTAAAACATTTTAAGGGGATTGATAGTTGTAATCCTTAAACCACTTCTTCCCCTTTTCCTTCTTCACCAAATAAACCCTCATAAAACCAAATTATTGAAAGTAATTCAATACAAAAAGGAAAGGAGTGAGACATGTAATTCAGAACCAAAGAACATTAGTATAATTAAAACCCAAATCTCGCTTCAATGTGCGCATTTCAACAAGTGTTAAATAACACGAGAATGGAAACAGTTGAAATCAACTGATTCTGTAATCCATGCACTTCACTTATATTCACAACAACCTAAGAAATAAATCTAAAACACCCTAAACCACTAAATCTCCCGAACAACAAAAGAAAAACCAGACTTTTAACCAGCACTAAATTAACCACTACTACTTCATTAACCCCAACTATTTTTAAGAAAACTTGAGAAAGTAACACTCCTAGATTATAATTCCCCAACCCAGAATCCACTTCTCTAATCATCCTCAGCAGGCTTTGAGGTTCCAGTCTTCTTTGGCAGCAACAAGTTGTGAATGTTGGGCATCACTCCACCATTGGCGATGGTCACATCCCCAAGAAGCTTGCTCAACTCTTCATCGTTCCTCACAGCCAATTGGATGTGCCTTGGCACAATCCTAGTCTTCTTGTTGTCCCTTGCTGCGTTTCCAGCCAACTCAAGCACCTGCAGTGCCAAAATTCATATCATTAAACTCCCCAAACAATATAACCTAATTCAGGAACCAGATCTGAAACATAAACTTGAAAAATATTAAATTGCAAAAAAAATAAAAAACACAAATAAATAAATGGATAAATTAAAAAAAAAAAGTTAATAAAAGCAAAAGGGGAAAATTGAAACCCTAGCAAAAAGAAAAGCATAAATTAAACGAAATAAGCCGCCGTGATAAATCAGAAACGAATTCGGAGATCTGAAAATATCTTGAAAATCAAAAGAAGAGCGACCAAAAAAAGGGCATAATTCGAACAAGAAAATACACATAATACATCGAAATTGATTAGAAACCCTAAAAATTGGGGATTTCTCAAAATATTCACATAACAAACAAATTAACCATGAAACTGGTAAATTACCTCAGCGGCGAGGTACTCAAGAACGGCAGCAAGGTAGACGGGAGCTCCGGCACCAACACGCTCGGCGTACTTTCCGGCCTTGAGGAACCTAGCGATACGACCGACGGGAAACTGCAGACCGGCCTTGCTGCTCCGGGATTGAGCCTTTTTCGCCGCTCCAGAACCAAGAGTTTTTCCACGGCCCGCCATTGATTTCGACTGAGGGAATTTGGAGAAGTGTTTGAAGAGCTATAGATTTCACAGGGAGAGAGCGTGTTGTGCGTAGAAGCGTAGGAGAGAAAGAAAGGCTTAGCAATGAGAGATTTGGAGACGGTCTGGGGTTTATATAGTGGTTAGTGGTATGAAAAAGGACCAATAGGATAAAAGTACGCGGATCGTGGATTTCAGCCGTTGATTAGTTTCGAGAATAAACGGTGGATTGGAGGTTTCACGCTTCTGTTAGCTTCTGGGACCACTCCGTGCAGATTTGAAACGCTCTAGAGTCTAGAATGACAAGCAAATTACAAAATAGCCCGTTAATTATTAACACTTAGGCAAAATGCCTCTCTGACTATCAATTGAAGCAATCAACTCCCTTCAAAAATAAAAATTCTCAAGATTTCACAACCTAAACTATACTCTAATAGTCAGTCAATCTTCTTTCTTCTTTCTTTTTTTTTTTTTCTCATTTTATTTAGTTCCCATCCATTAAATCTTATAATCTCAACAAAGAGTAAACATGGATATATCGAGAGAGATGAATATACTACTTTGCTTGTGTTTGAAAAACACTTGTCTGAATTGTCAATGACCTGTTAAGTCTTACGCTCTATTTGATAATTACTTATTCACTCTCTAAAAAGAGTATGAAACTCAACCAGACCATGTGCATCCTCCAAGTCATATAGGAAGGATTGCTAGTTGATGTTTGACTTGAACACAAATTCAACTAACTTCCTTTCCACTTCAACATCACTTGTAGCACCTTTTACATTGTTGGGTGGGATATGATCCTGGACTCCAATAGTTTCCTCCTCATATTGGGCATGCGTAATTTGTACTTTTACTGACAATTCAATTGTTGTGGCTTTGCTTGCATGTTTTGTCCAACTGATTACTCAATTTTTAACACAATTCCAACTTGAGAGTAAACCTAGAGTGGTAACCATACACGGTAAAAATGAAATCTTTCAAATAAGAATAAAATCCCAGTGAATTAGCATATGGCGTTCCATAAATTGATATTGTATGAAACCATTGAATTTAACAGATATATGCAAAAATTTAAGAAATCGGGACCATCCCACATAGAAGTTTCTCTCTAGATGTTACTCAAGACTCTATCTGGCACTCTCAAATTGATTTTAATAGTTTCCCTGATGTTATTGTCCTAAAAAATTACCAATAGTGGGAAACTATATCCTTTATGTGCATCCAGGATTCAAGCTCCTCGAGTCTTTCACTTTCTATGTACGTAGAAGACCATAAACGTTGCAGGCTCAGTTTATCGAATCCTTCAGTTGTTGCATAGAGAATTGAAAAAAAAAATAGTTGACTTACGTATATTATGAAAGCAATGGAGTTTGACTTCAATAGATAATGTAATAAAGTATGTTCATAAATACCAACATGAACCTAAACATTTTGATCAATACTCCTAGAAAATTGCTACAAATTATTAATTACTCCCTCCATTCGAAAATATGTCTTTCTAGTACTTTCATCAATACCAATAAAACATTAAAGAGTGGTGGTATGCAGCTCCAAACAGCTTCTCAAAAATCCATCGCGAGGAGTTAACCATCCAAGTTGTAAGTCCGCATCAGATTTTTTTATTTTTATTTTTTAAGTGGATCAATAAATTCCCAAAAGAAAAGAAAAGAAAAAAAAACCCCGCCAAAATAAAAAAGTTGTTGCGTCTTCAAAACCCTTCTCCCCCCAACTCCTCTCCGTCAAACCAATCCGTCCAAATACCGACATCGGTTTGAAGTTGTAACCAATCCCTTCTCCGATCTTCATCAATTCTGCAAGGCTGATTAATTTTATAACTCAGTAGAGTCAGGCAATTGTCTCTTCTTCTTCACTCAGGTTCTGAACATTTTTGTATAAATTTATAATTCAGTAGAGTCAGACAATGTCATGGAAAATCTTTGTTACAGAAAACACAGTCATTTCTCCAATTTCAAATCTTACTGCAAAATTATTCGAAAAGATACATCCCGCCTATTGTCACCATCACAGGCAGATTAAGCATGTGTATCAAAAAGGTCCCAAATGCAGTGAGAGAAAGACAGTCGCTATATAGGACAATCACATAATCAGTGTCTTTTAATCAAATCAAGGACCCCAAAAAAATGAGAAATAAAGAGTTGCAATCTTCAATTTCATCAAGTACTACAAATAATCAGTGATTTTTGGAAGTAAAAAAATTGATGAGGATTGGAGAACTGGGGCTAGTTAGAATCTCTGACCGACGACAGTGACTGATAGATTTGTGGGAGAGGAGGAGTTCGGGGGTTTTGAAGATTGCATCACTTTTTTAGTTTAGAAGGTTTTTTTTCCACCTTTTGGGATTTTATTAATTCAATTAATTACAATATAACAAAAGGCTGATGTGGAGTTTACAACGTGGATGACCAGTTCCTTCGTGATAGATTTTGGAGATGATATTTCGAGGTGAATATCATTTTCCAACATTAAATCATGTGTTTAAAATATAAAATTACCCTTATTTATTATCCATACAACTCACCACTAACCAACAATTTTTTGTAAATACCATTTTCATTTCCAATATAAGGCTAATATTGGAAAAATACTAAAATGGGATAAAAGATGTCTCGATTTTACAAAACGACATATATTTTAAAAAATATTGTAAACCCTAAAACGACATGTATTAAAAAATGGAGGGAGTATTACTTCCTCTGTATTAGAAAAACCATCGAATTATATGATTTGTACAAATGTTTTACTATGGATTACCATTACTATTAATTCCTTCACGGTCAATAAATTTCTCAGCAATATGAGAATTAGATTAACTCAGGGCTTATTTGGTTGTCCATAAATCTGACAATAAAGTAATATTTTTATGTATTTTTAAATTATTGTGTTTATTTAAATTTAAGTAAGTTAATGAAGTAAAATAATTCCCAATAACATGAATAATGAGATTAATTTACAGGATAAAGATTACACAGTTTAAAAAGGTATTTTTTTTTTATGTTTTTCACATAAATTAAACCAGAAAATATGATTTATTTTCGAAAGGACTTTATAAACTCCTCTTTCTTCTATTCAAATCTATCTTATTTATATTTTTGTTTAAGGGTTTATTTTTTCTTGTTATCTTCTTGGCAGTGTTTGTTTTTTTGCCCGAAAAATAGTGGCGGCCAGAGTAATTGAAAATTTCAGGTTTGATTATCGGATTTCAAAATTTGATAATACAACAAACTAAATGAACTTGAGCAAAATTGAAGTTTTGAATCATTTTGAAGGACTTTGCAATAAAAGTTGTTCTCGATCAAAATTTGTTGGATTGTTTTTTCACTCTTCATCATAGTTATCAAACCGTGATACGTATTGTCTACCGGAAATGTAAATTTTTATGATACACCTATCATATCGTAAGATACATTTTTATATAAAACTTGATATAATAATATGTATAAAATAAATTATAAATATCATAAACTCCATATGTAATTGATATATTTATACTTTTTCATTTTCAGTTATAAACAAATAAATTGATTAAGTTCAGTTCAAGATTATTTAAAAATTATACAAATTACTCATTCATTACATGAATAATAGTCACAAAACATATGTAATAAAAATTATTTTTCATTATAATTCTTATTATAGCCATGAGTTTAATAGTGAAAAAAATAATATAAACATGTATTGCATTTATTCAACATGCTATTAGCTATACTTAATTTAGAAAATAATACTATGAATAAAATAGTATTTTTAATTATTTTATTTTTTAGACTCTAATAATTTATTAAGCAATTTTATTGTCAATTTGAAAAGATTATGTTTGGGAAAGAAATATATCAAAAGTATTTATTTACAAAAATTATAAATAAAATTCGCTCTTAATTTGAAATTTAAATGGGTATTATGAAACAACGATTTGAAATTTTTTTTTTTTTTTAAATATTTTTTGCCTATGATTTTGTATTGTACGATACACCCTCCTATCGTGTATCGTATGTATCGTACGGTACGTATCGGTAATTGATCGATACACAAACGAGTATGATACATAACACGACACGCATCGAAATTCTTGATTTTGATTGTATCGTGCGATACGTATCACGTATCGCACGATATTTATTACTATAATCTTGATCACTTGGCCGACAGAGAAAATTTTATTATCTAGTTGCTTGTAGACAATTCATTTTGGGAAAAAGAAAAATATCTCACAAGTTTGGTAATTTTGAATAAATTTAATTAAGTGCGTTAAAAAATATTAAAAAATTTGTGTAAGTACATGCACTGCAACAAAATGAGGATATTGAGACGCACTTGTTAGGATGCTTGACTTGAAAGCATCCCAATAAATACATAATAGGACGTTGCTTACAAAGCGTTCCGTTAGAATATAAGTTGGGACATTTCAAAATGTCCCCATATAATAAATTAATAGGATGCTTATGATGTGTCTCGTTATAGTAATGCGTCCTAATAGTACATTTTATTAGGACACATAAAAGTGTCCCCATATAAATTTTTATTGGGACATTGAGAAGCATCCTATTAAGATGATTTGTAATTAACCAAAAATTTTAGTTTTAAATGCAACAAATTCCAAACTTAATGTTGATTGAGGAACAAAACTATATAGTATATAGTTGTTTTTAATTTTAATAATAACTCAAAAAAAAATTTTAATAATAACTCTAATATAACACTCTAAAAATTGTATTATTTCCCACACGAATCAATTAACTATATTCTAGTTCTTCTAACTTAAAGTAATATTAGTAGGGCACCCTATTATTTATGTTTTTACCCAAACTAATTTTTGCAGTGATATATATTTTACTTTTTTCGTAAATAGATGTACCACTAATTAATAATATGATGTTCTCTTATTTCAATCTTCAAATTTAGTCTAAATGAATGTATTTCAAAATGTTATTCTGTGGACCATGGTTTCAATTGCAATATGAATTCATGATTGAGGAGTTTTGGATTTTCATTTTTTAGTTCTCCATATTATTGTCGAATTGTATTGAAAATGAAGATCCAAATTGAACATTTACTTCAAGATAGAATAAGTATTG